TCTATACAAAAAACAAATTAAATATTATATTTTTACTATATTTAAATATTTTATTTAATAATTTTATTTAATATATATTTTTTTTTCAAAAATTTTTAAAAATTAATTTCAAATTCTCAATAATAATATATTTTTTAACATATATAATATCTTAAATCTTAATTATAATATATTTTGTTTCGAGATAATAAAAAACATATTATTTTTTTTAAAAAATATAAATTATCACCAAAAATATGTATAAAAATTTATTCCAAATAAAATATGTATAAATAAGATATAATTTATTTAAATATATATTTATTTATTTTTAAAAAATATATAAATATTTATTTATTAATTATTTTACACAAAATCATATATATAATATATTTATAAATGACATATTAATAAAATATTATAAATTCGATAGATATATATATATATTTCGAATAAAAATCTATATATTTTCCTCAAATAATCTCAAATATATTTCCAAAATTCCTCGGAAATATATCCGAAATCTATTATATTTCACTATAAATATTCCTCAAAGCTAGTTCGGCAAATTGTCCACAAATATCCAATTTATTTGCTCCCCAAAACTATTTGCTCCCCAAAACTATCCCCGATTTTTTTTTCCAATTATGCCAGAAAATTTGTCAAAATTATCCCCCCAAAGCGGTTCGTTCACCGAAGCTATTTTCCAAAATTATTTCCCAAAGCCGCTCTACAAAACGATTGCCTCAAAGCGGCTATGCTTCAAAGCTATTTTTCAAGGCGACTCCCCAACGCTATTCTCCAAAGCGGCTCCCAAAAGCTCCCCCCCAAAGTTGTTGTCGAAAGTTGCTCGTCAAAATTGCGCTCCACTAAAGCTGCCTCCGAAAGTTAATTCCGAAAGCTGCTTTCCAAAGTTGCTTTCTAAAGCTACTCCCAGAAGCTGTCGTTCTTCAAAGCAACTGTTCATCAATGCTGCGGCAAAGCCGCAAAGTTGCTCCCCACAGTTGCTCCCCAAAGCTGCTCTTCATTGTCCCTATGCTACCGAAAGCCGCGTCCCAAAGAAGCTCCCCAAAACTCCAAAGCTGCTCCCCGAAGCTACCTCAAAGCTGGTCCGGAAAGCTGTCCAAAGCTGCTCCTCAAAGCTGTTACCCGGCGCTGCTCCCCAAAGCTGTGCCCCAAAGCTGTTCTCCAAAGCTGTCGCTCCAAGGTTGAATGTAATTCTGGAAACCTATTGTGCAAAGCGGTGAGAAAGCTGCGCCCCAAAGTTGCTACCAAAAGCTGCTCCCCAAAGGTGCTGTCCAAAGCTATTGCCCCAAAGCTGCAAACCTACACCCCAAAACGGCTCCCCAAAGCCATTCTGCAAAGCGGCTCCTGAAAGCTGCTCCCGAAAGTTGCTACTGAAAGCTGCTCCCCGAAGTTGTCTGTAAAGCTGCCCCCACAAGCTGCTCCCCAAAGCGACTGTTCTTCAAAGCAATTGTTCCTCAAAGTTGTTCCGGAAAGCTTGCCAAAGTTGCTCCCAAAGCGGTTCCCTGAAGCTGCTTCCCAAAGCTGTTCCCCAAAGCACCTCTGCAAAGCGATTGCCCCAAAGCGGCTATGCTTCGAACCTGTTCCCCAAAGCAGCTCCCCAAAGCTATTCTCCAAAGCGGCTCCCGAAAGCTCCTGCCGCTCCCCAAGGTTGCGTTGAATCTGTAAAATTTTCTTTTCTATGGTTGTATTGGCACCTTTACTAGCAGCACAAATGACAATTCTGAATATTTAATTCAATTGCACAATTTGCATTTAACTCATTTTTTTGGAGCGATATATCAGTTTTCCATTTTCATGAACCTCAATTCTTGATGCGAACCCCATGAATTGAAGCATTGCTTGGTGAATGTGTGGCTTTACAGTCCCACAGCGTCTCTGAGTTCTGCTCTCAACGATGGCTTCATGGGCCTGGAAGCGCCATTTTCGAGCGGTTCAGTCGGCGAGAGGCTCAGGTACCCAAAATGGCAATGTGGATGTGGAAACCAATGGTTACTTACAATTTTCATCGATTTTCCCCGGAAAAATAGGAGATTTGGGGGTGTTCACCTTACAATCCATTTATCCACCATTTTCAGAAACACCCAGGAAGGAAGCAAATACACTTTTGAGAGTTTTTTTTTAGGGGTTTTGGGGGGGCACATTTTGAGCCAGCCCAGTTGGAAGAATCAGCTCTCATGGCAGGGTCCCCATGCAATTCCGCTCTGAGGCAGTTGGACAAGCCATAGATATGGCCTAAGACCTACCCTGTTCACATCCTAAACAACTTGAGTATCCTTGGATATACACAGCCACAACTTCCATCTGAGTTTGTCTGAAAGTATTGCACAGCCTGAGTAACATAATTTATTATCATTTCCCTATTTAGATAGCCACATGTTCGGACAAATCCAAATATAATATTAAATTTGGTTATATAAACATATCCAATGAGATATCCATTAAAAACATATCCAATAATATAATATTTGCTTAATTTTGGTTATATCAAATATAGTATCCCAATAAAATAATAATAACAAAAAAACAAAAAACCACTGAGATATCGCTGTCAAAAAGTTGGTTGTCAAACCATCCCATTCTTGACGACTTTGAAGAACCCGACAAGGTCATCGAACATGGCATGGCAGCCAATCCACCATTTATTTGTTGGATTTTCCCATTTGAAACAGCGTTTATAGAAGTTTGAAGTTTATAGTGGATTTTTAATTGCCATGTTACATATGTTTGACAACGAGAGGGTAACCTACCCTATGTTTAACACCCCATACCCCAAGACATGCCTCGCTGATCTCTCTGAACTTCTCGTTCGCCTTCTCGGCGGAGATCTCTGCACGGTTCTTATCTGGATGGTATTGCCTAGAGTCGCGGGCGAGTCGGAAACAGCTGCACTGAGTCAGAAAAAATGATCGGCACAACAAGTTTGGGAGATATTTTTGGATGATGCTGGATCTGTTCACCATTTTCATCAGAAATATCCGATATCCTGAAATACGAAACACTCAGATTCAACTATTGGAGCTCCACTTTTCCCCAAGAAAAACCGGGCCAAACGGACTTGCCATGACAAACAGTGCGAAGGACAGAAGCTCTAAGCTTCTGGCAAAACCAACCTTCGGTAAGCGCCTGACATGTGGAGAATTGGCTGCAAACCTATATATAGGAAATTCTGTAGATCCCGACATGAATTGAAACGAAATGAGAAAACCATAGAAAACCAACGTATATGAAAACGCATATTTACCATATTTATTCATATTTCATATATAGGTTTTCTTTCTATGCACTATACGTACGAGATTTCACAATGATGGCGGTGCCAATGCCATGGAGTGTCGCCCATTCCACCATTCTGGGGTGATCACGTTTCAAGTCTTCGGGCGTCGCAGTGGCTGGAAGGCCCAACCTCGCTCCGAAAATGGATGGCTGAATACCCCAAAAAAACATTAGGCAGTGAGGCACCAAGAAGTCACTACACCGTGACTATATATCGAATCTATTCGAACATAACATGAAGTGACAATCCGCAAATGCCCACAAACATGTTTGACCCATGGCCTGTGTATTGAACCTTGGCGTTTCGGATCTGCATTCCAAGGTGCGTTTGAAAGTGCCGCGCCACTCGCTGCAACCTCGGGGGGCGGGTTGGGGTATCGATCAGCATCTTGACTGTAGGATTGGTCTGATGCTCCTTGTGTAAAGTGGTGCAAGTAGCAAACCGAAGCAACATAAGGTAGATGAGTCGTGGTCACAACGAAGCTTTGTGATTGCTTCCAGAAATAGAAGTTTTAAGAGCTTTATATATATAATTATATGTATATATACATATATATATATAGAATTATATAGATTCCGCACGGATTCTCTGTCAAAATGATTACAACTCCTTGATTCCAAAATGGATCCACAAGACAGTCAAAACAGGTTTGTTTGAACACTGAGGGGAAGCCACCCAAATCTCAAGTTAAATCATTGTTTAAAGTTTTATCTATTCAATGTTCATTTGTGGATAATCCACCATTTTCAGACACACCCAAATATCATGGCAAGTTGATCATGATCATTTATGATCTATATGTTATAACCATATTTGCTGGTTAAATCATCATTTCAGCTGGTAAAGGCACCAAAAAATGCCGATCCTGTGGCCTCTGGGCCACCCATGCGCAGGGCTGGGCTTAGGACCCACTGCTTCCTGGGAGCTGTTGAATTTTCATGGCCCAAACAACCGTCCTAAGGTTAAGATCACCTGTGTGACATTTTGAACCACCTTCCTAGTCCGAAACATCCCCAAACCATCATTTGGCAGTGTGTCAAAACCTATAGTACCCCTTTTTTGTTCACATCAAAATAGCTGGGATTTATGGATGTGAATAACCCACTAAAAATGGTATTAATAGGTATTGATCCATACCCATTTCTTTAAACATCACATTTCATGTCTCTGTCTGGATCGTAGAAGGGCATCGGGAATAAAGGTCTCTGTTAGAACGAAAACCATCTACAACTTTTTTTGGAGATGGATTAGTTTGAAAATGGGACAACCCATGGTATCAATGGTATCACCAATTCCGACAGATTAGTAGATACCTACAAGTTGTAATACCATTACAATCCTATTAGGAAAATACCATTGGATATCCAATTACAACATGGATACCATTACAATCCCATGATACCATCATTCTTCCATTGGTGTTTGATCCATTTTAAGGGACATCCACCATTGTCAAATCCATGGAGACAGTCACCCTGGCCACTGGCGAATCGCGACAGTCACCGTTGAGCTCGCCTTGCCCTCCTGTGTCTTCCAGAAGTCAGGCCTCTGAAGGCAGGGATTCTGTGTGAAAAAGCTGGTCATTTCCAACTTGTCCAATATGAAAACATGTCCTGATGAGCAAAGAACTTGGATTCGTCCAAAAGTGGGGATACTCTAAAACTGCAATCTTAAACGTGTAACATGTGGAAGAAGGAGGACCAAACATGGGATTCTATAAGGGGTATCCAAATTCTCAAGCACATCTATTTGGCTTGCGATTTCAAGACACAGCTGGGTGGACGCTGGGGCTTGCAGCTCCTTTATTTCAACCCAAGGCTATGAACAATGTATAAACATGTCCCCAACATCTGGATGTTTTGATACAAAAACAGCTCAGTGGCTCAGTCGTTTCTAGCTTTGCTTCGCTTGACTCAGCTCTCGACGTCTCACTACGTGGATCCCATGACATCGCCAAGCGGTGAACAGCCTCCGGTCTGCTCGAGGTCATTTTGCATCTCTGATATGATGATAATGAGGATATCATGAGGATAAATGGGATATAAAATGGATAGAAATGATATAAATGGGAAAAAATATATATATACACAAATGGAATATTAATGGGATATAAATGGGATATAAATGGGATATATGGATATATAAATGAGATATCCTGAACCAAGTTGATACCCAATTGGGATGTTCAAAATCCGAAATGTCATTTACATTTAATCCTGCTTGGTTAAGGAAGTGATTCACAGTCCATGGGCATACATGATAGTCCCCATTATTTTTTGTAGTATAAGCGTATAACCCCCTATAATCACAAAGTGACTGGGGTTTTGAACACTGCTCAAGTGACTCATGTATGCAATATATTTCTCCGGAGTTTCGATGGATCTTGCATGGTGTCTCCAGTAGGCTAGTAGGATATCTTTCTATACCAATTTTCTTTTACATAAGTACTTCTTAAAATCCCTTTATTGTCAATCTCGTAATATCATCTAATACCAATAAACAAACATCAAAATTACTGGTAGGGATCTTGTATGGTGTATGTGCCCAGTAAGATCTAATATATATATATATACACATGCATACATGCATACATGCATACATGCATTACATTTACATTACATTACATTACACTTCACTACACTACATTACATTACATTCCATTACATTACATACATACAATTTTGTATAGCAATCTTTAAATGTGTTCCTTCAAGACCCTTTCATTTCCAAGCTATGCATGTTCCGCATCGGCCTCATCATGGCTTGTCACATCTGCGCCCATTTGCCGACACCTGAGAGCAACGCTTGCGAGATCGGACGTGGCTCGAGTCTGGCTTGCGTTGCAACGCCCAAAAAGGTAGAAAAGCAACATCCAAATAACAATTTTTGTTATGAATCATGATAAATCCCATTTCTATCTTTGGGGATTGAATACTATGATGTATCAGGCAAACCAATGCACATGATATCACATTTCTGAGTGCTCTGTTAATCCTGATGGACTTCATGCACCGAAAGAAGCTGCTCTATCCTGCCAGGTTGCTCTCTTTGAAGCTCCGACAATGGCAATGCTGCCCACAGCGCATGCTGCCTGTCAGGGACCGTGACGCCGTAGAGGTGCTGCTTTGGGGTCCCAGCTGTCCCAACGGTCAGCTCCCAGCTGCTTTGGGAGGTTTTCGACATCTGGTGGTTTTTATCCGAAAGTAACACTGGTCTGCTCGAGCTGTGAAACAAAATGACACCCATTTTCGACCCAAGAGAGCTGCGGCCTGAGACGAACGAGAAGCTCAAGGACCTCCGGAGAGCTCAACAGCTTGAAGATCTGAGAAAGACATCAGAAACATATCAGAAATCATGAGTTCTATGTTTTGATCATCGGAAATCATGATCCTCAGAAATTCTGAGTTGTATGACTTGATCATACTTTCAGCATGAATGCTGGGCAAATATCAAAGAACCAAAGAACTGAAGATGGTAAATTCAATCATTAACAAATACTCAACAGCCGAATATAGTGACATACTTATTTCGATCATCGACTATGGCTACTACCCAACAAACATAGTCATCATGGTAATACAGTATACTGTAGTACAAACAAATACGAGGATATCATCAACTTTGGAGATATTTGCACACTTATACTTATACAAACAATATACACACATATACACACACGTGAATACCATGTCTGAGATATCCAGCAGAATATCTCATCCATGATTCATTGCTTAAATACTAAGTTTTAACATCAACACTCCCCATTTTAGCCAGGTAAATCCCAAGTTTTTCAACAAACTAATCCTATCCAATCCTCAAATCTGGTAGCTCTCCATTTTTTGGATATAGTTTTAAACCCCGATTTTTGATGAACGCCCAGTTTTGATCTAACCCGCCTTCGGCGAGCCAGGTAATGCCAAACGCTGGTATTCACCTCGAAGCTCCTGCAGGAAGATAGACACATAATTCACTGCTTGATAATGGATAAATGATGGTGAATGTTGATCAATAATTGTTAGCAGTTAATACCCTCTGGTAAACAACAACAGTTTGCTATTGAACATGGCCAAGAGAAATAGTTGATTTACCGAACTTAAAGATTGTGATTTTCCAGTTCGCTATGTTAGTCTACCAGAGGGTAATTCACTGCTTGGTGCTCGTCATCTCAACCATCCCAAGATATCCAAGAGGCATGGTTGAGAAATAATAAATATGTGAATTCTCCCAGCCAGACCATCACAAAAAATTGCTAGGAATCTATTCTTCCATCGGGGGGTGCTACACAAAAAAAGGAACCCCCACCATGATTTTTTTTTAAACAAATGTAAGGACTTCTCAGAGGAAAACCATTCAACCAATTCCATCGTCCCAATGTCAAATGGATTCTTTGTGGAATTGCTTCCCGGGTAGAAGTGGTGACTTCACTTTCTCATCTCTTTCTTCAAATTTAGCACCCCTGGAAGATGACAATGCTGCTGCTTTCTGGCCAAAATCTTGCTCCTACATTCTCTGCTGACTTACATAGTTCTGGCAATAAATAATTGCTGATTCAAGTCATTCCTTACCAAGCACCATTCAAAGAAAGGGATAAGAACGACCACTCTGAGACGAAAAAAGATCGTACATGTATCTCCACGATCTTCGAACCCCAAAAGACCAAGTAGCTTTACGTACCCTCTGGTTATTTAACATAGCCATAGGAAATGGCCCATAGAAATAGATGGTTTACCTATTAAAAATGGTGATTTTCCATGGCTATGTTAAATAACCAGATGGTAGTTTTCCTGTGCTTTCCTTCTCCCAGGGTGGAAGCTTTTTTCTTGACCAAACAAGACAGCACTGAAACGAGCAGCCCAGCTGGCAACGTCCCAAGCACCGCAAGCGTCGATCTTTGCTGCCAACATGGGATGACTTTGGGCACAGGATGACATCCATCATGACTTCGTGTCACCAGAGGTGACAAATGTGACAATCTCATGATCATCATGATCATATCATGACCCACATATATCCAGATGGCAGCTTGAAAGATGCTACTTTGTTTGCTTATATCAGCATGTCGACTTTGATTAGTTCACATCCTTTCAGTGCCTTTCAGTTTAGCTATGTGAAATGACGCATGATGCTTTGCAACATTCTACATGATGACAGGGGATGTTGCCTTTCATACGATCACTATAGCTTCACTGAATACTTTGTCAGATTTAGTGGTACCTAAGAATTTCCATTTACTTGCAGACAAGTCTAGCTTGTGCGACCATGTGGTACCTAAGAGACCTTTAGAAAATCAAGGTCCTGCAACGGGCAGTTGCAGTCCCAGCTCTTGTCATGGATGGCTATCCGAAAAAAAGACCTTGGTACCTTGGTGGCCTGGTGTGTCAGAAATCATGCCATCACCATTCCAATGATATAGATATACATGTATATATATATACATATATATATATCATGTATAATTATCTATCTCTCTCTCTCTATATATATACATACACAATTATACAATATTATACACATATCTTCCTCCATGCCTTCAATTACATGGAAACAGATGGGCATGTTAACTACCTCGGCTACCTCTATGTACCCTTACAATGGCAGGTCTTCCTTCCAAACATGGTCAGTGCATCTCCAACTTCCGGAATTTCACCCCAGCGCCCCATGTTGGCAGAAGTGGAAAAGATTTGCGGCGCATTCTCGGCCGCGAGATTCACAACCAATTTTTGCTCACTCTTTGGAGCTAGCAGTGACCATCAACGACTAGGTGATGGAGCCAGGTCTTTGCCACGAGTGAAGCCTTTTCAAATTGCCCTTTTTTCTCAGGCACTTGGCTCAAAGAACTGGGACATACTCCAAAATGGCAACTTTTTATTGGACATGAGGATCATCCATGATAACCCATGATAATCCATTGCAATCCTTGGAATTGGGGTGGTTTCCAATAACTTTCAGGTAGAGCCACTCGCAGCTCATTCAATGGTGGAAAATCCGTCCATCCACTGGCCAATGATGTCACGGAGAAAGATCTGGAAAAAACGGAACGAAAACTGCGCGAGGACGACAGAGAAGCAAATCTCAAGCACCGACGAGTGAATGGTGTTGGAAATTGCTGGATGTACTTGGATATTGTTGATTATTCGGGTTTGGTTGAAAACCCCATTTCGTGCAATGGTTTAGAAACCTGTATCCCTATTTCAATGGCCATGAATGAGGGCATACCCTAAGACACACCCACATGCTTGAGTCTTCTTAGCAATGTCTTTTTTGGGGCTAAGGCGCAACATAAATTGGAGACAATGGACATCTTCTGATGCAGAAGGCTTCTCCCAAGCACCTTGGTGCATGCCGGAGCAAGAAAATCTGTTTGGGAAATATGACGAATGCCGGTTGAACATTCAGATTTGATTTGCCAACCTGTCTTGAAATGTGGGCTCTTAGCCGTCCTCGTCTTCAGAGATCAAGTATATAGTGAGGCACTCGAGCACTTCCGTGCAAGATGAGAAAAACATGTCCAAGGCATAATCAATGTGGAGGACACAGTTGTTCAGCCTCCGTTTCACAAGAAAGACAGTACTCGAGGTATAGTGAAAACATGTGAAACAATGGTGAAATAAGATGAACACATATCATCACAGATCCTGAGTTCCAACACCTCACCATCGAAAGCTTGAAACTCTTAAACTCTAAATTAGCAGAACGCGGCTGCAAGCATCATACCTGGCAGGTGGTTTCAACCCACCTTAAAGTTACATGGTATATATATATATATGTAGATGTCATCCCTGGTGCCGTTGGTTGCTTCACAAGTTTCTATGCAATACCTTGCAAGTACATACCCGTGAAAGTTCACTTTGGTGATAATGTCCGCATCGAATTACTGTATTTGTATGTTTTTGTATTATCTGTATCATTCTGACTATGTCATGTGGACGAACTACCTCCCCGCATCTAGTATTCATAATGTCATTCATGCTGCCTCCCACCAGCCTAGTGTATGGGTGCTTCTCCAAATTGGGACACTCCAAGACCAGTAAGGTTTTCCCATGAATGAACAAACTGGCATATCTTTTTAGATGATTTCACATCAACTTGACTACGTCTTCGAATTCCTCAGATGTCTTTTATTTGATTTGCCGGGTATAGAAAACAAACGAAAACAATCTGCCCATTGAATCCCTATGTGTTTAAGCGACCCTCCTCATAGAACAGCTGTTTCATCACTTCAGCTTGCCGCTGCTCAGGACATGTACATTCCGCCGTTCACGTGGAGGGTGTGGCCAGTGATCTGAGCGTGGCTATGGGGATATCACCAGCAACAACTGGGAATATCGGGGTGTGTGTGATGAGGAGAGATATATATATATAATGGACACACACATATATATAATATAATATAATAAAATATAATATAACATAATATAATCTAATATAATATAATATAACATAGCATAATATAATATAACAAAATATAATCTAATATAATATAATATAATATAATATAAAATATAATATCATATAATATAATATAATATAATATAATATATAATATAATATAATATACACACATATATATATATGTACTATATATATATATGTATATATCTAATATAAATAATATATGTATATAAATAATATAATATAATATAATATAATATAATATAAGATAATATATTATAATATAATATATTACAATATAATATAAGATAAGATAAGATAATATAATAAAACATAATATAATATAATACTGTAATTGTATATAATATCATGTATATATATATATCATGGGATATAATATGTATATATGGTCCCGTCCTCCGTCTCTCCACCCACCCCCCCAATGGGTTTGGTCCCCAGGTAGCCCCCCCCCTTCCCTTCTATTTGCAAGCTATTGGCAAAATTTCTGAGGTCCAGCTTCGTATTTGCTAGGTCTTTGCAGCATTTCTGACTACCAGCCTCGCATTTACTAGGTACATGCTACCTTTTAGGCGACCTACGTAGCACACATACTCCCTCAAAGTACCTACGTGCTACCTATAGACATATATATATAATAAATATATATATATGTATGTATACATGTGCTATGTATCTACTTCCTATTTATATACTACCTGTGTGCTCTGACAACACTACATGTGTTTAACATATACCGTACCTACCATACATTCCAATGATGCCATGCATACCTTACCTATCATACCTATCATACCTATCATACATACCACACATACCATACATATGAAACATAATTACCACGCCTACCATACATACAATACCAAACATACATGCCATACATACCATACCTGCCTTACATAGGAAAGATTCCATACCCATCATAGTAACCATACATACCATACCTATCATACGTATCATACATACCATACATACCATACATATGAAACATAATTACCACGCCTACCATACAAACAATACCAAACATACATGCAATACATACCATACCTACCTTACATAGGAAACATTCCATACCCATCATAGCAACCATACATACCATACAGACCATACATACTGTCATATCAAACATACCATACCCAACAGACTTACATACCATACCTACCATCCATACAATACCAACCAGTCATGCCATACATACCGTGCCATACATACCATGCCTACCATACATACCAAACATACCATACTTTCCAAACATGCCATACCAAACCGGCCATACACATCATACATACCCAACATACCATACCACACCCCCACCACACCACAGGGGGGGGAGGGGGACAGTACCACACCCCCACCACACCACAGGGGGGAGGGGGAAGATCTCATATGGGGGCATATATGGGACCCATCCCATGGGGGTGGAGGGGGGGTGGCAGGGCCTGGTGCATATATATATATACTATATATATACAAATAACCAGCACGAATGAATTTGGCTTCATCAAACAAATGTGGATACCCAAATTATGGCCAGTTGTTCATAGGGACCAATGATGATACACCATTGACATTGGGGGCACCTTATTTTCAAACAAATTCATAAAACAGAAATTGATGGACATCAGGCTGGTGGCATCGTTGAAATAAAAAATGGCCCCTGATGGTTGCGGTACTCAGTGTCGGAGATGGGTGCTGAAAAAATATCGGATACACGCAAGAAAACAACATTGATAATGTGTTTGGTATCAGAGCATTGAACTTTAAGGGACCATTCGTTTTGAACCATCAGCTTCCCTTTCTCAAACTTATCAGAAAATATGGTCATTCTGAAAATGACCAAACATCACGCCAGTCACTCGTCTATTCAAAATATTTGTCAATTTTTTCTGGAAAATCAACACTTTTCCCGGTGAAATCCTGTGAAAAATCCCAATTTCAGTTGGTTAATCCATACTTTTCCTGCTAGATTTTTTGCACATGGTGAACCCAGAGGTCTCATGGTTAAACCGTTGAACCCAACGTTTTCACCAAGCTTCACCAAGCTTCACCCTCGGTACCAAGTAACATAGCCAGCTGCCGGCGATGCCAAGAAAAGGACCTACAAAAGGCCGAGGAGCGCCGGGTATTCAACCATCAACGGGGCATCAAATCAGTGAACAATGGATTTTATGGATTTCATGGATCTAATGGATGGATTGAAGGGAACATCTGGGTTCACTTTCTTCCCATGAACATGTAGAGAAAAAAAGGAAAAAAAGGGTTTCCTGCAGATCTTCAACCAATTCGGGAACCATCTGATATCGATGTTCACTCTTCAACGGCTGCCCCTGTCAGAATCTGTCCAAGTCTTGCTGTTCCTTGGTGCCCCACTACTTGTTTGCTGAAACAACTTACATCATAGATGAGTAGATTGCTGGGTGAACATCCCAAACAAATTATAGGACCGGAAAACCTCACATGTTACCAACTTCTCTAGACTTAGACTGAGCATAGAAAAGCAAGAAGGTGAGAGTGATGGAGGGGTGATGGTGGGTGAGTTTGTGTGTGTGTGTATGTATGTGCATGCACAGGTGAGTGAGGGAGACTGTGAGTGAGTGATGTGAGTGTGGTGTGTGTGAGTGAGCGAGTGAGAGTGAGCGAGTGAGTGAGTGTGAGTGAGTGAGTGAGTGTGAGTGGAGTGAGAGAGTGAGAGGGAGTGAGGGAGTGAGCGAGTGAGAGGGAGTGAGTGAGTGAGAGTGAGTGGTCCAAGTGCCATAGACCAGCATCATGACCTGAGCAGACAAGTCATGAATAAAGAAGCCATGATAAGCTGACGAGCAATCAATCTGAATGAGCTGAGTTGATACATCGCCGTGCCCTGCTTCTGAAGAGCATGACCTGAGCAGACAGGGCATGAATAAACAAGCTATGAGAAGCTGACAAGCAACCAATCTGAATGAGCTGAGGTGATACGTCGCCGTGCGCTGCTTCTGAAGAGCTATACGTTTTTTCCTGGTCAGCGAGGTCAACAAGTTGCGTTAAATTTGGACAAAGCTGACGAAAATTTAGCCGTCAAACGCGAGAAATCTCTATGCCTCATTGCCCACAGCACGCGGAGCTAGGAAAATCAGCAGGACGCTTTAAGACCAGTTTCCGACTGACTGCTGCGGAGCAAACACAGGCGCTGATCTTTTCGTCGCGTTGGGTGGCTGCGACTTGGCATGCTTGCACAAGCATGCGGAGCTAGGAAAATCAGCAGGACGCTTCAAGACCAATCTGCGACTGATTGCTGCGCCGCAAACAGCAGCTTGGTGCCGGTAAAGTATTCAGTGGAGCTTGTCCCACGCCTGCCACGCAGAAGCGGCGGAGCCCAAGGAACGCCAGAGGGACGCCAGGGCGTACATCCGACCCCTTGGCAGTGGAGATTGCCCCACGCCTGCCACGCAATAGCGGCGGAGCCCAAGGAACGCCAGCCCTTGGCAGTGGAGATTGTCCCACGCCTGCCACGCAAAAGCGACGGAGCCCAAGGAACGCCAGAGGGACGCCAGGGCGCACATCCGACCCCTTGGCAGTGGAGATTGTCCCACGCCTGCCACGCAAAAGCGACCCCTTGGCAGTGGAGATTGTCCCACGCCTGCCACGCAAAAGCGACGGAGCCCAAGGAACGCCAGAGGGACGCCAGGGCGTACATCGGACCCCTTGGCAGTGGAGATTGTCACACGCCTGCCACGCAAAAGCGAAGGAGCCCAAGGAACGCCAGAGGGATGCCAGGGCGTACATCCGATCCCTTGGCAGTGGAGATTGTCCCACGCCTGCCACGGAAAAGCGGCAGAGATGAGAGTGAGTGAGTGAGTGTGAGTGAGTGAGTGAGTGAGAGTGAGTGAGAGTGAGTGAGGGTGAGTGAGTGAGTGAGAGTGAGTGAGAGTGAGTGAGGGTGAGTGAGTGAGGGAGGAGGGAGGAGGACGGCAGGACTGGAGGAGGACAAGGCGGCGGGCGGGCGGATACAGAACTAAAAACAAAAACCCCACACGTCAATGTGGGGAACTACTCTAGCAGCTAGCAACACGTGCAAGATGTAAACAGGAGGCCACTAGGCCACTAGGCTAAGTTTGGACCCTGATGACTCTTAGTGGGTTCATTGGCTTCATGGGTATGACAGGTGTATGACACAATCCCCGCCTAACCCTCACGGATTAAACATGGATTTGTATACCCTCTGGTAAACGTTTACAGTTTGCTCTTAAACATGGCCCAGTCGAAATAGTTGAATAGTTGATTTACCCAGCTATTCCATGATTTTCCATAGCAAACTGTTAGTTTCCTGCAGGGTAAACCGGGTAAACCTCCATTTTCCCATGGGAAACCCCTATGGTTTCCACCAAAAAATCCCAGATCTGAGCTCCAGCACTGCTTCAGCCACCTCGCTGGGCTGGCCCAAGCGTTTGGCCTCCGTAGGGGATTGGAAGCCATTTTGGGATATTTTTGGGACCTTTTTGTTGGGGACTGTTGAATATGAACCGGGATGGGATTGTGGTTGAAACATGTTGAAACCACCAAACATGGCGATTGAACTAGCCGAAAAATTCAGCGCCAGTTTCTGGGAAGATTTATATTTGAAACCATGATATTTCTAGGGATTTCGGCATTCTTATGAACATTCCAGCCATTTGTGGTTTTAAAGTTGATTAAACATCATTCAACTATATTAAACCAATATTAAACCAATATTAAACCATGAAACATGGGAGATTTCACCAACAAAATATGGATTGAATAGATCTATGAATTGATTTAGTGTAACATGTTCCTTCAATTCTGGGAAACACATGAGGATGGAAATAGCACACATATGACTTTATTTAGCGAGCAATCATAGATATTTGAGTAGCATACACAGAAATTGAGCTTGTAAACATGCGGATTGTTTCGCTAGCAAACATGGGCATGGAAATCCCACAAACTAATGTTGAAATAGCACAGATAATCACAAATACGACTTTATTTATATAGCTAGCAATAATGATAATAATGGATATTTGACTAGCAAACATGGTATTTGAGTTCGACTAGGAAATATGGGGGATTGATGTACATAGAAACGTCACGAACATGTATCATGCAATAACACTGAGGAAATCACCTAAAATCACCTAAACAAATAGGTATATCCCAAGCAACATCCAAACATCCCAGTGTTTCCAAACATTGAAATCAATCCATACCATCTGGTTGGATCATCATCCTAGGTACTGTAGGATTCATCAATCCATACCATCTGCACCACGAACATCCCATGGAAAAGAAACAGGGCGAATCTGAGTATCTGGCGGGCACGTTTTCCAAGAGCTTCTCCTGGCGATCGCAGGGCAATACTATAAGCAATCTACAGCAATCCTTGACATTTTCTAAGTTTTATAATAGTTTTTTATATTATTCTGCAAAGATATGTCAACAGCCTTGGAAAGTCATTCTTGGACTATGGCGATCTAGGATCTATCATGATCTACATTAATTATCTATCTATTGCTGTTGCAGCGAGAGCTAGGGGGAACAGCGTGCCTTCCAGTCATCGGGGAGATCGGCCGTCATGTCCTCAGCTATCCAAGCGCTGCCAAAGCCCTGCTGGTTGATGTTTTTTTTTTTGGGATTCATATGGAATTACTATGGATAATCACTATATCATTGTCATTATATATCCATTATATATCATTATTATCCATAGTAATATATCATTATTATATTATTACTATGGATAATTAACATATATTATCATGATCATAATCATCATTATATATCACTATTATCATTATATAATATTATATATCATTATTATTATTATCTTTTGTATAAGTCTTAATTACACTATCAACCAACAGGATAATGGGTAACATGGATTGGTATACTTACTTATACACTATCATTATATATCATTTGTATTCATTTGTATAATTCGGAAATTTCAATGGATTGGTTCCAGGGAACATCTACAGGAAAGCCTCATATTTGATGGCTACGGTAATTTAAAACCATGGCTTCCTGTAGATTTCCCCGGAAAAACCCATCCAGTGATAGTTCTTGCAATCATCCATGAGCTGGGCTTGACCCATACAGAGACCTGGCAGTACCCAGAAGACCTGGCAGTTCCACCCCACTTTGTGTGTCCGGACAGTGTCGATGAAGCCCGGCGCGACGGAATTCACCGTGATCCTTGCAGGTTTTGGGCGGAAAAAACCACGTGGGAGGGATGCAAGACCTTTGAATCATGGGAGAATCTACCTTCAAGACTGATTGAGGCGACACACGTGGGGTTTTTTATGACCCAAAATGGAGATATGATATCACCGGCAATTGGAGGTATGTCACCAACAAACATAAACTTTACAGATTTTCAGCAACAAACCCTGGCTGGTTTGTGGCTTCAACCCCTAAATTTAAAACATATGCTTGTCATTGGAGATCATCATCCCATTTCTAGGGTTTTTCGAACACATCTTTGAAACCGCCAGCCAAATCATCCTTGGTTCTATACACATCTTTCCCCATCTTTTTCCATATTTTCCCATGGTTTCCCTATGATTTTCCCATCAACACCCTATCAAAACAGCTGGATGAACTTGGCTCCCGCGCCCTCGACTGCCAATCTCCCGCGCCATGGCGCGAGTCCAGCCATCCATACCAGCCTAAGCTGCTGTGGAAAATGGTCCGTTCATTTAGAGATGATTTACAGCTACCCTCTGGTTATGTCAAAACCATAGGAAAACCATAGGAACATGGGACAATCATAGGAAAACCATAGGAAAATGGAGGTTTACCCTCTGGTAAACTAACAGTTTGCTATTGAACATGGCCATTTATAGTTAGTTTCCCCATGAAAAATGGTGATTTTCCATGTTATTGTATAGTTATGTTAGTTTACCAGAGGGTATCTACTAAACATGGTGATTTTCCACAGCAAAGTGTAAGAAATTGCCAGAGCAGAAGTCGGGTTGGAGATGGGGGTCAATTGAGGATGCGTGGCTCCTGAAACTGTAGTTATCCTCTTAATGTACAGAGGATTGGCTCCTCCATATCTTCCCGCTTACCCTCTCTGCACTCTGTGGGGATCACTCTTGCCACAAAGTGTTTAGGTTCAAAACAAAGACTCTCAACCTTTCCAACTCTATGATGTAATCATACCTAGTCGCTACATGAAAAAGTTCTCTGAATAGGTTTAAGGGAACAACTGCAGGACCCATTTATATTTGGCTCAGAAAACCAGCCAGTTTCCTGTAGATTTTCCTTCAAACCAAGCCAATGAACAGTGGGCAAGTACAACGCATGCTGGCCTTGGCGGCAGCATAGTTGGACTGGCCCACATTCCCCATGGAGCCAACTACCGACCTTGGTGCCACTTCCGATCTGATGACAATGCCGAGTATGATTTGAGTGCAGTACTAGATATCATTGTCATGATCATCACCAATCGCCATCATCGAAGACATCACCATCATCAGCAATCAGCATCAACAGCATCACCAGCATCACCATCATCACCATCATCTTCATCCTCATTCTCATTCCATCATATTCCATCCTCATCACGGTAGTGGCTACTAAAACCCAATCCTCATCCACATCCGCCGATCATACCTGGGGCCACGGACGAGATGCTAATCACTCGGCCCCAGCGCTTCTTGGTCATGCCCTGGTCGAATCTGGGGTGCGCACGCATCAAAATCCCATGAAATTATTCATTACTGAAAAAATACCATTACTGGTAATACACCATGGTGTTTACTGGTATTACAGGGGATTTACCTGTCATTGATGGTATTACATGACACTATTTACTGGTAAATACCATCACCTTGCACACGAAAACATATTGAATTGCGACAACTTATTACATTTCGATGCAGCATAAATCCACTCGATTTTTATAGTTGTTATTCCAGCAGCTATGTCCGCAAAATTTCAGACAATTCCTGCACACAATTTTGAGCAAATTTAGCTGGCTGATGTTGCTCATTTTCATTTAGGTTGTTACCATCGGGCTTAATATATCCAGGTATTTTTTTCTAGTTGTGGTAGTTGAAGTTGCAACTCATTAGATAAAACGCCCGAGAAAGAATAGTAGTGTTTTTTTTTCATTTTGGTAGCCTTGAAAAAAGGACTACTTGCATGAGATATGTTATTTGCCATGTGCATATGTTTTTCCATATAATACGCACACAGGTTTTGGGAGTTCTGAGTCGAAAAACGCAACCAAACACCATGGTGGTCACCACATGCGACAAGCCTCTTTCGACTTTCGGGACAAAACGTCTGGACGTGTCGTGACGTGTCGTCCTGCCTTTGTGGCTGCTTTGGTCATGCGGAAGACAGAGTTGAGGTTGGTGTTGATCACCTCAAAAGAGCAAAGGATGATGGCGGGGATGAGGATATAAAAAGACAAGGATGATGCACATGCATCCCTGGCTCTCTTGGGACTTGACGTCCAACCACTGATCCTCCTTCATTCCTCGGCGCTCAAAGCATGGCATCTGAAACTCAGACATTGATGGTAAACGTCCTTCTTTTTGTTCATGTTTCCTGGATCGTAATAGTTTTAGTTGTCTTCAATGACATGCAGCTTGTCTCAGGAGTTTCAGGTGACATGGCAGTCACCAGGCCAGGATTAGTCCCTAGAAAAACACATGGCGGATCATGGCGGTTTGTCATGTTTGTCCAGCCATAGGGTACCTCAAAATCTCTCACATCGTGGTTTATCACGGTTTATCATGGTTTAGACAGACCCCAAACTGGAGATTACCCTCTGGTGAACTAACATAGCAATTGAAAATGGCCATTTATAGTGGAATTTCCCGTTAAAAATGGTGATTTTCCATTGCTATGTTAGTTCACCAGAGGGTAACTGATTTTTGTTGGTTAGTGACATCCCGTAAAAGATCACCCGAAAATCTCCCCCATATCACCCGTCCGCCATGAAAATGGACAAACCCACAGGGCAAGCAGCGCATCATCAGCGTGTCCTGTAGCTGAAAATTGGGATGTGTTCAAATTGAAGAGGTCTGAAGAAAATGAAGACCATGCAATGCTGCATAATCTATATCTATCATTACATCAATATCTATAATTCTATAATCTATATATCTCTGTCTATATATCTTTATCTATGTGTCTCTCTTCCTCTCTCTCTCTCTATATAGTCTACTACATGTGTATATATTTATCTGCAGCTATAGACAATTGTATACATTATACATATAGGTGTACGATAATGCTAGCAAACGTGTAGGCAATGAGACACAATGACGACATAGTATGAGCATGTATGAGCATGAATTTGGTGAGCATGGAGCTATTTGGTAATACGAGTAGTGATTGCTTAATAGGGATTCCTATATGTAACGGATAATGAACATCACCAATACATTGGGTAGTACAACCCGCTAGAATCATTAACCAATAATCAAATAGCACATTGCTGGCCATAAATGTCCCAACATCTTATATCGCCATTAAAAAATGTGGTAACAATCATCAAACACTGCCAGGGTTTTGGGGTCACTGCTCAGTATGTTCTCCCCGGTGTATTGGGCAATATAACTCACTACAGTTAAACATCTCAGTATAATCATCAGCCAACCTGGGAGTTTCGAAATTGCTCACTTGTGAGTATAGTACGTGCCCTCTGGCTGTTTAACATAGCCATGGAAAATTGGTCATTGATAGATTATTTCGGATGATTTACCTAGTGCAAATGGTGATTTTCCATAGCTACTGGCACGTTAAATTACCAGAGGGTACCTTTGGACATTTTACATGTGGAAAATCCATCATTGGCAGATCCTTTTGGTCGGAAAACCCATGGCTTTTATCATTATCTATGTTAATTCACCGGAGAACAGACAGATAGGGAACAGACATGACACGGGGTGCTACGGGTTTAACGTCTAGTCCTTGGTGATGCCTGCATTGTTCACCAAGATGTCAGGGGCACCATACTTCTCTGTCACCGCCTGCGGTTGGGGAAGTCCCGACACAAGCCGACGCAAATCAAGGAGCATTAGGGGATAGAACAAAGGCAATGCATATACAGTATATATATACATATAATAAGATTGTAGTGATTATGGTAATGGATTTGCGATAACTATATGATGAAGGATCATGATCAATCAAGGATAATCCAACAACATGACAAGCTAAGCAATCTTTGGGATAATAGCATTCCCAAAAATGAAGAGAGGAATATGATAGCACCCCCCCGAAATATATAGAAATGTTGGAGACCTGAAAATTGTTTTGGAAGCATCATCTACAACATCCTGGAAACACTTATGGTTTTGGGGATCCTTAAAGCGGTAAACCGGGTAAATCGCTTTGTGGATTTGGAAACACATTGGATGATGTCCTGAGATCCCTAGAGATTTCACCATAGGATTTTGGCACCTTCACAACTTCCTCCACGTTCTTGGAATCGGTGACATCCAACTTCATGCCCTGTCAAAATGCTGGCGGCGGCAATGTTGCCCAACTTTGAATCTGACTTCATCTTTTCTGAGAATGAGGTGTGTGTTGAGGATTTTACATGGGGGATGCAAACAACAACAATGGAGATATTGCATGGGTTTTACCAACTAATGCGGCAAACCCTATCCCCAAGTCACTAGAAATGCATGGTACAAACCATCCACGAATAGGTTGACTATGGGGCTTAGCACATCGGGTTATGCCTGAAATGCTTATTCCAACCCCCAGCGCCGCTCAGCGGGCCTGCCCCCACTGCTCACCCATACGAGCGGAGATCGCCTGCAGCCATCAGGTCATCCCAGGGTGGCAAATCATGTTAGATCCATTGGGATCATCGTCATCAATAATGATAGTCATATATGATAGTGGATATTAACAACAATAATATAGTACTACTATTTAATCGATAAATATCATCATGATAAATATCATAATGATAAATATCATCATCATCCCCATCCCAGGTAGAGATGGAGCACATGGCATTTCCCGCGCCTCTGCCCCTGAATCTGAAGTGGCTGTTCCCACCACGGTGGCCCCAGCCTGGCTGCCAGGCTCAGTCCACTGGAATATGACATAGCTATAGCACCCTACAAAAGGATAGGAAAATCAAAAAAAATATCCGAATGTAAACTAGTGATAAATGATGATACTTTACTTTTTGATCTTCTTTGGGCTACCTATAGGTTGAAACTTTTTGAATACTTACTGGCTACTATGCATCCCAGAAACCCCGATGAGGCGATGTTCTGAATATCAATCTGTCCCAACACTGAGGCCCAGGATTTGATAAACACCTCCATTCATAGGAGGTCGCAAGTTGGACGATTATAATATGTATATATATATATATTTATATGATTTTATATGATATCACATATCATATCATTTTTTGAAAACATAACACCTCTGCGAAACTGACCTTTCGGGTTGCAACTTTCCATAACTTTCCGATCCAATTCTGATAATTCTGGGATTTCCATAACATTAAGCATTATCAACCGTTACCAACCGCTATCAGCCACTATCAACCATTGTCAACCACTATCAACCATTCATAAAAACCATGATACAACTGTAAAATTTACCATTGTTTAAACATTATGCATCAACCATCACCAAATCATGATATCAAGTCACCATCAAAAATTATAAGGTAATCACCATCAAAAATCATCACCAGGAAAAAATAATGTAATCACCAAGTCACCATCAAAAATTACCCTCTGGTAAACTAACATAACTATGGAAAATCACCATTTTCAATGGGAAGATCCACTATTTCTATGGTCATTTTCAATAGCAAACTGTTAGTTTACCAGAGGGTAGCTCATGTAAATCATCCCCTCTGAAAAACATGAACGTCAGTTGGGAGTATTATTCCCAATAACCACCAACCAGATAAGAATTGATAAAATGGCCCATTTATAGATGATTTTCCCAGCTATAAACCTCCATTTTACGTGGGATTTTCCATGGCTATGTTAGTCATAACCAGAGGGTACCATCATTAACCCACAAAATAACCACTGGTAATCTAACATAGCTATTGAAAATTGCCATTTATAATGGATTTACCCATAAAAAATGGTGATTTTCCATAGTTATGTTAGTTTACCAGAGGGTAACCACCTTGGCCAGGGCATCCGCAATCGCAGCACCAATGCCACGGGAGGCGCCAGTGACAATGGCCACCTCTGGGGCCATGCCATCAACAAACCCTCAAACACCATGGGAAAACCCTGGAAAAACATGGGAAAATCCACTATCAATGGATGTTTTAATGGGAAAACCATGGGAAAAACATAGGAAAAGATGGAACATGCCCTCATAAACATGGGGAAAACATGGGAAAACATAGGGAAATCCTGTATAGATGGAGGTTTATAGCTGGGAATCTCATCGATAAATGTAGGATTTTCTATTGCCATTGCCATGATTTCCAAAGGGCAACCACCAATTTTATTGGGATTAAAAATAAAACATGACCAAACCATATAAAACCATCAAAGATGGGAGAGTGACCACTGATTCTGTACTCTTTTCTGGGAGAACCAATTCTGGGATTTTTTTTTCCTAACCAAAACAGGACAGCCAACAAGATTTCGGTCACAAAATGGAGATCTAGCCCTCAGAAAATAGGGAACAAATAAAGCTATGATAACTGGTTGGTGGTTTTAACCATCTTAAAAAATATTAGTCAATGGGAAGGATTATCCCATATATTATGGAAAAATATAAACTGTTCCAAACCAAACCACCAACAAGATAAGAATTTATCAGATGTCTACTCCTGGGCTCTTGACACAAACAGTGCACAACTTCAAGACGAAGTTGAGTCAGGAAAAGGACCCAGCCTTCCCCGAAAGGTCAAAGCCGGTTTCAGCTCCAGCCTGCAGTCACTTGGCTTCTCAACTTTGTTTTTTTTTTTGGTTTTGAAAATGGAGGACCTCCCATTTTACATCAACTTTATAGCAATTCTCATGGGAAAACGATGATAAACATCGACAAATCATGGGATGGAATGGAGCAAGTTTGAGACAACCCCCAAATAGCGAGGGAAAATCAAACCTTTTCAAATGCAATCCCTCCCCCGAATATAAAACACCCCACAAAATGGTCCCAAACATGTGGTTCATCCAATCCCACCTTTTCATCCGAAACCATCGAGATGAAACCCTGATGGAATGGTGACAAATAGAGCTTGTGAATGTATGTGTGTATATATATATATATGTACATAACCATGTATATAACAATATTAAAACACACATATATATATATATCTACATAAGTAACTGGTATCATTTATAATTTTGAATTCACAACCATCACCACTGCTACGAACATGGTTTAAGTATATAATATGTCTAAGATTGTCTAAGTCATTCTTTGTGGCTGGTTGAAGCCTGCCTTCAGAGCAGTCCGGCCACCCGGGCGAAGCGCAGCGATGGTCATCGCGGGGTCGGTCAGCCTCAGCAGCTGTCAGAGGATTGGTTTGAGGGAACATCTACATGAAACTCTGATGGTTTTTCTCGAAGAATAGGCTTTTCCTCCCGCCGCCCTGGAAGTCAAGGTCCCAACCGGCTTCTTCGCCCAAGCTCTGTGGAGCGCTTGGCAAGCTGCTGTGGCTCCTCGGCTGCACAATTTCGTGGTTTCCCCTGAAACAGATATGAAAGTCATTGGGGGTTATCATCGCAAATAGGAGGAGTCCCATTCATAAACAATACCTATCAATATTTGAACCACTCACCAAATGAGTACTAGGTTGTAATGTTTGTATGGGCATCATATCCTTTTATAGCAGCTTCGACCAAGACGAAAGGATACAAAAGATACAAAAGGTACAGTACAAATCATTGCGATTAGATAAGTACTTTTGCCTCAAGCAAATTAGGATATATTTTAATCAATTCAAATAGGGTCCGCAAATTTGCTTGTGCTGACACCACTTGCGACTCCCCAATCGTAATGCTTCAAACAACTCATGCTGGTTACCAGCGACATCCAACGATTGAAGTCATGAAAACCACACAGGTTTGTGAAAAAGGTGGCAAAAAAAAACCAGCTAGTCGCATTTTATCAAAAACCTTCACCAGCTTGGCACCTCAAGTTGGTCTAGTTTTGGCCAAACATGTGCTTCTGAAGTTGCTTTTCTAGGGTATCTGATCAGAAATGGCGGCTCCATGAAATAGGGCGTTCACTGCTATCTCCCCGAAAAATGGCCACACGTATCTATCCGTGGATCCTGTCTGTCACATTTGACAAATCACCTCAGCCATGTCCAGCTGCAACCGAGGTACAGGTACGACAAAGGCACCTATGCAAAACGCTCAAAAAGATGCGATGGTTATTGGCACCAACATGGCAAATCCATATCATGTCCACTAGTCCACTATATCAAAATGAAAAACACATAAAACAACAAGGCCCCGAGTCATTGGAAGGCTGTACCCCTGGGATCCCAGTAAAATTAACAAAACATATCAAAACATGATCCCCTACATTTTAATGCCTTGATATTCCTTGACTCCAAGGCCGAAAAAATGAGGTACCCACAAATTTGAGGGTAAATTTGATTCGGTTTACACTCAATTTTTCCGCATTCAATTGCCATTTTTTTTGGTTATCCACTTCCCATTTTCAGACACACCCATATAGAATATAATTAATTAATATTAATTGTGAATGTTTGAAACCTGGTTTCAACACTTTCTGTATCAAAAACGTTGGGTGTTTCCAAAATTTGGGATCCCCAGTCATTGCTGGCGACAGTCCCATACCGATGGTTGTTGGTCAAATCGCCATTTTCGTTGGGTGATACCGCCACTCTTGTTGACTACAACATATAGCTATGAGTCAAAACCCTGGTACCTAGTGAACCCCAAAATAGCTGGTAAATGGATGTTCATCCCACTAAAAATTGTATTTTCATAGGTATTGACCCATACCCATATAGCAACTTCCTTCTAATGGTAAATCCGCTTTGGGATAATTATCCCATTTTTCGGAATGGGTTGAAATGGAGCAGAGGCCATGACCAGTCAAATCTCGTCAATCATTCTAAATTGGACCAGCTACTGCAAACCATTATATACCATCTGGTTATGACTAACAGTTCGCCATGGAATTTATCACCATTTTTAAGTTTGGTAAACCATCTATTTCTATGGGCCATCTATACCATGGCTATGTTAGTCATAACCTCAGGGTAAAACATGTAAAAACTATCCCCCAGCCCACCAGGCCCTAGACCTCGCAAGCCCAAGCAATAGACCCTCAGTCGGATCGACGGGCTGACACCAAAGACCACATGAACACTGCTATTTATACGAAGAAAAAAACATACATCCAGGGGCTTTTATATGCTTTTATCATCATTTTTCCGTATTTTTCACCATTCAAAATATTCAAAGCACCATCTGGACTTGCCCACAGATCCCGAAAACATCGGCGGGTGGTCTCTGAGTCCTTCACACTGCCAGCAGGGGCAACAAAAATGCACGCCGCAGAAGCACCTTGCTGGGCCCCTCGGCTTCCCCACAGCAACAGTTAAAAAAAACCGGTGGCAATCCAATCCCAATAAAACCCTAGCCCATGAATGGAACCCCGCAAAAAGAAGACTCAGCGGACCAGGATGGCTACTAGATGGTTTATGGATGTTTATGGCTCTTTATAGATTTTCTTTTCAGGATTCTTACAACCCATGGATTTCTCAAAAAACTCAATGGCCAGCTTCCAACACAGCGCATTTTTTGGTGGGCGAAAAGCGTTCGCTGAAGACATGTGCAGCTTCACGATTTCCGTGGGATATTGGTGTGTGTCCAAGGATGGCTTGACGTTTTGTCTTTCCAACGGGCACTGAAACCGCCCTTCCAATAGGAATTGTTCTGGCACAACATGGTACACCGCGCAAAAATTTGACTGCACCATCCTTTGAAATCTTCAAACAGCTATATACACAAGCGGCCATTCCACATCTTTGGCGTATTGAATGGCCTAGCCTTTTTTGGATTTTGGTAGAGGCTTGACAACATTCTTGATCTTGCACCTTGGAACGAATCGCAATGTGTCCGCCGGTGACAAGTTGAAACACGTGACAATTTGCCGGAGAGGTCTAGTCCTTTTGAATTCTAAGTTATGCAGTAGATATGCACACGGGAATTACAATATATAGATCGCGAAAGGTATGTGACGTTGCACGGGATAGAACTACATCACGCTGCATGGACATGGCATTGATTTACATTCCTCGGCATTGGAATATGATACAAGGAATGCTTTTGACATACAAACTATACATCCACATACAACTATACATTAACATTATAATAAATTATATGGCATTACACTGGGTTGCTCTGCGATTCATGAGGTTACGATGTGGTTTATTTCCTTATATTGCGCTACCAGCTCACATCAAATAAACATACGATACTACTTTACGTCACCTTGCAAGACATTACACCGCATTATACAAAGTTGAGCAACCCTGGGCGAAGAAAGTCATAACATTCCATTACGCAACGCATTGGCCGTATGGGTTTGTCTGAAACTAGGCCACCCCAAATTTCATGGTTTATCAGTTTATAAATTCCATTCATTTTCCCAATGGTTTATCAGTTTAGCAGCATTTTCCCAATGAATAACACCATTTTTTAGGTCCCCCTATGACATACAAATGGCCCATCGCCAGGGCCATTGGTATAAGGGTGACCAACAGCATCAAACGGCAAACCGAACATGCTGGAACGAACATCACACGTTTGGATGTCAAATCCATCAATGGTTCCAGTTGTTTACCCTCTGGTAATTTAACATAGCTATTGAACATGGCCATTTGTAGGTGATTTCCCTACTAAAAATGGTGATTTTCCATAGTTATGGAGGTTTACCAGAGGGTAAACCTCCATTTTCCTGTGGTTTTCCTATCATTTTCCCATTAAAACCTTTCGGTTGACGATGAGTTTACCAGAGGGTACATCAAAATTGTAATGCGATGTGATGTCTTTGACAAACATCTCCAAAAATCGCTTCAAGGGTGGACATCCAAAATCATGGCTGAAACCTGAGAAACTCAGGGTCAGTTTAAGGGAGGACTCCCCTATTGGACTATATACATACTATATATTGATCATATATAGATATAGATTGTACATATTATACAACTATATATATATTATACTAAAAATATGTGTCACGTTAAAAACGTAGGGGGCCATTCGTTGTTCGGGATCGCCAAGGAGCTTGGTGTAGGGATGCGTAAAGCCACCTTCTGGGACCGCTCCTTCACCCCCGGCACTGGTACTGCTGGAGTGGCTCTCCACGTCGTACTCGATGACCATCCCATCCGTAGCCTCGCCCACCATACCTCAGGAACCATCATTTTGACCAAGGAATTAATTGGAGCATGGATAAATCAGCCCTGCAAAGTATCCGGGATAACTACTGTAGTTGGTTAAAGCCTAGTTTTGAACACGGATCTCTTTGTGAAAGGGATGAGATTACATCAGTTACATCATAAGTTACATCTAATAAAAAGGCAATCCATCCTCATCATTCCACCTCCGATGCCAGGTCCCACCAGTTTCATGGTGATGTCCGATGGTTGCAGGGAAACCTCACCTTTTGGTACTTAAGACCCCCCAAAAAGACAGCAATTAGTGAATTTCAATGTATTCCAACCAAATGAGTGGCAAAGATATGGCAGTGTGTCAAAACCTTGTACCCCTGGTGAACATCAAAATAGCTGGTAAATGGATGTTCATCCACCTAAAAATGGTATTAATAGGTATTGATCCATACCCATATCTGTTTCTATCTTTTGATTCTTTTGGGTGGTTACCACAAAATCAGTAGACTTGTGATTTTTCACATTTTTTCACCCTAGCCATCCTCGTAAGACAGGCCACGATCCCACTCAGCCTTGTCAAACTCAAAGACTGGATATGTGGCAGACATCATTCCCTCCTCATCAGCTGGCTGGGAAATCCTCTGCAAATGAACAAGTCATTACCCTCTGGTTATGAAAAAAATGGCTATTAAAAATGGCCATTGAAATAGTGGATGTTCCCATCAAAATGGTGATTTTCCATAGTTTTTTGTATGTTTACCAGAGGGTAAATGGATGCTTTGATGGGAAAATCATCTACCCTCTGGTAAATTGACATAGACCCTGAAAATCACCCATTTTTAATGGAAACTCATCTTCCAACCCCCATCTACCAGGGTCTATGTTAATTTACCAGAGGGTATCAATGGATATAAACGGGGGATTTTCCAGCGCACCATCTTTGAACACCAGAGGGTATGTATGGGTGAAAACATGTGAAAACATTGTCTCCAACGGCGCCACCCAAAAACCGTGTCTGGAAGTGCCACTGCTGTGGCTATGAAAGACCTAAACTGGACCATTGAAATCTGAACATATCATGATCGAAATCTAAGAAATCTTCAGTCTTTCCAGTACTTCTTGGAAAAAACATGAACAAAAACCAACTTTCTGGCATTTTGACACTATCCTCTCCAGTCATTTCCACCTCCGTCCGCGACTCCTTGGGTTTGTATAGGACCTTGTCCTCCCGCACCTTCACCGTCATGTGGGTGCGTCCCAATGTCATACTGGACATGGCGCTCGCACCTGGATTTCCGAGTACCCAACCATAGGCCCTAAATCCATTGGATCATCATCATTTCCCTAGATATTAACATAGCCGACATAGCCGTTTTGATCGTTTTGGGGGTATACCATGGTATACACCGGTATAGCCCAATTTCAGACACAGCCAAATGGAATAGGTCTGGTTTCATGTGTGGTTTCCGACTCTTGAGCACCAGTGAAAGTTTCGGATGATTCGAGATCTTATTCTTTCGAGGTTGGCGTCACCTGTGAAGGTCAGAGCCAGCAGCGCTAGAAGCCGCATGGCGACGAGCGAACCCGGCGAGGTTTTCACTGAGCCAAAGCAATTTCACCGAGATTTTTTTGTAAAATCCTGAACAAATCTGACCCCCCCTTGGAGATTGGGTGATTCCAATCAAACAGAAGGAGAACACACTTTGAGACAACGGTCTTATCACTGCTTCTGTATATACCAATCATATTCTGTATTCTGTAAATAATGTAAATCAATAATGTATCTATGTGTATATATGCATCTGTATCTATATATATATCATATTATATATATATATTATATTATATATATATTATATTATATGTATATATATATTATATTATTTATATATTATATTATATTATATTATATTACATTATATTATATTACATTATATTATATTATATTATATATATATGTATTATATATATGTATATTATATATACATGTACATACACAATACATATATGCTTATGATTGTGCATGTTCAAGTTGTAGTCTATTACTACAACCGACCCGGTTACTGCTGCGAACATCCAATGGTTGATCATCACAAAATCCCCATGCCCCAAGGGCTTCCCCACCATCGCTGCAGCCCCCCGTTATAAACCGATCAGTGACGCTCCAAGCTTGAGACAACGAGGGGCGCAGCAAGGCGAAAGCTGGGACAACTCGGGTAAAAAAACTGGGTTTGTCATAGGGTACCCCATTCCATCCACTGATTGATAATCATTTTCGCTATTATTTGACACCATTTTTGTGGGGATATCCCATGGATACAAACCATCAAAGCAATCTATTGGGATGTCAGGAGCTTTTCCTGGGCCTGCGATGAGTCATGCTCATTCACCGTCTGGAGAGATGGCTGTTTGATTAGTACATAAGATTCACCATCGACATGGCCACTGATTGGTGGCATGCCTGGTATGCTCGTCAATGGGGATTGTCATCCAAAATAGGATCATAAATGACATCTGTTCCAAAGCACCAACGAGATTTTACGTACTCTGGGCAGCAGCATGGGATGGAACTTGAGAAATTTGCGACCAGAAATCGCACACTCTTGGAACATTTTGGATCACCTGGCCACTACCCTCTGGTGTCATGAAAAGTGGCTGGTGGGAAAATCACCCATTTGTTCGATGATTTTCCCAGATTTTCAGTCTGTTAACCCCCGATCTCAAGTGTCGATTGGTTCATCCTCATCATATCCCCCATGTTGATGACACTAAAGGGTGCATAATAATATAACCATATAATTATATAATACTCTCCTTCCCCCAGGCGCCATTCTCAATGTCTCCTCCACTCCGCATGCATCGAGCTGACGCCATCTTTCAAGCAGCTGCTGGGCTGCGTGGGCACTGCTCAACCTGACCCGTGGGAACTTTCGCGAGTGACGCGAGTATCGAGAATGAGTTTCTAGTGGCTACTGGAAATCAACATAAACTGACCACAGCTTTGTGAAGTATGTATACTGTTTTTTTGGATGCAAATAGGAATTATAGCCACTATTACTATAATTTAGTGGGTAATTATATATATATATATTGCTTTATAATGGCTAATTCTAAGAATGTATATTACGAAAGTGGGCATGTTATAGCAATTAACCTTGTAGCGATTTTGCTCACCCAGACTCACCCGATAGTAATTATCAGCGCAAGAACCTATAGCCTATATTTATAATCACTATATGGGTCGAAGTTTTCACTGGGATATATAGGGATATTCCCAATCCTTCCTAGTGAGGTCCTCATGCAATTTATCCAGAATTTTGCGTATGGAGTCCAGTCTTCAAACAGTTTTCCTCAGAGAAATTTCGGGAAAATCCACAACTGATAACTGTACAGCACAGAGTTCTGGGTGGGTTGACTTTTCGAAAATTCTTCGGATTTCCGAGATGTGCTGGTTTTAAAGATGTCTTGACTTCCACAGTTTCCACTCAACATTCGCGTTTCTGGGGGATATATCTACAGTTGTCTTTCTTTTTGTTCATGGCTTTATACAATATCATAAACCAACTACAACCAACTTGTGGCTTCGGGGAGCCACCAGAGTACCTTGTTTTAGTATGTTTTCGTAACGTTTCTTTTTGGGGTTGCCCACTGTAGGTGGAGCCTCTTCACGGGCAAGCCTTGATCTTCCCAAGCCTGGCAACTTTTCTTGGCTACGGCTGCGTCATGTCCCGAATATTGGTGTTTGTTGCTGGTTCTATTCCTCTTTTCATCATATTTCTTATCACCATCCCATGTCTTCAACGGTGGTTTTTCAACCGCAAGGACTTCAGAAACCCATTTTTCTCGCGGCATTACGATGTCGCAAGGGGCGCGTGAAGCGCGCGCCTCACGGGGTCATGTTCAGAGCCAGGGACCCAGGGAAACACGAGAAGACCGTTACATTTTTGGGCACCCAAACATGATCTAAATGGAAACCATAACTATCCATTGGAAACATTGCGCCATGCTCTATCCAACCACTGCCAGTCACATGGCGCACTGACTCCAAAAAATCCTAAAGTAATCTGCTGGACATTGAGAAACATTTTAGTGTCATGGTCAAGTTACATGCGATAGTCATGGGGTATGGTCATTGCACCATCATTAATATATATATATATATAATTATATATATATATCTATATTAATGGGATTCCAAACATCATGAGTTTATTGTATTGACCCCGATGAAGGGGAGATGGACCACCTGTTTTTATCATGGGAATACACACACTATGTTTGACTCTGGCACATTTGGTAAAGCTACTCTATCTATATATCTCTATCTAACTTGCGAATGAAGACATTTCTTCTCAAGCAGAGCCCCTAACCAGCGTCGCAGCCGATCACCCGAATAGGCTGCCACCAGCGCCTGCTATTCTGGTGGTAACACCTCGAATGGGGGCGAACTGGCTCGACAAGTATTAACCAAAGCCATCCAGTTCGCCAACGTTTCCCGTATCTGGCAAGGTTGAGACAACTGCGACTTTGGGAATCACCAAACCAAGCTTTCTCCACAAAATCAAACCCATGTGGATATATGTAATATATGATGATATATAAGTTCTGTAGCCTGGCAATTTGGAGAGGCCCCCAGTCAATGACCAATGAATTTCAGTGTGGTGTAGGTAGTGATTCCAACTCGAACAGATCACTTAAAAACTAAACCGCGCCAAAACCGATGAATCTTGAGTCAAATACCAAACAAACGCCACCCGCTGTACTCCCTATGCCACAGCTTCTTCAAGATTCAACAAACTGGTTTTGTTGTTTGCTTCAAACACAACTTTACAAGAGTTCATCTTTTTGGACCGTTCGAAAAAAAGGCATATAGCCTCCTCAAATTCATTCTGGGACTATTAGATTGCTTGTGCAAGGGTGCTCTCATACCCCAAAAAAATCGAAGGTGTTCAGTCACGTGTTTGTTCAATAACTCTGATGACTCAAATTGTTGTGTCGTCTTAAATCGGTGGGGGGGCAATCATCCAAAATTAGCTATGTTTAATGGGAAAATCACAGTTTGGGGGGACCCTCGAGTGAACCCATCGTTCTCCACACGTTGGGGCCTTATGGTTGATAAACCAGAAGGGCCCATCGCCTCGCGCTGTTCTTCCCATGAAGCAAAACCCAGCTGGATGAACTGACATAGATGTGGCATGATGTGGCAAACCCATGGTTAAAGCCCTTCGGAAAGATTGGTCTACATTCATGCTGTTTTTTCCACATCTATGTAAACGTTTACAGGATGGTAAACGTTCGCAGGACTCTTCCCCATCTGGACCCCGCACCTTTCAGGAATTGACCACATCCGTGGATCGCCAATGGACCTGTCTGACGTGCCAAGAATTCGTGATGGAACGGATGCACCAAATTGGGGACCCACGATAGTTATTTCTATCGCTATTCAATACATTTCAATACTTTTCACAGGAAAGTTAGTGCAGGATTTTCTGGCAGCATGTTTGGCATTGGCCGCACTCTCTAGTGTAGTCTTTTAAATGCATCAGTTTTTTGTCGTTGCTTGCTCTACTTCAGGTTGCTAAGTTCTTGAGTTCAGGAAACATGCTGCACCCTTTGTGAACCCTATCGCGCTATGTCAAAAGACCCTATGCCTATGTCAAAAGCCACTCTATACTTACAACGTTGCTCCAATGCAGAACATTTTGGGTATGGGCCAACTTCGGCTGCACCCCAACTGCCAATACAAAAAGACATTTTCCGATTTTCCAGCCGTGGTTCCAACCGCAAGCCATCGTGCCTTGTGCCTTGCTCTCCACACAGTAGTGCTCATGCCGGATGTGACCCCTAAGAAACCTGGGCACGGATCATCGAAATCCACCAGATTTACAGACATGGCTCCAAGGTTTCCCTGAAATCAGCTGAGATTTGTTTTACACACGAAACCAACAGCCGGTGCTTGGCAGCGACATTTCAAGGTGTGCACCACCAGGAATAACCATGGAAGTGGAGAATGTCTCTGAAGAGAATGATCTTCCAGTGGATCGGGGGATTTGTGCTTTCATGAGTACTTTGAAGAGAGTGAGCCAGCATGAGCCAGCCCTACCATTTGCAGCAGAAAGAGGGACATGGTGATCAACATCAATTCTTTTGGAGTAAGTTTAACTCTACACCCAAAAATGATAGTCACCGATCATGAGAAGGGGGTCGTATCGTGACCGTCTCCTTCGCCACAACAATGGACATACATTTCCCCAACCAGGAAACTATATATATATATAAACTATTATATATATATAGAGGAGTTCTGGCCGCCCTTCTAAGATGCTTTGTTTGATCATCATTCGTCTATCAGTAGTCTGATGCCTAGAACCTTGAAACTTTGCTGGCATGCAAAACTGGGTTACTAGATCTTATTTGAATATATCGCATGTTTTTTTTTGGTCCACACTATACGTGTTGAGATGCACGTGTCATTCCCCAGAAAGTTAAAAAAAAAGGCGTTTCACCCAAGGGTCCTCCAAGTCTGCCGGGAGCTCCTACGCTGATGCAACATGCGTTGCATTCATCAACACCCATTTGGGTGTGTCTGAAAATAGTGTACCCCTAAACCCAATGGTTTTGCTGATCATTATCCCTATTTTTTATGGCTATAATTGGGAATATACCCTATTTTCAGACAAACACCAGTTTATTTATCCAATGATCCGGTCAATTGGAGGCCCAATTTGTACTAAAGTCTCATTTTCCTAAAGTACTAACGCTGTAAGAAATGGATGGATCAATTAGTACTAAAGTCCTAATGAATCAATTAAGACGTTGTAAAGTACAAAAACCAATGATTCATCAATTTCTAATTTTACTAACGTCTCTTTACAACGGTCGGATACGATCTGTCCTTTTGGAACAGGTCGCCAGCTTTGCATTGCCAGGCACCTACCGGGAATCCATGGTGGCTTTTGGCTTCAACTTGCTTCAACCCAGCCTTCAAACTGTTAGTCAACTAGGGAGCATCATTGCAAAGAGGAGTGGAAAACAAATCATAATTTGAAAGGACCGACCGGAATTAAATGGAGGACATGTCCTACAATGGGGAACGAACCTTCCAATAGCTGGCGGTGAGTTTCAGTCCCATTTTCATGAAATCCTCATCCTCACAACACAAAAGTGTGGCCCAAGTATGTTTTTCTGGCCTCAGTCAAGTATGTTGCTGGTTTCCATGATGATTATTACTAGACTAGATCGCTTTTGGAAACGCTGGTTGCAAGCTCAAATCCCTCTCGTCTTGTCAAGACAAAAAACAGTTGGATCTGACACAAACTAGACACAGTCCATCAGTTCTGATTAGTTACTCCATAAAGTATAGACCATTTTTTCTTTTCTGGCTGGCGCCCCTTGCAACATGGTAGTTAGTAGAGTCAAATGGGGATCAAACTTCCAAAATGAAATACAGTATAACCAAACAATCAACATCACCAACTCGCTTTGTACATGGATTTGTTTGAAAATAGGATACCCGCACATACACTGCCTAATCATGATTTTAAATCATTTTTAGTCTTATTTTATGAATCTATATAGATATGAAGTATATATCGGGGTCCCTTTTCAAACAAACCCAAATGCTTGAATCCACCATGTTTGATAACCATTGACCCCAGGAAATCCGTTATGAAGTTGTAATTAAGTTCATTTAAATCCTAATTTAGAGCTGGTTAAATCCGCTATTTCCGGAAAACCACATTCTCAAATCTGGCAATTTTCCATTTTTCATGGTTAAAATAGCTTAACATCTCATTGGCTCCCAAGTTTTTCTGAACGTTGAATCCGAGAAACAACACCAGAACTTTTTCCAAATTTTTCGTTGAATCTGGTACGATCCTGATCCAGTCAGCCTGACTCGTTCCAAAAAAAAGGGGGCCTTCTCAGCCTCCAAACACAGACCCGACAGCAAACTCCTGAGATGGGATGATGCAGATGAAAGAACTGCGATGGACATCCCAGTAACCACCATCCCAACTATATATATATATTTACAACTATAAATAAAGGTTACTATAGATATACTATATACAACTGAGTGTCAACTGATGTAAATTATATAGTTGATATATAGTCAGCTGATTGTCAACTATATATATATAATAATAATGATTATAAATCATTGTCCCTAGCATAGGATTGGTTTAGACACTTCAATTGCCATTCCAAAGCTGGTATTGCCCGACGATTGAGCATCATGTGGTGGTGCACTGCGTTCCTCACGAGGATTTAGAGTATACCACCATGATTGGGGATGCCTCCCATCAAAACCAGGCAACAGAAAAGGAGCAAACAGGGGATACAGTATTGCCAACAGCAGGGTAAATCTGATTAGGAACCATCAACTATGCCAATAGACATCAACATTGCATGACTGGGTGTGTACATTATGCAGATGGAAGAGGATGTGGACATTTTATCACATTGGTCCCATTGAATTCCACCATTTGAATTGGATTTGCAAAGTTCAATGTGCCGGAAACGATGGTGACAGTTGATAGCCAAAATTTGGGGGACACCTCGGCATGGATAAAACGTGACGTACCGAGATCCACGAACTTTGCTAGGCCTTCGGGTCAGTTCGTGGTGAACTTCTCTTCCCGCTTGACTTTGCCCCTGTTCTGATGGGGAATTCCATAAAGAATCACCCCTGTACCTCCATTGATCTCAACAAACATGATTATATAAATAATCATATTTGGGGGTCCCTATTTTCACACAAACCCAAATTAATGATTCCTTTGGTTACACTTAAATTCAATCCCAAGTTTCGATGGTCACCATCTTAATTCTCCATTTTCCATCATGTTCAATCATTTATCGCAGCTTTCCAAGTGTCTTCATGGTCATCGCATGCTGTGCGAAGCGCTGCTTTGGCTCATCTTCGCACGGTGCCTGGTTCCACACATGGGTATGGATCAATACCTATTATATAATACCATTTTTAGTGGGATGAACATCCATTTACCAGCTATTTTGATGTTCACCAGGGGTACAAGGTTTTGACACACTGCCACATAGTGGAGTGTCAACAACTTAGGTCACTACGGGCGGGGTGTGATTTGATTGCTGGGAAGTAACCCGGTCACTCCTGCTGCCTCCATCAAACCCGCAACTACCAGGAGAAAATGCTGCAATGTGCTGCGATATCTTAATTCTTTACAGTACACAACAGTGCCCTGAAATTGAGATCTTCCCAAATTCTTCAAACTCGTGGCTTTGTCTGAAAATCGGATATACCGCCCAAATGACCAGTTTATGTCTGAAAATGATGATTAACACTGATTAACCAATGGATTTAGGGGTTACCCATTTTGCAAACAAACCCAAATCCATGATTCAGTTAAAGTTAAAGTAATCATCTGAAAAATCCTCCACTTTTCATTAGACTCTTCCATTGATAAAATCAGCTTCTACCAGGCCATTCTACAGGCTACCCTGCTACCCGGTAGGCAGCCTCATGCAAACCATCACCTGACTCGCTGGTCTCCATACACAAACCTGGCGGACAAGGCCAGCCAAGCTCTGTGGGATCATTTTCCCAGGGAAACCATGGGGTTTTCCACATCGAACTGTTAGTCTACCCCAATGGGCAAAAATATTGGTGACACCTAGGTACTTGACATAAAACTAGTGGTTAATTATGGCAAAAATTCCTGAAATTGACATTTTTGTCCATTCAATCATTGCCATCAACACAACCTTCTGTAGAGATCACAGTAATACAACATGATACAACCAACCGATTGGATTGGATCTGCGGGTCCCCCATGGCTGTTTCAGGTTTACCCCCAGACATCAAAATCAGCACCCGGCGCACCTGTATGGCTATCACGAATCTGAACGCTCTCGCGGGGCAGCATACCTTTCTTGTCGAAGACCTGTCCGATTTTCCGAGTTCAGACTTCTGATACTGTAAATAGTATACACCTGTTCAATATCAGTATCAATATCACCGTCGCCATCAGCATAGCATCACCATCACCATCACCATCACCATCACCATCACCATCATCATCGTCATCGTCATCATCATCATCATCATCATCACCATCACCATCACCATCACCATCACCATCATCAACCACCCCTACCGTCCTATCTATTGTCGTATCATGTCTATCATCAGCACCTTGTGGAACTTCTGCACGAACCAACTGAAAGGCTTACCTTGCAAGTTGAGGAATATAGTACAGTAACTGGTAAACATTGGTAAACAATGGTAATTATGGCTGTTATGGCAGGGAAAAACAGATTAATCTGACAATCTACGCCTTCCTGGCAACTCTACAGGTGCGAACAAGTATTGACCAGACCCAATGCCAACCTCAAGTATCGGGGATGGTTAGGAGCTCACACATTTCTGGAAAGTTAGATGAGGACGGTTTATGGTCTTATGTTTACATATGTTTACCACCTGACTGTAACAAACAGTGATGGACAAGCTGATTGAAGATGAATGGAACGATTTGAACCTACCTCTGAAACATGCCCCAAGTCCATGCAACACCTCAAATGACAGGAATCAGGAATCCCTTCATATAAACCCTCTTCAACATAGGGTATGCGCCAGGGGTCTTTTGGATGTCAGACTTCTCTGACCATTGAATCCTCATCACTATTAGTCGGCAGCCAGTAGTGGCTATGACTCAAAATTACTGTCCCTTTTTGAAGTCAAGTCGACTTGGACGGAGTGATGAACACGAGGAGCATTGCGGAATACTCTCTACAATCCCTGGATAATCGCTGGGATATCTGGGATTTGCGTGTGACTTCGCTTGCCCAAGGTGTGACTTGCCAAACCAGATACATTGAAGCCTCTCCTTTAAAGCCAACCGCTCATCGATGTCACCTCAGATAAGAGATCCATCATCAGATCGCAGGAACCTGATGGAACTGTCTCTCAAATCATGGCATATGGCATATATATATAACCATAATTTTATAATAATAACAATCATAATAACAACAATAATAATAAATAACAATAATACGACATATATATATATATGTATATGTATACGTATATGTATATGTATATATATATATACACATACACTATATTATATGTGTGAATTACATTAAATATATTAAATTAGACCGACCTGAAACTCACACTTTCTATATTTCTTTCCAACGTCGGGATGTTTGGGTTTAGGGTTTACCCTGACACATTTTCTCTCTGAATGTTGGGATGACCATGACCATGTTCCCCTTCCCCCGAGGTAGCTCCTAGTTCCACCAAGCCGCCCATCGATGGCAGGAACCTGCCAGAGAAACCCAGGATGCGGGTGCAGCATGGTGCAGCACGACCAAATGGCTTTGCCCATTTGAAGCATCAAAAACTGGATGGAACTGGCCTTTCGGAACATGATGATTCAATCTATCTAAAGAGATTTATTTTGGCGAAATTCCCCAAGATTTTCAAACAACCCCAAGCCCACGTGGGGCCGCACCCCTCCCATCCTGGAGGCTGCAGGCTCTGCATGGTAGTAGTAGGCCTGGTCGGCAATCATCGGAAAAGGCCACAAGTTTGTCACGTTCTGTCCAAGACTCAACCCCAATATCCAATGGATTTTGTAGCTTTTAAAACCTCAGCTTCACCATGAAAATACATCTTCAAACTGCTACCTTTCGATCATTTTTGACCAATTCATCTCCGTGATGGGTGAAATCCCCATTGTTCATGGTCAAACTCCCGGGCGAAGAAACGAAGTTTTACGCCCCACCTTGTACTCGTCGAACCACGTCTCCACCGCCCGGATCTGGCTCATGGGATTCAACACAAAAATGCGGAAGGGGATCTGGTAACGTCTGCTATGGACTATAACAATGTGGATCATGTGGATGGCTATAAATGCTATTAAGATATGTTCACTATAGTTGAATACTCAATTATATGAAATCACAACAAACACAGTCAAACCTTGTTCGTTGAGTCAGATAGAGTCACGAGAGAACCAGGTCTAGAACGTGGCCATTGGCCCTCTCCCGCCTTGTTCAGAAGTACTTCCTTAGTGGACATGGCCAGAAGCCACACTTCAACAATGACACAAATTTCAATAGCCTCGAAAGAAAAGGTCACAAAAGCACAGGTTAGATTTCTGTTGCGTGGCAAAATACGTCAAATCCAGCACTTTTCAACGGGTCCTCACTGATCGCTCCATGCGGCAATGTTCACACAAACTCTTCAAATGCTTTCCACAAGTGAACACAAGCAGAATCGAGGTGGCACGAAATTTTTAAACCTTAATCTTTAAACAGTTACACAATGTTACACATATTTTTCTCTTGATTGATCCATATATTTTCAAAGCATTTTTTTTAAAACAAACATTCGTGTCAGTCATGTCTACCTTTGAAATCCTTTGAACGCCCATCAACCCAGGTTCTGTCTTGTTGATTTCATAGGGGAATTCGCTCCGGAACACATGGCCAATTCGCGAGTCTCCTGGGGCTGGGTCATCCCACCAGACTTAGGGACTTGGACGACTTCCCAGCTTACCTGGCCTGGTAAACATACAAAAAATATCAAAAAACCATGGACAGATCCATTTTAATCATTTTATAGCTGGGAAAATCATGGAAAATCAACTCTTTCGACTGAGCCGTTTTCAAGAGCAAAGTGTTAGTTTACCAGAGGGTAGCAGCTGGAACACATTTTCGGAACAGCACCCGACCATACCCGACCATGTCAACGCCGAGTTGCGAGCGACGAAGATTTCCCCGCCGCAGAGCCAGATTCGAATGGATTGCTCGATATTCTCGGCGCCCCACATGTTCATGCCATAGTCATACCTGCCATTCAGAATGGCTAGTCATATATGATCATATATGGCACTGTGTCAAAACCTTGTTAGTACCCCTTTTTTGTTCACATCAAAATAGCTAGGATTTATGGATGTTCATCCAGTTCATCCCACTAAAAATGGTATTTTCATAGGTATTGATCCATAGCCAATATGATCATTTCACTGAGATCCCCGACTCGCCGGACTCGTGCCACCAGCGCTTCCTTGGGGTGATTTTTGATGGTGATTTCATGGTGATTTAACGGTGATTGGGATGTAACCTATAACAGAATCCTTAAATGAAGCATGGATGTGGAATCCAGAAAATTTAGGGAAGCACCTCAAGAGCTTATGGGTTTAATCGTCATCTTCCTAGAAATCAACATGAGACATTTATGTACTCTGCAGATCTATGCGGCAACATGCAGAAAAATGAACATGTCAGGGAAACGTCTGGTCCTTCTAAAATCAATGACTTGAACAAATAATGCAGTTTTGGCCGGTCGGGGAAAACTATGGAAAACTATGGAAAACTATCATGAAACTTGTGCCGTTGCCCGAAGATTCCTTATAAACCAATTACAGAATTAATAAGGAACAAATTACGTCAAATTACAAGCACCCCAACCTTCATATATCATAAAAAATCATAAAACAACTTCCTCAAGTTGTCCAGGCTGCGTGATGGCAAAGAGGCCGCCACTCATGCAGGGCACCAGGTCGGTTCCATCGTCCAGCCAGTTGAACTGCAGCCTCCAATCGAACATCATCTTCACCTGGGACGATGCAGAAAATGTGGCAGAAAATGTGGCAGAAAATGTGGCAGAAAGAGGTCTCCAATCAGAGGTCTCCAATTGCAACGTGTTGAATAAGAAAAAACTGTGGCTCTGGGAGTCTTCTCTGATTTTGTTTGATTTCTGATCATCTTCCGAAAGAGCTTGAAGATAGATATATGATGATCTATGATAATGATACATGATGATAGATGATGATAGATGATGATATATGATATGTTCTGATCTGATAGTCTTCTTTTGCATAGACAACCACGATTTGAAATTCTGATTTTCATCACCCTTCCCCGAAGCACCCAAGCTGCCACACTTCAACCTAGTCGGTAGGCAACATGCATGATTGCCACATATGTTTGATGGCTTTAAAATCTGGGAAATCCCAGCATCTTTAACTGGTTGGTGGTTTTAACCATCTTGAAAAATATGAGTTCGTCAATGGGAAGGATTATCCCATATATTGTGGAAAATAAAAAACATGTTTGAAACCACCAACCAGTGAAATTTCGAAGTCTCCTGTGGATTCTGTGGGAAATTTCCCGGCTTGCCCAGCAGCAATTTGATCCTTCATCGACCACACAGATCAGCTGAGCCTTCCGACCCCAACGGCCATGTTGTTGATCTTCCAAGTATCGCCTTCCGACGATGGTTGGAATCGTGAAAGATGATGGACCGAAGTCAGTTGGGATGATGACATCCCCAACTGATAAGGAAAAATAATCCAAATGTGTCAAAGCACCAACCAGTAATGATCATTTCAATCTCTCAACAGTCCAAATCCATAAAAAACCGAAGCTTTTCGTCACCTGACAAAAACACACCAGTGATATCTTTGTGCTTGGTCACCAGTCACCATCCCTGGTAGAAAAAAAAAACCTCGTCCTTGGGCTTCCATACCGTTTAAAATGGGGATCAATGGCACCACGACTCGCTTGTAGTTGATGTTCACGTGTCCTTGGCGGATCATGGTTGGAATTGGAAGCAAATCTTGAGAATGGGAATCGAGGAGTTGGAAAATCATATCCAGATAGTTTCTGGATACCAGAACTTAGATGAACTTAGATCACCCAAGGTTATGGATTGTTCACTTGTTTACTGTAGGCTTTGACATATGCCGAAATGCAACACCCTCAGCCAAGCTTCGCAACAGGCCTTTGTACCAGCCTCAGTCCCAATTGGAGTGGCTACCCGCGCCACTTGAGCAGTGTTTAAAAAGCTCTGTCGTTCCTTTATACCAGTTGTTTCATAGGATTCCTGATGATGGATGATAATTCCCCACATATATATAATATAATATAATATAATATATTATAATATAATATAATATATAATATAATATGAAGGTAGTATAACTGTATACAGTAACCCCTATATGTGCGACAGCCTGTTACAGTACTATGTACCAAGTCGGCCAAGTTGCCATTCGTCGGCTTTACCTCAAACACCCAAGTTGCAAACCATTGAAGATATTGAAATCCACGCGGCATGTCTAAGGACACAAGTTGCCAGTTCTATATGACTTCATCTATATAGAATCTATATATGGCTTCAAAATCTTGAGTCCTCAGTGGTTGTTTCCATTGTCCAAGACAGTGGCTCAAGCATATTGTGGGATATCATCCCAGGGATGAAGAGTACAATTGAAATCAATCCAGGAAACCCAGTCACCATGTTCTCGAATCTGACATGCTTCCCCTTCTTGCCAGCACCACACATCTTCTTGGGTGGCAAAGGCTATAAAAGCACAGTGCTAGTTCACTTTCGGCACGCTCGGTCGGGCAAACATGGAAAGACTCTGCCACATGCCCTTGGTGTCATGCCTTTTGCTGACATGTTTCTTCGTAAGTGGGATTCAACTTGTGTTTTCCTGCTGGATTCAGAAGGCACAACGATGAACTCATACCCAGCTCCTGTACATGATAAATCTGCAATATTCAGCAAGTATTCAAAATCTTTGAGCCCTTGAATTGCATGGTTCTAAGCTTCAATACTCAAAATGATGGCATTTGTGCAGATTTCCTATACCCTTTTGATCCTTTAATATTCTTTTAGAATCGTGCATTGCAAATCACCCACTCAGCGACTTTTCCTTGCTGAACATTGGGGATCTGGAAAAACCCATGGCGCTTCCTATCATGACTAGTCAAACAAACGCGAATAACCATCCCACTTGTCGCAAAAAAATACAACCTACTAACATCTACTAACCTACTCAAAGAAGATTTACTTGGCTATAAATTCTCCCCTCACAAACTGAACATTGATCCTCGAAGCAAAACCCAAAACAACCCAAGCTGCATGTGCGTCCAGGAACATGATCCTGAGATGGGCAATGGAAAAATTGTGGATCTTCGGCTGAAATGTGATAAGTGATAAGTATAGAACCCCCATGCCCAACATTTGGGCATCTAAAATCTGAGACTCAAACACCGACTTTTTGAAATGAGTCAACAGTCCTTAACTCCGATCGCTGTTAGAACTTAGTATCAATCAAATAACCATAGTTAAAACCATAGTTATCCATAGTTATCCATATTAGACAATGGTCTTTTCTCGGTACGGTATAGCCCATTTTTGTGATCACAACAGCCCCATGTTTGATTCCAACGCAGCAAAGCTTCATGTCAGCCCTGGCCATGTTGCCTCCCTCCATTTTGGACCTCGGTGATCTGGGTGCAGTTCCACTGGGACAATGAATGGTGACGTTTATGGACCACCACCATGGGACCGTAGAAGTTGGTTATCTCCCGACCTCTAATGGGACATGAAAAATCCTATGGTGACCCTCTGGAAAATTAACTTGTTGACCCTGAAAATGACCAATTTCTAATGATTTCACTAGTCTTCCAACCCCGATGACTGCCAGGGTCTATGTTAATTTACTGGTGGGTATATCATGCATATTTTGTGCACACAAAATGAGTCCGTGAGTCTCTGTGAAACACCATGAGTTCATGGATTTGAATGGTGCTTTGACCCATCGACCCATCAAAATTGTTTTGGTGCTATATGGGACCGATGAGATTTTATAAGGCAGCTATGGAAACCATGTCCAAGTTTTGAATCAATTTGAATCATACTTAAACTTAGTAAGACTTAGCTTCAAACATGATATGATCAACAGCAATGAAATTGCTGTTGCAATTATCAAATGTTATATCAGTTCTGGTTGGTTGTACATCCGCCATCACTCACTTTCCCTCATCAATGTTAACCCAGGAGTAATAATCACCAAGTTTCTACGTTAAGGGGGTCCCCCGACACAGTGATAAACTCGATGATAACAAATGCGGTACTCGCCTTATTAAAAAAAACTGGGAATTTACCAATCCGATGGTTACCAGTCTTATTCCAGGTAAAGCCACAATTTTCAGACCCATCCAATTTGATCAAAATAGTTGGTTATATAATGTTACATATATATATAATTATATATATATATTCCCATCATATGCCCATCATGTATTTGTTGGTTCATTTCCTGTTTTTCCCCAATCATACCACCGGCGTATATATATATATCTATACACATAATTGCTGGTGATCTATCCTGTTATATCATGTTATCCCCATTGCTGGTGATATGTAATGTTATATCCCCATTAACTACCCATTTATGGTTGGTAAACTCCCCGTTCTTTCAGCACACTGAGTCGCAGGTTCCCTGTCGGGTCGCTTTACTAAGCCTCTCCTGGTCTCGTGTCGGAGCCTCCGTGTGTAGAACCGGGATGAACATGGAGAAACGACAGCAAGAAGCAATGATGGTGTCTTCTTGGGATTTAATGGTGATTTATAGGGATGGAATGTGATTTCATGGTGATTTAATGGGGATTTATAGGGATCTAATGGGATTTAATGGGATTTATAGGGATATAATGGGATAAGTGAGGCTTTCTGGGGATATAATGGAGATTCTATAGCCATCTGTTTATACACGGGTTATTCGATCAACAATGTAAAAAGCAAAGAATGTATCATTTGGATCCATTTGGTGATTTCATTTCTAGCAACTTTTTTTGGCACCCCAAATTCCTGCACACAATGGCTTTTTATTGTTTTGTTTTGGTTCATCGATCATCAATTTGGTGGAGCCCCAGCTGCATTGTGGATTGTGGATGGGTAGGGGCCCCCATCCAATCAGCCTATCCATTGGTTCATCAATGAGGAAAAAGATGAACCAACGGATACAGTACTGATGGATATATACTGATACTGGATGATAGGTATGGTATTTTCTATACACATATATTGTAAATGGGGCAAGTATTGCCCATTTTCACACCATTTTGATGATACAAGATGATACAAGATTGTACATGAAAATGCCTCAAAACGACGATGCTGCGCACAGCGTTGAGGCCGGTGCAAATGCACCTTCTCGTAGTTGAGCTGTAGCGGAGGGTCACTCCCATCATCAATGACGATGATCTCCATCTGCACAGCGTGACTTTGGCTTCATTTCACCACAAAACTCTGGAAATTACAGGATACTCCAACTGATCAGAAAACGGGTAAACAGATCTGGGCAGTTGGACCACGGCTTGTAGACCGCCGTGTGCTCTCGTGCGCTTTTCGCTCTTTCGTGTGGTGTGATAACGCTCATGTTACGCTGCTCATGTACGTGCTGCTACATTACGCATGAGGTAGGTAGGGGTAGGGCAATGACGTTCATGTTACGCTGCTCATGTACGTGGTGCTAGGTCACGGATGGGGTGGGGTTGGGGTGGGGCAATAACGTTCATGTCACGTAGCGCCTTTACTTTAACTTTCATGTTATGCCCTGCTATCCTGTTTGGTGTCAGTCGCATGATCCAACAGTGGATATGACGTCAAGTTGTGTTTTTCCTTGCTCTGCCAAAAAAGGAAAGAGTTTCTCTGCAATTCTAAAGCAATTAAAGAATTGGTTTCCCCAATACCATTAAGCGTTGAAGCCGCTTTCTCCATTGGCAGGGATGTTTCGTTTGCCAAAAGCGCCAAAAAAAATCTATGCACTGGAACTGCGAAGAAGAAGACCGCAGCTCACATCATCATGGTCACATTTTGTCACAGCCGGCTGTGAGCTGTGGACCTATAGTTTCACCTGCTCGTTCTTTCCGTGAGTCTTTTGCAGTCCCAGTGGTTGATAAACTTCTGTCTTGCTACGAGCCATCAGCCACCAACGGAATTCTTATCTTATTTGGTATCTGCAAACAAGCAACCAGCATGTCTTCTGGCGTGGTGTCCAAGATGGAGTTCAAGGTTCGCCTGAAGCTTTTGGCTGGCTTAGGACTTTCGGAATTCCAGAACCATCCACACAACCCTCCCTGCAGCTCAATTTAGTAGTTGTGATTAGATCATGTGGCTGCTGACATGCAGTCAACCACGGCGGCCGCCAGAGTGACAAGCCGTTCTTTTGCCGTGTTTCGAACATCGTCTGCCATGTATAAAGCTGCTGAATGCTAGAACCATCTAGAACCTATGAAATCATTGTCAGTGGTTTCGTTACTCTCTGGTTGCTTCTTACAATTGGAAGCCCCCAGGAATTGAATGTTCTCTAGATGGTCCTGGTATATTCCACGACTAAAATCCTGGTTTTCGCTGTTCACTTTGCAGCAAAACCAGGACATTCTGCAGTCAACTGAAACTAATCCATCTCTCACTTTCTGCACGCAGTAAGTTTACCTCAAACCTCGTTCTTTTTGCAGATCAACTGCCTTGAGCCGATCCCAAAGATCTCAGAATTTACCACAAAATGCACCCCCAAATCAAGGATCAACCCTTCCAACCTAAACCGAGAAAACACAGCAACTCACCCAAAATCAGTTCCCACAGCCAGATCTGACAGTCAGTAAAAATATCACTAACTATCCCATCGCTTGAAAAAATGGCTGGTTGATAGGTATCCCCATTATGGGTTAGTTCATAATCCCCTAGAAATGGATAGGTTGGTATAATCCCTGTTGCTATACCTATACCCCAATTTCACTCCGGATCCCTGGCGCCAAAGAGCTCCATGTACTGATGTTCGTTATGGGCAGTGATCACTACCGAGATGGTCTCGATGGGGCTATCTGCGCTGCGCAGCACCAGGATGGATCAGGTGAACATCGGTCATAATTTGGACCCAGCAACTGGGTGATTTTGACGCTCTAAGGCCATCGGGGGTTTCCTAAAATAGGGCTACCCTCTGGTAAACATACAAAAAACTATGGAAAGATCCACCATTTTTGATGGGAAAATCCACTATTTCTATGGCCATTTTCAATAGCTATGTTAAATTACCAGAGGGTACCCCCAAATCATCCAAAGACATCCAAAGACCATTTTAGAATTTGAAACCCATGGTTTTGGGGTACCCCCATTTTAGGAAACCTCCAATTCATTTTGTGGATTGATACTAGTGATACTAGTGACCCACAGCATCCCATAGCAATGTCCCGGGTCGTGTTCAAGCAACTTCCGTGATCTGCTTCTTCCAAACATGTTGCAGTACACTATCATCAAGTCGACGGTGGTGCAAACACCACTGATTGTTTTGGAACTTCTACAATCCCAAGTCTTCTTTGCCTTTCCTGCTCGAATCCTAGAATTGGTTTTGCCTCAAACACTTCGTCACGCATCTGCAGTACACAATGCTAAGTGCCAGAAGGATGGCTTCTTGCTTCTTTAAACATCTGAGGGGTACATATCTCTTCTCAAAAAAGATTCATGTTCCACATTCCTTCTAGCTCAACCTTGAAAATCAGCACCTTGGGGTCCAAACAATGGTGAGTACGCTTCCTCCGTTTCTTAAAGAACCACCAGTTCCAGCCAACTTTCAGGTGTGAAGATCTCTTTTGCGATTTCCAGTAGAGGCGGCCTGGCTTCACTGCATCTTCTGTGTGGTGAGCTGCCATGCGCAGATAAGACACTCCCACACAAATGGCCTGAGCTGGCATGGGGAGAGGACGTGAGAAAGAGAGGCTTGGCTTGCCAGAAAGTAGTTCTTCCTTCTTCTTTCTCCTGTTTTTTTGCTTTCAGATTGCGATTCCGGAGAAATCTGGACAGATTTCCACAGTGCCTGCCATCGATAGCAACATGAAGGCCGTGACAGACTTCTCGGCTCCCGACCACCTGAAAGGCATAGACGCAGCTCAGAAACGCCAGGAAGGGGCCGTATCGCTTTCTGCCAGGGGAAAACCGAGCTTTGGCCATGGTGAATGGTTGAGGAACCCCCCGACCGAATCAGCTATTGCTATTGCGAAAGATCTGGCGCTTGACTTAGGTGTTAGGTATTTGGCTGTGGATCAAAATGGAAGACCTAGGGGACCACAGATGTTAGTCTAGTTTAGTATTAACCATGTATAATTTTGAGGTACCTAATTTTGACCCATACCCATTTGATTCTTGGGTCTTCCCTTGGACCTGCAACTGACTGATCTGACTGGAACGACGTATGGATCGTATGGTATATTCAAAAACTCGGAATCCTTCCTTTTTGGAGCCGGAATTAAACATGACATTTCGGGACACTTTTGTGTGGGCACCCTTGAATCAACAGCTTTTGATATCAAAGGAGAATGACTGCATGATGACTGCAGGTTGTTTCCATCCCGTTAGACTCCCAATTTTCACCTGGATCACCCTCAAAACCATCGCATACTAAACCAAAAAACAGATAGAACCGTAATTACTTACCAAACACTTATTTTCGAGTAAGAATTCCATTTTACTGAATTGGGTATGGATCAATACCTATGAAAATACCATTTTTTAGTGGGTTATTCACATCCATAAATCCCAGCTATGACTTGATGTTCACCAATTTTAGGGCCTGCTTTTTTATACCCAACCCCTCTTCCTCGCCCTGTCCTCATCCACAACAACTGCAGGGGAATGGCCACCAGCGAGGTCAAGGTCAAGGTGACCAGTAAGGCATCTCAGCAGATTTCACCAGCCAAAAATCATGGATTTTGACCATCAAACATAGGGATACCCTGGGGGATTTATAAGTTGATTTAAGCGCATGATAAAAGCATAAAAAAAAGCCATATGATTTAGGAGATCCAGGAAAAAACTATATAGATGAAACATATGGGAATGGACACATGCTAAAATTAGATAAAATTTGCAACCTTTTCCCAGGCATCAGGATGAAGTTGACGCTTGAACCTTGAAGAGAAAGGATGCAAACCAGTTCACCCTCTTCACCCCCAAGTCCTGCTTCCACCACCCTCTCTGACGGAGTTGCTGTCTGTCCAAAAGACCGATGCATAGAGAGGCACCGGAAAGAACAGTGCCACTCTCATGTAGAACCTTCAGACTCGACCAGGAAACGTCTACAACTTCCATGTGAATGACTTTATGGCCATGCTTCAACAGGGGAACTAATTCTATTTTATGCCGTTGGCATTATGCCATTGGTGAAATAACCCAATGAAGCCCAGGAGTCTTTGACTCTCGCGGCCGGCCTCAAAGCCATGCTCTTGGAAAAGGCCATGGCGTGGAACCACGGAGGGGGAGCTTTCGGCTTGGCTCATCGCCGACGCCAGAAATTTCTTGATCAATCCCTGGACCCTGGCCATAACTTGGTCCATCTGTATGGCATTCATTGCGGATTCATCTCTTTTAATGGTTCAGTTTTGGGGGACTCGCTAATGTTTGCGAAAAAAAACTGGAAGATCCCACTAGGACTGGACTGAACCTCGGCTCTTTGCATTCTTTGCCCAGTTGCACCTACTGCAGCGCTCTGTTTCCAAGTTGCCTTTGTTTCAAGCCAAATTGGAAGCAGGGTCCAATCGCTTGCTTGAACAATGCTGACCAGAAGCATTTGCTGACTCTGGAAGCACGAGGCATATTGGCTTCATCGGAGGATGTCTGAGTCTCCAGTGTGTGAGAGGTCATTTAAGTACCAACTGTTTGGCTCGATGCACATTTTGCCTGACATTCCATATGCTAGTTATGCGCGGCCACTTTGAGCAGCCGAAACAGCTAGTGACGGGTGATCAACTGATGGAGCAACGCAGGGAAAAACAAACACCAACTTGGTCAAAAAATGTCAAAAACCTAACTCCCGTCTAAGTGTAATAGGTGTAAACCATCGCACCAGGAAGTAAACAAAATTGATGAACTGGACGGAGAACAAGCAATTCATCGTGCTGTACATAGCTGGATTGGGAAGCTCAATTCATAGCTCCATATTTTTTTCCCTTAACAATAGGGTGCCCCGAAATCCACAGGTTAATCATTGGTTAATCATCATATGTTCATTCATTTTCCCTATGGAAAATCCCTGGCCTGCGCACAGCAAGCCATGACCTGAGCGAACTGAGCCAGGTTTTCTCCGTTTCTAAGCTACTGCTCACGTGTTCGAAGTGGGATATCAAGAACAAAACCTGGGATGTAGCCAAAACTAGTAGAGATGTGATGCCCGACAGAAACTGAAACATCAACATCATGGTTTTTGTTTGACAATGTTCCTCTCATATCCTTGCCAATTCATCCAGCAAACATTCCAAAATTAAGGTGGTTTTGGAGCTCCATTGCTTGCAAAATCAGCAACAGTTCCAATTGTATTGAACCCCAACCCCAAAACATTAAATGGGTGCTCTCCATCCAAAGGTCAGTTTTGTCTTTCTTGGTAATTCAAAATTGTCTAGTCTGTGGTTTGGCATTCGGTATGACCCAGGACAAACCCCAATTGTTCCATCATATGATCCTGTAAATGTGATGAGATATGTGAATGAACCTTCCCAACCACAACCACAGCCTCCAACAAAAACTCTCTGGCAATCAAACAATGGAAAACCACCCATTCATACATGATTTTCCGTTCTTCACACCTCCATGTACAGAGGATTTTCAATCGCTGGTAGCACTGGGCTTCCCTGCCAATCGCTCTAACAGCTCCAATTTCTCTTGGCCGCCCTGGAACCCCATGGAACCCCCCGTGGCTCCCAGCCGCTCCAGCGCAGCTAGCGTGATATATGTTTACCAAAGATCAGGACTGTTATCCACTCTCTCTTGTGTAGTGATTTTTGATGATTTCTAGTTTGTTTTTTTCTTATGTGTTGATTTATGATCATTGTGATCATTTATGATCTGACCCAACAGTACATATTTAAAACATAAATCAACATAAATCAACTGGCAACTTCCAATGTGAATATCAGTACAACCTTCACAACTCGCACCAACTTTTGATCTTCGCTATCGGCTATCGGAGTGTAATCCCTGGAAGGGGCCCCAACTTGGTGCCGATTTTCGACCTGAACGTTCAAGATGATTCCAATACATTCCGATGATCTTCCACAAAAACCAAACCAAGGACACCGTTTTTTTTTTTGAATGTTATATAGTTACTATAGTTGTATCCCAACATGTTCCCATGTCGACCGACCATTTTCTGCTGTTTTTTCCCAACATGTTTCTTGATCAACATGGGAACTGCCGATGCCTCTGCTCTCCAGGACAGCGAGCGCTGCAAGCATTCCTCCCGCAGCTCATCCACCGAAAGTTCCTGCGGCCATCAAGAAATCTGGGAGTTGCAATGGTATTCCCCAAATGGGGATGGGTCAAAACCCTGTACCCCTGGTGAACATCAAAATAACTGGTAAATGGATGTTCATCCCATTAAAAATGTATCTATAGGTATTGATCCATAGCCAAATGGTGGATTTGCCAATGTGAAAATAAACAAACACCTCAATCAAATCCAAGAAATGGTAGGAGTATGTAGGAGTATAGGCCAGGGCATCCCGGAGGTAATTTTGGGCAAGAAATGCCAATGCGGGCACTAGGAGCTGTCAATTTTTTTTGGACTGGAAACATTTGATGACCTTCCAACAAACCCTAGTACCAGCAGGCCAAAAATCTGTCTCCTTCTGTTGCAAAATCTCAAACAACCCTGTCGCAACCACTTTTGAACCTTTAATATTGCCAGCCCAAACTGTATGCATATTAAGTTCTTCAAAAAAATGCATTCTATCTCACCAGCACCAGCATGTCCTTCCAAAGGAACACATCCTTCATGTGCTTGATCAATTCCTCCGATGTCCGCAACGGATCCCCTTGTCTGGCCCAAACCGAGCTGAGGAAGAGCTGCTGGCACAAGTCCACTGCCACAGAAACCATTAGAAACATCTAATGTAGTAAAACCCAAAAACAAACAATCCGCAGTTTCCCCAAAAAAAGTTTATCGTTGGGTTTACTACATTTTCAACATTTTTTGAGCCACCTGCCTCCATGATTTAACTGCCCGCCCTGCCCCCCCCCCCGGGGCATCATTTGGCATCTCATTACTTCCCTGACCTGCTTTCCCATGGGGCCAAAGGCATCCTGTGGCAAACCCGAGGCCTCGATAGAAAACCCCAAATACCCAAACACAGGCCGAACATCTGTGGAAAAAACACTTCAAAGTAGGGTTCCCTTGATGGAATAGATTCAAATTATTCAAAGAATCAACTCGAATACATCAAATGCATCCAATTCTTCAGCATGTTTCAAATATTTCAACCCTTTTTTTTAAGTCTTGACAGTTCTCCGATGCAAGCCGAGGGCTGCACTGCGGCAAGCCTCATGAACACAGTGTCTCGTGACTGGCCAAGGGTTCTGATTCTAGGTTGCGCATGGTGGCACCAGCCCAACTGTCATCAGTTTTCCCCAAGTCACAAATGTCACGTCCACAAACATCTAAATAGTTCCAGCAGGAAGATTTGGGCCAGTGGCATTGATGTTGCCTGGCATATCCTGTCATGCATGATGATTTCGAGACACCCTGAGATCGCTTGCACTGCCACTTGACCAAGCGTTCTGTAGCCCAACCCCGCACAAGTGTGCCCGCTGGTTGGAACCATGACCACACCGTAGCAGAAATATGGGATTTTTAACATTTTTTAACTAACAGTGTGCGTTCTACATACACAAATATTCAGATGATATATAACATTTGCATATTTTTGCATGCATTTTTGCCCAACACAAATGGCTGAAAACACCCACAATCCATGCAACCACACCCTGCACGTCTCAGTTATGCACTGATGTTGCAACCCACTTTCTCCCGCCACCTGGGAAGGACGAACCCGAAAGAAATCTGGCGACCAGGGCCCACATTGTGGGCCTGGTACGATGGTAATTATGGGTTACCCTCTGGTAATTTTTAACAGTTTGCTATTGAAAATGACCATTTATAGTGGATTTACCCATTGAAAATGGTGATTTTCCATAGTTATGTTAGTTTACCAGAGGGTAATATTGGGGGTTGCCATGGTTGTCCAGCAAAATCATTCAAACCGTCTAGAAACATGAGAACCATCCATTCAAAAAATGCCAAAAAAAGGCATGCTAAGAACAACAAAAACGATCTCCAACTGCTCCGAAGTGATATGGCTGGTCCGAGATCCCCCAACGACTTGCGCCACTTTGTCTGCAAAGTTCGTGGCTGAACCTGAATATGAGCAGCACTAGCAACATCCAGCTGGGTTCCATTTCTTCAGTGATTTCCAAACAATGCATTTGACACCCTCAGAGAAATTTCCCCTTTGACCAAACTATACCAGTTACAAAACACCAATCAAAAACCAAGCCTTGCAAAACATCGACCTGTGAAACCGCCATTCCATTGATCCTCAACATGGCTTTTTCTTGCTGATTATATCGCCAAAGACGGCCTTTTTTGAAAATTGGGGTCCCAATTTCCCATTTCAAGGGCACACCCAAATATATTTTGCTGAATCTATGAATGTAGATCTTATTACATAATATCTCCAATAACCCATATGTATTTCAGCAAAATATGATGTGTATATAATATAGATCTTATTACATCTTATTACATCTTATCTCCAATAACCCATATAATCCATAATATCTGGTGATTCAAATTGTCTATAAAATCCATAATTTGGGCAGTCCCAAGTTCATCATTCCAAGGAAAAAAAAACCTCGATCCCCGGGAAGACCCCACGCAGGTTGCGAAAACGCCGCAGCGGAATGCCCTCCTCCTTCCAGCGGTCCGCCCACCTGCAATGAAAAAAAATCACAGGAAAACGGGGTTTCAAGGGGCAATATGTATAGATATTGAATATGTATGCGTATGTGTATATATATAATATATATATAATATATAATATATAATATATATATATATGTGTTACACACACACACACTTACATATACAAATATGCAGCATAACATGCACATATATCATATATATATATATTACATATGATAGGACCAGCACAAATATATGAATATAATGCTGCATATACATGTGTACACATGAGGATTGATCCATTTTGTTGATGTTGTCATCACCAATTGCAAGCAACCTACCCTATGGCAGTTCTCCTCGTGACACGTAGGTTCTATGCTTCGAAAATCCAAAGTGAATAGACCCAAACCTAACCCAGATTTTCGGCTGGGTTAGGAGCATGGGGTTCTCGACTTCCGGAGGCCTTCACATTTGCTGTCATATTCTTTTTGTGGCAATCGTGACACTTGCTTCACCCTGACAATGGTTCTACCCTCTGGTTCTTTAACATTGCTATGGTATAGTTGGCCCGTTTGGTTCGATGATAACAATTCTCATTTACATTCATTTACCTATATCAAACATGATGACTTCTCCACCATCTAGAAATGATTTTCCCACTCATGTATCGGTGATTTATCCACCATTTATAGGTGGCTTTTCCCTAGGTTTTAAACCGTTGCCGTTAGCCTCCTTCTGTTTTTCCTAACACGGTGAGTGTCCACCACTCTATGTTTACCCCATGGATCCTCAGCAGCAGTCGCTCCAAGAGCTCTTGATGCTTCTCCTCTGGTTGCCTCACCATGGTCACCATGGAAAAACAAGTCCCTTGTTTTACCCAAGATGCATGTATCATCAAGCAAACTCATGTATCAAAAAACATCTAAATGCATCTATCTACACACACATATATATATATATGCATATCAATCATCATGTAGTGAAACATCTATTTTTTTTTGTCAGGGATAAGATATTTCACTACATTATGGTTTATATATGTGTATATATATTTCACTATAAATATATAAACATCTAGTATCATCTAGTAAAACCTCCATATTAATTGACCTTGTATCTTGGCGTCGCTGGGCATGCGCACGCCACTTCCAGGTGCTGCGAGATGCCGAGGTCATGGCACTCGCTTCGCCTCGGAGAAGAGGATTATCGATGAAGCCCAGGCAAAGAATGGATCATGTGTATATTCATTGTATAATATATATATAATGTAAATAGATATAGATATATAATGATATATGATGTATATCTAATAGATAAATAATCTAATATAGATGTATAATGTAAATAGATATATATATATATCTAATATATCTAACAGATATATAATGTAAATATATATATATACATATATCTAATATGTATTAACATGTAATATCTTTTTGAATGTTCATGAGTACACTCACATACATCTAAGTAATTACATATGATCAACCCCAAACTCAAATATATAACGGGCTGAGTCTTGCAAATGCCAAATACAAGGCAGCGACAACTCTGACATGCTCCACAGACTGGGAAGTTAAGTGTGGAATTTTGTGAGCGACTGAAACAAAGTGTGCATCATCTGTGCATCTTACGCAATGATATTCATGGTACCCTCTGATAATTGAACGTAGCTATGGAAATTCACCATGTTTATATAATAGGTAAATCATCATAGATAATCTAAAAATGGGCCAACTATACAATCAACTTCTCCGGGCTTGGCCCCGGACAACTGATTCAGTGGCAAGGCTTTCCAAATGTAGATCTGCCTCGGGGTCACTTTCTGGAGGATCTTCATGATCTTCCGAATGTCTGTATAGCAACCCCCAAATATCGATAGAACAGTTAGACACCTGCAAATTGTGAGAAAAAAGTATCCTTTTTTGGAACCCCTAGGGCCCTAGAGTCTATCCGAGTTTATCTGACAGGAGGCTTTCCCCTGTGTGGACCTCATGGAACAAATGGGAACTTGGCCTTCTGGTGCAGCACCATGGCAACCCCTGTTTTTGCAACTTTCGGTATCCCCACCGAGCCACCCCAAAGGTGAGAAAAAAATCCATGCTGCATCCATGGTCAGCCTGTCCCTTTGTTCCACTCGCAGCTAGGGAGCCTCCTCGCCAAGCCATTCACTTCAGAACCGCGGTCATGGAAGAAACATGAAACCAAGTGCTTGAAAAAAATGAATGGCTTCAGCAAAGAAACATACTACCAGAATCTATTATTGTCTAGCATGGCCTTCAAAGGGTCTCTACTTTCAGACAGAAACTTCAAATGATAGGCCCTGTGAATCACTCACTTCTTCAAGAGCTTTTCGCAGGGCTTGCCGTCTTTGTCCCCGTCCAAGCCAGCAATATCGCCATATTGAGGGAAGTACTTGTCGAACCAGGCCTGAGGGCTGACATAGCTGAGACCTCCATGGCCCACCCAGGGCCCCCAAACAGCTACCAGCCTTGGCATCTTCGTAGCTGATGAAGTCCTTGCAGCTCCTCTTCTTCAAATCCTTCACCTGCCGGGGTGGACAGCCCCGACTTCAGCACCCCGACTTCATCACCACCATATTATTCAGACCCTGCAGAAATTGGGCGATCATTTATGTCGCTCACATTCCCAGGCCTTCAACAATCTTGCAGAAAGTTAAGCAGGGAACATGAACACCACCCCAAAGGTCTATGCTTGCAGCCAAGGGAACTGATAAGGTTCTGCATTTGCAGGGGATAAGGGCTACCATCACCCTCTGTGCTTTCAATTACTGGGCGAAACCTTCAACCAAGAACAAATCCTGGCAACTGGCAAGTCGCCTTAGTCTATGACCACTGAGCGTCCAGGGCTAGCACCGCCCAACTTCGGGTGCTCCCTGAATTGGCCTGATGTAACATAACTATACATAACCCCTGGATGGTTAGATCAAGTTAGATCTCAGAATTCCCCAGCCATCGCCACCCCTGAATTGGCCGTCCCTTTTTCTCAGCCGCAGAGTTTCGACACCAGCCAGGCGCTCCAAGGCGTGTGTGGAGCCGCTGCTGACTCTGCCAGGGCATCGGCTGCCAGGGTGGTCAGGGAGATGATGGCCACGTCGGTGGTCAAGATCCGACGGCCTAAGCTCACCTGTGGCAGGTTTTTTTTTTCTCCCGGCACTGGAAGGATCTGGAATGCTGGGGTGGGAACCATGAAATGGAGACCAAAACCATAAAACCTACGGTTCAAAATTGGCACATGATTCGTATTCTGATGCAAGCTGACACATTTTGGTTGGGCTCATGTGAGAAATCCAGCTTCGTCTTTTTTTTAATCATCATCCGCATCCCAACAGCTCCCAAAAAAGGCATATCTAAGCATCCAAATTTCCGAAAGAATGAACATGTCTCAAGCTGCTTCAAGAAATCTCCTTACAGTACCCTAAAAACATCTAAAAACAATATTGGAAAAGTAACGGATCTTCAACTTTGCATTGCCAGCCTCGGATTCCCTGCAATCAAGCTACTCTTAGCTGGTTAGGTTAATGTACCCCGGTTCATAGCACGAGATCAAAGTCCTTCTTGACTGACTTTGGGATGGTTTATTGAATCCCAACTCTCGATATAGAGTTTAAACCCCATCATATTCAATTCTACCCCCATGAAAGAGAGAGAAGAGATATATTATATTATTATTATTATTTATTATTTATTATTTATTAGTTATTATATTTATTATATTTATTATATTTATTATATTTATTATTATTATTATAATATGCACACACACACACACATCCGCCGGTAATCAATGTGCATTTCAATGGGAATATCATCTACAACTTTCGAACGGGGTTTAAGGGTGTAAGCATGTGTAAGCATTATCAAACCATATTTTAAACCAGAATCCATTGTTAAACATCATTGTTAACCGACATTCTTGTGTCCTTCAAATCAACAACAAACGACTCCCAACTTTTCGAGCCACAAAAAAACTGCTCCGCTGAGCACCTGAACGAAGCCATGCTCTCGGAAGAGCTGCACCTCGTAGTCCACCCAGCCGCCCTCGGGCCCCACCGCCAGCACCACTGCCTGGGGCGGTTTCTGTCCGGCTGTCACGGCATCGCGGAGGCGGAGACCAGCACCTTGGTGTCACCAAGGGAACCAAGGGATGGGAAGCCAGGAATCTTTGGAGACTTTGGGAGGGATTTACCTTGGAAAAATGGGGTCTAAATATCATGATGATATTGAAACTCATGGGATTTAGAAGCTTTTACATCATTTTGTAAACATCTTTGCAACCAACGAATTCAATCAGCACAAAACAACAACAACAATGTTGACACATCTGACACTCTGTAGCCGCTATAACCTATAGCTCCCCAATACAATCGTCTGATAGGGCGCAGCCACGCCTGGGTGGCAAAAGAGCCTCAAATAGCGATCTTTTGGGAACAGCACGTCCACCTGCCACAGAATCTGCCACTTGGAGGGATTTGCCTCTTGTAGTGATGGTCATGGGAACCTGTTTGTGTAATGGCAACAAATGGATCAAAATAGGTTGAGATACATGATACTTTAACCAAATGCACGTTGATGCATGATGCAATCATGGATGATTTCCCTCTGCGATGTTCGATTCCAGGACAGTCTCACAATCTTGCGATGAGATTACGGCATGTACCATGTAATCACACATCCAAATAGCTGGCTGTGAGCCGGTCCGGATCCAAATCTATCAACGATGTTTTGTAACAAAATTCCACGGCGAAAGCCCCTGGCCAGCTACAATTGAAATTGGCTGGTCCCCAGAAGTCACATTCGAACTGGCCGCCAACTGGCCATGGCTGATGACACTCACCTGATCTTCGATGAAAGGCTTCAGTCGCATCTCGATACGAACCTCTGGGAGGCTGGTGCAGACTGCCTGGCCCAGCTGTGATGTTGGCGGCAAGGTAGGTATATGTATATATATATATATTTATACATGTATATATATATATATATATATGTACGTGTGTGGATATGTTGGCATGGAAATCGTCAACTGGCAACTCAACCACGAAAAACACGTGGTTTTTCACATCTCATGGTACCGGTGGATAGCCCTCGAGGCCTGCTCCAGGCCCTCCAGTAACTCAGGGATGTACCTGGGGTCATGGATGATCCAAAGGGCCAGGGTTTGCCCCAAAATCCAGTGGAGTCTCAAGATAAGCCAAGAAATCAGTGGAATCCACTCCCCTCCTCATAAAAAAAACATTTAAAAAACAAATGTGAGCTTCCTCATGGCATCCATGGCTGGGTTGGTTTTACGCAAACTCCACCGCGAACCATGGTTGTTGCATCTTAGATTTTCTTTATCCTCACTTCACCCCCCTAAACCAATCCCAGGAGCTTCGGCCCAAACCTTCCAGCGGCCCGTCCTCTTTGGCTCCGTGGAGTGGGAGGAAAAGTAGGCCTTCTCCACGCGCCAGGCGTTCGTCAGCACGATGCGACGCAAGCCCAGCTGCGCCTTGGAGCTGATTTTGACAGAGGGGGGGAGCTGTTTTCATATAGTGAGCCACTAAGAAGGAGAAGTTAGTATATAAAATATAGTAACATCCCACCAAAAGAATGGTATATGAATTTAATCTGTTCATATCTGTTCTATCTTCTTGAGGGTTATTGCGCACTGTACGCTATAAGATCTATAAAGACCACTAGGATCATGTGGTCTAAGCTTGTCATTCAGTTGGAATCACTGACGACTATATAGGATTATCTGAGTACATGAGGAGAACTGATTGAACTTTGAAGTGGGAATGGCCCTTGTGGTTGGTGGAGTTTGTTAAGCTTCAAAATTACATGATGTTTCTGAAGGCAGAACAACTGGTAATGTGAAACAAAAACACGTTTCACCACGTAGGTGCGGACCGGGATGTGATGTGAACTATCACCCATGCAAATGGAACATGTACAAATACATTTGCCTGTCAATGCAATCTATGCGCCTTGCCCCCATCCTAAGGGGCACCCCTTGTCACTTGCATTCCAGGTGCCAAGACAGACCACAGGCGCATCATCACCTCAAAGCTGGTGCGGCAGTCCCCACGTCTCCTTTTCTTCGTGATGCTGTCATTTTTATTCATTTTTCAGTGTCCAGATGAGTTGTTCTCCCACAATTGGCTCTTGGTTTACCTCAAGGGAACTTCAACATTTCGACCCGCCAGCACGCCCCCGAAAGGGCCTTTGGTCTTGGCATGGCCAACAAGAGCTCCACATGAGGCGACGGAGCCAGTGGTTCCAACACCAACTCCTTGCAGCTCAATTCCACCTGGCATGGCTGGTGGATCCATTGAAGGCTCCAGCTGTTTATGGGCATTTTTTTGGTTATTTGCAGAATTGAGGGAACTTAGCAAAGTCAAACCTAAGTCTTTAAGTAGGCCTCGCACCTACTGGGAACAATATGGAACGATGAGATACCAACAAGTCATAGCTCGTCCATCAGGATGGTTGTTGGGTGTTGGTCACATGCATCCCAATGTTTGGAGCCCTCACCAACAGTATGCCAACAATTTATGCCCAAATAAACCCAGAAATACCCCGTGGATCGACCAATAGTAATCTGCAGAAGACCGTTTTTGCTTTGGAAGGGTCCACTGTACCAGTTGGAATTTGCCTTATGTTCAACCAAAAGTCCAATGGGTTCTCATCATTTCCCATAAATGAATTGCAATACCCTGCGGTTGGACACACCCAAATCTATGATTCATTAGTTCAATCCCGATTTTTCATGCATAATTCTAATTTTTGATGGACATGTAAATTCTCCCCCAATATGCCATATGTTTGATGGTAAAGGAACTTCCCACCGGCCGGCTTGATATCTCCAAAAATCCATCAGTGGTTAAATATGGTTAAATTATGATGATTTAATTTTCAATTCTCGGTGGGATAAATCCCCCATTTCTGCTGGATGAATCATCTGGATCCCATGTTAAGTCCCCATTTTGGGCACCGGATCCCTTCCGGGCGCCTCACCACCAGCTCTCACAGAGACGGAGAGACGCCCAACGCCCACGTCCACCACTCCCACCCGCAAGGTGGCCTTGGTTTCTCCCTTCCCCTCGAGGATGACCGAATTGGATGGAATCATCTACCCTCTGGTAAACTAACATAGCTATAGAAAATCACCAGTTTTTTAATGGGTAAATCACCTCTAAATGGCAATTTTCAATAGCTACGTTAAATTACCAGAGGGTAATATATTCTAATATTAGCTCAGGGATTTCCAATGATCCCCAGGGATTCCATTTTCTGATGTTTGGACTTAGGGGACTTCACTTTGGAAGTGGGGACGACTACCGACTAACCAGTTACCAATATTGGCGATGGGTTCATCAAAACCTTGGGTAGGTTGATATGTCAATGAGCAGAATGGAGGGTCGGGGGGTGGTAGGAAGCCAAGATGAGAAATCTTCCGGGCCCAGGTTCCACTGGCAGGATCATCTGTGAAACCGGCTGATAAACATGGATAAACTAGCTCTTGACAACTAACCCAGAGTCCTCAAAATCCGATTTTTCCTCCCCACATTTTTAGATGTTTCGCCATTTTCCCCCCATATTTTCATATATTTTCCACATCCTTACCAGGTTTTCCCATTTCAAACGGGCGATCACCCGGTTGCTCACCTTCCCATCCAGGTGACGCCTGGCCCCGGCTTCAGCACCGTGGCGATGTGGCGGGCCCGGCGATCCTCCTGCGGCAAAATCAGGCGATGCTCCTCTTGAAGCTGGGCCAACTCCTGGCGAAGATCATGATAGGTAGATAATTATTATAATAGATACCCTCTGGTAATTTAACGTAGCTATTGAAAATGGCAATTTATAGTGGATTTTCCCATTGAAAATTGTGATTTTCCCTAGTTATGTTAGTTTACCAGAGGGTAATAGCTAGTTATGGATAGTTAACTAATGGATAGATAATTAACAATTAATAGATTCATAACTAATGGATAGATCATAATAACTAGTTATGGATAGTTAATAACTAAGATGGATAGTCAACTAATAATTAATATCCAAGAGTTAATTATCCAGTAGTTATTAATTATCTCCTGGCTATTAATAAATAATGGATAATTAATGGATAAGTAATGAGTAACATATTAATAACTCCTGGTAGTGGATTATTGATCTGGTTAATAACTAATGGATAATGATAATATAATGGATAGTTTTCATAACTAATGAATAACATAGATATCTCAGATTATTGACATGGATAGTCAATAACTAAGGGATAGTTACAGTAATGTGAAGATCATCCATTAATCACGATAGTTTCTCTTCTGGTCTTTTAACAACTAAGTTAATGGTCAATTATTTTTGTGATCAATTAATAACTAATGGATATCTAAATGGACCATTTCTGGGCATCCAATATTCAAGCCAAAAGCTAGTGCATAGAAATTCATAGAAATAGTGAAATAAGATGGAAATAACTAGAGTTAATTTACATGGTCATGGTGGCTATGACATTTCTCAAAATTACATTTAATAGTAAACTGATACCACTGATACTGTAGTTTCTCAAAATGAAACAGTTCTGAAGTTCTGGGTATCTCTGGAACGATCATCTGGAAAATCGACGAATATTTCCAGATAACCAGAGCTTAGTGAGAACCATGGCTTTCCAAAATATTGATGTAAACATCACAATAATTCCTACCATCTGCTTATTTAACATAGCCATGGAAAATGGCTCATAGAAATAGATGGTTTACCTATTAACAATTGTGATTTTCCATGGCTATGTTAAATAACCAGAGGATACAGTAATACATTTGTGTGAACATATTGCCATGACAAAGGATACACTCAAGGATGGGAATTGCCACAAGGCACCATGTCCGGATGTACTCAAGAAGAACTTGGTGGGGTCACGAAAAAAGGTTTACAGTACCCAAAAATTCAAACAATGGTTGTGACTTTTGCATGTAAAAAAACCTAAGGTTCCATGTGGCACTTTCCAGGAAATCATCGTGGCACCTGACTCCAAGTTTAAATATGTTTTAAACTGGGGTGAAGCATCAAATTCCATGGTGGCTTTCCCAAGCCTCAAGTGAGTAAAGGGTTTGTGACGTCGGCTTACCACGAATTATTTTTGTAGCATATAGCTGATTTTATCAGTAGCAATTGTCAACCATTACTAAGCATCATTCACCATGAATTTTCCAACCATTACCCTCTGGTAAACTAACAGTTTGCTATTGAAAATGCCCATAGAAATAATGAGTTTTTCCATTAGAAATGGTGATTTTTTCCATAGTTATGTAAATGTTTACCAGAGGGTAACGACCACCATTCTGATCACCATGTTTTTCCCATGATATCACCGCCTCGGCCATCAGGAGCACCAAATTCATTGCGCAGTGGTTCAGTGCTTCATCGTTGAAGGTTTCATGGTTCACAGTGCCTTGTAATGGTTAGAAGCAAAACACATAAATTGTGTTGATATAGCGTTGATAGATCTTAATTAGTGGTTAATAATGGTTGAACAGTTCATGGTTAAGAATGCATAAGAATTGTTAACAGTAAGTTAATTCATAGAGATCATGCAACACCGCAACAGTGTTTGTATCTTCAAAAATGATGCGTGTTGAATCGTGTTGATATTGTGTGTGCCAGCAGTCCTCTGATGATGTTTTCTATTTTGTCTACATGCCCATTTTACAGTGCCGTCATGTTCAATTAATTTCTAGGGACCAGCTGGGGCCAGCAGATTTCATGCGCGCTAAAATTGAGTCCAGCCCACATTTCCCAATCATTTTTGAATACCCAACTTCAACCACCAACATTAACCATTGATGTTTAGGACATATTCACTCTCTCTCTCTCTCTCCCCCTCCCTCTCTCTCCATCGCCCTCTCCGGGAGTTCAGCATCTTGCTGAACGCGAACATTAGGACATATTGCACACATCAATTTGACATAAATATCAACTGTTTCCTATTTGCAAGCAATCCACCAACATCAACCAACCATGTCAGAGTCAGTGGGGCATGGCCGTGGATGTCCATGCCGCAGCTCAAATCATGTCATGCATCCCAGTTCGTAATAGGCCTGCTGTAAGCCAGCTGTAAATGGGATAAACTCCATATTATATATGCACACAGATAGATAGATAGATAGATAGATAGATAGATAGATAGATAGATAGATTAGAATAGATAGATAGATAGATTAGAATAGATAGATAGATAGATTAGAATAGATAGATTAGATTAGATTAGATTAGATTAGATTAGGTTAGGTTAGGTTAGGTTAGATTAGATTAGATAGATCGATAGATCGATAGATCGATAGATAGATAGATAGATAGATCGATAGATCGATAGATCGATAGATCGATAGATCGATAGATCGATAGATAGATAGATAGATAGATAGATAGGTAGATATATAGTTAATATATGATTAAATCTCTCTCTCTCTCTCTATATGCTATTAGATGTATTTAACACTATTCAAATGTTATTGGGAACTTCATGGAAATTGCACATCCAGATCATTCCGTCAATGGACCCGGAAAATCACTGAATACGCGGTTTGTGCCGCCGCCTCGCTTCCAGCGCTTCCAGGGCTAGCTGTCGATGTCGTTGGCCCCGCTGGCGACTTGGATGCACAAGCGCCCCAAAGACCCTTGCCCGCAGCTTTGGCATCCTTTTCCTCAGACGTGACGTTGCTCCGGTGAAGATGTTTGATGGACACATGATGATTGTAAAATCACATGAAAAGCACTGCCTGATGATGATGATGGTGAAGAATAAGAAGAAGATGATGATGATGATGACGATGATGGACGATGATGGACGATGATGGACGATGATGGACGATGATGGACGATGATGGACGATGATGGACGATGATGGACGATGATGGACGATGATGGACGATGATGGACGATGATGGACGATGATGGACGATGATGACGATGATGGACGATGATGGACGATGATGATGACGATGATGGACGATGATGGACGATGATGGACGATGATGGACGATGATGGACGATGATGGACGATGATGGACGATGATGGACGATGATGGACGATGATGGACGATGATGGACGATGATGGACGATGATGGACGATGATGGACGATGATGGACGGTGATGACGATGATGGACGATGATGGACGATGATGGAGGATGATGGAGGATGATGGAGGATGATGATGATGATGATGATGATGATGATGTTGATGTTGAGGTGCAGTTCACGCCCCATTCTTGCCAATTCCCCCCCACAGATTCTCCTTACCCCCACCACCACATCCCCCACGTTATCCCACGTCCAGGTTTCCAGCTCCACAAACTTCGTGTCGTATTTCACATTGGGCGCCACCTTGTAGCGCTTCGCCGCGCCCTGCTTCACCAGTTCTGCGTTCAAAAAGAGCTGGTCCGAAGACCTGTCTTCAAAGGTTGACCCAAAAAACCATGGGGATATTCATGGAATACTGCTGCCATTGGGATGAACCAACAATATTTCATTATGGGGTTTGTGTTCAGGATCACACCATTTCATGGGATGTAGTGATGGGTGTGTCTGAACATGGTTCGTGATTGTACCACCCAACATATATTCCGAAACCTTGCATTTTAAACAGGATGATCAATTGATAAACCGTTATATTGTTTTGGCACCTATTTTCAATTTCTTCAGACAAACCTAAAATACGTTTGCGCATATTTAACCCCAAACGATTGGAACGTGGGCAAAGGTACACATGAGCTGACAGGTAGGATTGCCGCGCGCACTACCATCGAACTAATGAAGATGAACAACTCAACGGCCATACTGGCCATACTAAAGAAAACCAGAACATCAATTGTGGTTTCCCTGCTGGTTGATCACCTACGCAAGAAGTCTATCTCAGCCCAAGCTCTTTGCCTCGAATGGGGTCCCAAGCATACCCCGGCTGATTCACCACCGTGCGCCTGTAGAGGTACGCCAGCTGTCTCCCATATTTGTCCACAGGTTCCACATCCAGTTCAACCTTCACTTTTGTCCCTGGAGGTAGCCTTGGAGAGGCTGCTGCTTCCATGGCTTTGAAGCCCAACCTTCGAGACTATGCTGAATCGATGATCATTTCCTGAAAAAGCACCATGGCAAGCACCATACCCAGTTTAGTTTACCCGAGAGTATCTCCATTTCTGATGTTGAACCAGGGTGAACCCACACTGATAGTTGACCAAACTGCGGCAAGCTGCAAGCTCTTGGTCAAGGCCGATGCTTCGGGGCCGTAACAGTCCGGGGGCGCGCCCTCTTTTTGCCTGGCGGGTACGACCATCTCAACATATCTCAGCAGGTGCGGTTCAATGATTGAAGGGACTGTGAGACTAGAACGGAAAACAAGAACTGTTTGCAAACCACCAACATCCATGAGCCAGTGTATCTGTGAGTGGGTAGGCGGGATGCTTGTTTCAGATGTTCTATGAAGACTTCCCCAAAACCATTGAAAAGAGAGTGTCTTGCACACCAAGCTGCACGTGTTCCATCAGTGTGGCTAACTTATGGGGGCATCCCCAACCACAACCTGAGATCACATGGAGTATCATGTGTCCCGTAAGCTATCACTCTTATACTCTTTGAGGGCAAAATTAAGCCACGAACTCTATTCTCTGCAGGATCATCATCATTAATCAATCAGCTTGAAATGCAGTGATTTTGGACGGCTTTCCCAACATTTTCTTATTTCCCCAACAAATCCACCAAAAGTCAGTCTATTTTCCCAATAGCTTTCCCCCAACAAATCACACAGTTGGTGATTTTATGTGATTTTGACATATCCCATTGTCACATAGTGTCACCATTTTCCAAACTGACATAGGTCACGTGATTTTGGAGGATTTCCCTCTTTATTTCGCAAACAAGCACCCGCAAAAATCGGTGATTGTCCCGAAACGAATGCTTCAGTTTCCAGCCTTTTCGTTAATCCGGGTTCATTCGCCATTTCTGAGGGAATCCTATATACCCTCTTGTAATCAAACGTGGTTGGCTGGAAAATAAGTTCGATGATTTTCCCAGCGACCCAACCTTCATGGCTAGTTTGTTTTTGCCTGGGCGCCAGCCATGTTTGATTTTCCGCCAGAGGGTGTCCCACTTTTTTTGGCCCATGAACCATTGTTAACCCATGGTGACCTCAATATTAGCCATTAACAACCATCATCAACCATTATTAACCATGATTACACTAACCGTTATTCCCCCATTATTCCCCCATCATATAAAATCTACACTATGACCCGTCGAGAAAATTCGACCAGACGCCTCGGTGCTACCGTCTCGGGCGTGTTGATGCCAATCAAGCGACAGCGCCCGGCAAATTTCAAGTTCACCTTAGAGCTAACGCCCTAGGCTTGGTGGATTTTATGGTAAAGCCATGTAAAGCCTATAATAAATAGGTGTGATAATTCTGGGAAATACTGGGATAATAATAAATAAATTGGTGACCAAGAATCAATGTTCGGAATTATCTGATAATTGTCGGATAACTACGCAATAATTATGAGAGAACTATGGACAACATAACTGATAGTTATAGAGAAACATAGAAAACCCATCCCTGATAGGCAGTGGTTTGTGATTTTCCAGGTTTCCCACTTTTCGTCATCTTTTTGGGGGTTACTATATATATATATATATAAATATGTAAATAAATAAATAAATATATATATATATTTATTCATTTATTTATTTAGTGGGGGTTTCCATAAATATGGGTACCCCAAATGGATGATTTATAGTGGAAAACCGCCTAAAACGGATAATTTAGGGGTACCCCTATTTTTTGGGCCCCTCCCTTTTGATCTCTATGACTTTAAGGAATCTTTAACAGTTTATTGGCCCAGGTGCTGTGTCCCCATCGATGACTTTCACAATCTCATCCTCCTGCAAAGGGCAGGATCCCCGAGTCCCAAATGTGTTTTGATATGCCTAGACACTCATCATCATCCATGATCTGCAGGATGTCTGCTATATCATCCAATTCCGGTGTCTGGCATTTTTTTCAATTTCGGGCATCGCTTTTCCAAGAGTTTACGTGCATTGAGCCGGCCCTGCCATAAAAAAAAAGCATCCTTTGACATGTATGCAAACATGGGTGAAAGGGAGAAGTACACGTGGGACTGGCCATCTGCTCTGCAAATCAAAATTCCTTACACAGCAAGCGGCGCGGGAGCATTGCCATAGCTCAACCCTCAAACGGAAGAAAACACGCGAGAGTTGTGAAGAGGAAACAGTGGAAATCAACGTCGGTCAGGAAATCAACATTCCATATGAATTTGCATGGATCATACATGTATACACATTCAAATATACATAATAAGTTAGAACCGCAGACTACTAATCACACTAATGATTGCACATAGCATGTCAGATACCGTATTTCCCCAAATATATGTATATATACACACTTTATTATTATATATATATATGTTTTATACAAGCAAATGTATATATATATGTATACACAATAATATGTATATAAATATATAAAATGTAACATATATTAAAATACTGTATGCATATGCTTTTTTGATCTTTTTTGTTGCGTCCATTTCTCGCCCATTCCTTACCGGCTTCCCAACGTTCCCCCCCGTCTCCGGTGGTGGTGGGCCACTGGCGGCACGACTGCGCCGAGGGCTGGCCAGCAGCAGCAAACCAACCAGACCTGCCTGAGATATGAACGGCCCATCTTGGCGGCCCTGCATTTTTTTTCAATTCAGCTTAGCATATCGTAGTATGTACATATATATAAGACTATATATATAATTACATATGTATAACACTTTAGGGTTATGTGTGTATATAACTACTGTATATATATATATACACAGATATATAGATATATATATATATACACATATATATACATATACATACACAATAATATATATATATACATTCATATATGTGTAAACGATATTAAGGTGTACTAAACGGCCCATCTGAGGTTTAGCCAGAAATAAGGATAAGTATGATAAATAAGATATGCGATCATCCTAGGCATGGGAATGGAAGCATCTTAGCTGCCATCAATTCTCCAGACAAGGTACAAAAAGGCGCCTTCCAAGCGTCTCTGGTTGTCCCTTCTCCTGTGCAGCTTTGTTCGCCATTTGCACTCGTTCTGGAGAAGCTGAAGACCTACTTCCATGTCCTTTCCACCTAAACACACACATGGGTTTGTCTGCAAATAGAGTACCCCCAAATCCCATTGTGACCATTTTCCCCAATTTTCCCTATTCAGTGACCATTTGGGGGATATATACACACATTTATATGTATAATTATGTATATATATATATAGTGCATATATATATATATAGTGCATATATATATATAGTGCATATATATATATACATTTGTATGTATATATATATATACAGTATATATATATATACGCCACTTTTTTTTTAAAACGCATCAGCAAGTTATGTGGCTACTGACCCATCCCGCGCCTGTGAGCTTTGGCGTGCCCAGCGTGGGAGATTCCACGCTCTCCGGCAAGATTGAGCTGTCTGAGGCGCCTGCTCTGGTAGTTGGCCATGGTTCAACATGGTTCAACATGGTTCAACATGGTTCAACATGGTTCAACCCCAACTTTGTTGCCTGTAACATTGTATCCAATTCCTTTTTGATGACTATAAACTACAATCAAAACATATTTTTGGCTGGGTATACGGTATACGCCACTTCAAACGCGCGATAGTCGGGTGATTCAACCTTCTGAGCCTTTGAGATGGAACACGTCACACGAGTGGCCACTGCGTCTTTGTCAAATCACTGATGGCCAGGGGACCTCATTTTGTTTCCATTTTGATATCAACGTCATCCAAGACTCAGGGTATTTTCCACTCCTCAATTGGATTACCAAAGGGTTGTTGCCGCTATACCCTTTCAGACTTGGCACGAAGCATTGCTGCCCAGTGCGCCATGTGCAACTTATCAACAGAAATTTCAGGCCACCTAACTTGAAGGTACCTACAAAATGTGAGGTCTATGATTTTTGGCTGCCAAGGGCATGCCCAACCCAAAATATGGCCAACATTTGGGGCGCAAAGGACCTTGAATTGAAACCCAAAAAGGGCCAGCCAGCCTTGGCAAAAACACCATGGACCTGTGACAGGTCCAAATGGGGAACATGATGGTGGACAACTAGGGAGTACCCTAGCTTTGGACAAACCTTAACGGTCCAAACGAGAGAACCTGCGTGTTTTGGAGTTCCGGAACGTCCACGCTGAAATACGATGCTTAGATGCTTCACTTCATCCATGAACCCCTTTGCAAAAACAGCATGATTCCCCTACGATCTCTGAGTTCCTTCCCGGTGTGGACCAGGTGGTTTCAATCATTATCTTTGGGATGAAAAGTCCCAACCGGCCTGCACCGCCACATCAGCGAGTGGTGCGCTGCATAGGGTCATGGTGACCGGGGAAGCAGCACACGGCCGCAAACACAGCCCCCTACCAATATATTGAGCCAACAGGGACCACAAATTCATACTGCATGTGGAGGTGTTTCTCTAAAATTTCAGATGATCTCACTTAGATTCACTTCGAACATGGATATCAACCTGTGTGGATCTTCTATATATAATATAATATAAGCATATGTAACTATATAAACCATATAATGCGTTTATCAAACTACAACTTCAAGGTCCACGTAGAGGTTGAACTAGTTTGGAGATGGCCACGGGTGGGTCCAATGTGCCAACAGAACTTGACATCTGGCCACCATCTTTTCGTTTGGGGGTGTTCAGTATTAGGGGGAAGGGATTAGCGGTGAAAAATGGGCTACCCCCTGGTAATTTAACATAACTATGGAAAATCACTATTTCTCATCGGTAAATCATCATAAATCATCTATCTATATATATATATATGTCTATGGGCCATGGCTTACCATAGCTATGTTAAATGAATGACGTCGCTGAGCTTCCCACCTCAACCTTTGGATCAACTCACCAGGCTCCTCTGAAGGCAAAATTCTTTCCCAGGTCGTCTTGGAGAATTTCGGAGAGTTTTGGTAGATGGATGTATTTTGATTATTTTGGCCTTCTGGTCTTGCGAACGTTGCCCTAGACACGGGCTAAAATAAACTCAGGAAGATCCACAGGCCCAAATCAGCAGGCAAGGGCAGCATTTATGGATGTTCTCATGCATCAATTCCGGTACGAAGTGGTTTACGCAACATCCGTTGGCTCGTGCATCTTTTGCCAAGTGCCCATGGATCTTCTGCTCCAAGCAGCTGCGAGTCCTCTGGAACTGATGCAGCCTGGATGGGGCACCAGAGCTGCTGAGCTGGTCAACATCGCCCCAACAAGGCGACCCTGCCATATCCCATGAGTCAATGAGTGGGTCAAATCGTTAGTTGGGGGGATGGTCACATAGAAACTGGGCTGGGAGGCTGCCCATGGCTGCCCCAAACCCAGTTAGCGGATGACGCTACAGTCACATCTGCTTGCACCCTTAGAACACCAACATCACAACATTTCTGGCCACGCCCAGCTAGGCTCAAATTAGAACTTCCAACTACACAAATCCAGGGGCAAGTGCTTGGGGTGGGATACACATCTTGAAACTCTAAATGTTCGTCTATTGAGCTCATACCTCGTGGAGAGAACTCAGATTGTACAATTCTCAGTATGAACCAAATTCCAGGCTGTTCAGGACTCACGCGGCCAGCGAACATTTTCACCTGAAGGTGCCTGACATTCTGAAAATGGGACTTTGCCAAGTGACATTCAGCTGGTATGAATCAAGCTAAAATGACCCCGGAACCGTCTCGCAATGATTCGCCGTTATGGCTTAAAAACTGCGCAGGGGTTGCCGGGATCGCAGTCAGATCAACTTTTTCACTCGCCTTTCATCCTGACGAAATGGCGCTGCTGTTTGGCTTGGGTGTCCTATCCACGCTTGACATTTAGATGGGATTTTTCTACTGTTTCCAAGCCGAGTTCCTCCACCACACATACCCTTAGCTAGAATCATCTCAAAAAGGTGAAAGAGAACATCATCCAAAAACACAACCGTAAATCCTAAAGCCACAAAACGTACCTAGAACAACTCTCTCTCTCCATCGCCTTCTCAAGGAGTTCAGCAGAACTAAAGGCGAGTAAGATACAACTAGAACAACTATCTTAGACTCTTTTTTTAATGGCGGTCCCACAAAAATAGTCACAATTCCTAATTTGTAGTTTATGATGATTCATTATACCCCAAATGGCTGAGAATCAGGGGACATTGCAGATCCCACGCTGAGGACACACGCGACGCACAGAGAGAGAGAGAGAGAGAGATAGAGAGAGAGATATATATATAGATATACATATATATATATATATGTACATATGGATAAATAAATAAAAAATAAATATATGTATATATATATATGTATATACACATATTTCTATCCATCGGTCTATCCACCTGTACTCTAATCCATTCTTATCTATTCTTATCTATCTGTTCGCATCTATATACTCTTACCTATTCTAACCTGTTCTTGTCATTTCTTACCTATTCTTACTTAATTGCTCTTGCCAACTCTTATCTATTCTTGTCTGCTCTTATCTATTCTTATCTATTATTCTCTCTCTCTCTCTGGCTTTGTCTCTGTATCCATCTCTGTCTGCATCTATATCTACATAGTATATGCCCCTATCTATATAAATCTAAACCTATAGATCTACATATATATATATAAATATCTATATCTACCTCTCTATCTCTCCATCTCTCCATCCCTCCATCTCTCCATCCCTCTATCTCTCCATCCCTCTATCTCTCCATCTCTCCATCCCTCTATCGCTCCATCCCTCCATCTCTCCATCTCTCCATCTCTCCACCCCTCCATCTCTCCATCCCTCTATCTCTCCATCTCTCCATCCCTCCATCTCTCCATGCCTCCATCTCTCCATCTCTCCATCCCTCCATCTCTCCATCCCTCCATCTCTCCATCCCTCTATCTCTCCATCTCTCCATCCCTCCATCTCTCCATCCCTCCATCTCTCCATCTCTCCACCCCTCCATCTCTCCATCCCTCTATCTCTTCATCTCTCCATCCCTCCATCCCTCTATCTCTCCATCCCTCCATCTCTCCATCCCTCCATCTCTCCATCTCTCCACCCCTCCATCTCTCCATCCCTCCATCTCTCCATCTCTCCACCCCTCCATCTCTCCATCTCTCCATCCCTCTATCTCTCCATCTCTCCATCCCTCCATCTCTCCATCTCTCCATCCCTCCATCTCTCCATCCCTCTATCTCTCCATCCCTCTATCTCTCCATCCCTCCATCCCTCCATCTCTCCATCCCTCCATCCCTCCATCTCTCCATCTCTCCATCCCTCCATTTCTCCATTTCTCTATCTCCATCTCTCCATCTCTCCATCCCTCCATCTCTCCATCCCTCTATCTCTCCATCCCTCTATCCCTCCATCTCTCCACCCCTCTATCGCTCCATCCCTCCATCTCTCCATCTCTCCACCCCTCCATCTCTCCATCCCTCTATCTCTCCATCTCTCCATCCCTCCATCTCTCCATCCCTCCATCTCTCCATCTCTCCATCCCTCCATCCCTCCATTTCTCTATCTCTCCATCCCTCCATCTCTCCATCTCTCCATCTCCCATCTCTCCATCTCTCCATCCCTCTATTGTTACATCGACAATAGTAAAGGGGTGTTCCCCCCCTTTTTTTTAAAGGGGGGGTCTGCTTTGCAATAGTAAATCGAAAATCCCAACTCGTCCCCAAGGCTTCTGTAAGGTTTTGACAAATCCTCTCTTTTCTGATAGGCTCTGATGGGATCTTCATTGGATTCTGATTGAGAACCTCTGTTTTCTGATAGGCTTTGGTGGGATGTTCGTTGGATTCTGATTGAGAAAGCATGCGATCACAATTAAAATTCATTCAACCACAATACAGCTAAAGCCAGAAAGGTTGTTTTTTATTGCAAGTGCTAATTCCAATTTTTAATTGCACATGCAAGGACCTGCAAGGGGGTACCCTTTGTGGACCTGTTTTTTGCAATTGTTTAAAAGGATTTTAATACAGAAAGCAGCTTTTTTGAACAAGGTAAAGTTTTTGATTTGTTAAAGGTTTGCTTTCTTTTTGCTTTTGAAAAGCATGCAATCACAATTAAATTTCATTCAGCCACAATTAAAAAAAGTAAGGAAGAAGGGGAAAATACAGCTAGAGGCAAAAAGGTCGTTTTTTATTGCAAATGCTAATTCCAATTTTTAATTGCAAATGCAAGGACCTGCAAGGGGGTACCCTTTGTGGACCTGTTTTTTGCAATTTTTTCCCCACCTGCCAGGTGAGGGTTGTTAGATTTTATCACAGTTACTCTCCTCCTCCGTCTCCTCCACCTCCTCCTCCTCCTCCTCCTCATCCTCCACCTCCTTCTCCTCCCTCTCCTCCAGCTTCTCCTCCACCACCTTTGCATCCACTCCCATGTTCACTTCCGCCTTGCCAACTCTTCGCCAAGCTCTTCGCCAACTTCCGCACACAGTGGGCACTGCTGGACCTCAACTGCAAGGGTCTGAGCGCACTGGGCACCGCTGGACCTCAACCTGGGACCTTCCGAGCTCAGTGAGCACCGCTGGACCTCAACCTGGGACCCTCCGAGCTCAGTGAGCACCGCTGGACCTCAACCTGGGACCCTCCGAGCTCAGTGAGCACCGCTGGACCTCAACGGCCAGATAGAATGCCAGAAGATATGCCAGATAGAACGCCAGATAGAATGTCAGAAAGAATGCCAGAAGATATGCCAGATAAAATGCCAGAATGTTTGCCAGATAGAATGCCAGAAGATATGCCAGATAGAATGCCAGAAGGTATGCCAGATAGAATGTCAGATAGAATGCCAGAAGGTATGCCAGATAAAGTGCCAGAATGTTTGCCAGAACATATGCCAGAAGATTTGCCAGATAGAATGCCAGATAGAATGTCAGAAGATATGCCAGAAGATATGCCAGATAGAGTACCAGAAGATATGCCAGAATGTTTGCCAGAAGATATGCCAGGTAGAATGCCAGAAGATATGCCAGATAGAATGCCAGAAGATATGCCAGATAAAATGCCAGAAGATATGCCAGATAGAATGCCAGAAGGTATGCCAGATAGAATGTCAGATAGAATGCCAGAAGGTATGCCAGAGAAAGTGCCAGAATGTTGGCCAGAACATATGCCAGAAGATTTGCCAGATAGAATGTCAGAAGATATGCCAGATAGAGTGCCAGAAGATATGCCAGAACATATTGCAGAAGATATGCCAGGTAGAATGCCAGAAGATATGCCAGATAGAATGCCAGAAGATATGCCAGATAAAATGCCAGAAGATATGCCAGATAGAATGCCAGAAGATTTGCCAGTAACAAAATGTATAGATGTCATGGCGGGGATAACTCGAAGTAAAGTAATTAAAAGGATTTTCATGAAGAAAACAGCTTTTATGAACAAGGTAAAGTTTTTGATTTGGTAAAGGTTTGCTTTGTTTTTGCTTTTGAAAAGCATGCAATCACAATTAAATTTCCTTCAGCCACAATTAACAACAGTAAGGAAGAAGGGGAAAAAATACAGCTAGAGCCAGAAAGGTTGTTTTTTATTGCAAGTGCTAATTCCAATTTTTAATTGCACATGCAAGGACCTGCAAGGGGGTACCCTTTGTGGACCTGTTTTTTGCAATTGTTTAAAAGGATTTTAATACAGAAAGCAGCTTTTTTGAACAAGGTATATAAAGTTTTTGATTTGTTAAAGGTTTGCTTTGTTTTTGCTTTTGAAAAGCATGCATTCATAATTAAATTTCATTCAGCCACAATTAAAAACAGTAAGGAAGAAGGAAAAACAACACAGCTAGAGCCAAAAAGGTTGTTTTTTGTTGCAAATGCTAATTCCAATTTTTAATTGCAAATGCAAGGACCTGCAAGGGGGTACCCTTTGTGGACCTGTTTTTTGCAATTTTTTACAAGGATTTTAATAAAGAAAACAGTTTTTTTGAACAAGGTAAATGAAGTTTTTGATTTGTTAAAGGTTTGCTTTGTTTTTGCTTTTGAAAAACATGCGATCACAATTAAAAACAATTCACTAAATATCAAGTAGCCCTTTGACAATTTAGTATTGGAATATCTGATGATTTGGGATTTTTCTGAAAATTATTTGCAGCTATTGCGAATGCAGCACAATTATTGCAGATGCTCTGGATCAGGATTGATGTCTGTAATTTAAAATCAATAAGGCCTAATTTAAAATCAATAGGGGCTGAAAAATCAGATTCTGAAAATTATTTGTAGCTATTGCGCGCGCTTTACTATTGTCCATCCAACATTATCTCTCTATCTATCTCTCTGTCTGTCTATCTGTCTTTCATTGTCTATTTATCTATTTCTATCTATTTAACAAACAAAAGCACCAGGCTTGAACCCACTCCCACCTGGCAGAGGTCAAGGCGTTGTCCACGGCCCGTTCTGCAACAGCCAAGGACCTTTTGGAGGTTTCACGGTTTCACCAGGGGGACGAAAGGCCATGAAGGGATCCAAATTATTCATCCAGGGAATAACAAAAAAACGGCTTTGAGATGGGGGAGTTTAGAGATTTCGCAGCCAAGAAAGGCGGGATTTTAACCAATTTCTTAATGATTGAACCGCTGGAAATAGAGTTTTGGGGATATCAAAGAACCATTGGGAGTTTTTCTATACCATCAAACACATCCCCATGTTGGGGAAGATAGTGAGGTTAACCATCAAAATGCTGAACTTCTCTCTCCCTCTCTCTCTCTCTATACATATATAGCTCTCAAAAACAAATGATTTGACCAATGAACCACAGATATGGGTTTGTCCAGCGAGGAGGGTATCCCAAAAGGGGGCAGTTTTACGTGTTTTTTCTCCAGACAAACCCGAATGGCGTAAACAACAGTTGGCATCATGATCCGAACCACCTTATTATCCTCAAGCAATGTATATCACCATTTTTTTCAGCATTCTATCCCTATTTGTGGTTGGTTAAACCCTACCAACAGGTTTAAGCCCCATGCATCGGTTGGTTGATGGGGCTCACATAGGTTTGTATCCACTATATGGTTGGCGAACCCTAAATATCAAGTATCTATCACCATGATCCACCCCTTGGATCCAGTGAAACGATGGCTTGCAAGGCACCGATCGAAGTCCCAATATGCTTCACTGGCAGCTCTCCGCGTGGCAATGATGGAAGGAGGGATGCGGATCTGTCCGCACTTCTCGAACCATTCCTGGCGCTGCAAAAAAAAACGTGGGGGACCCAGCAAAAATGGTCTTAGGCGGTTCGTCTGTTTTTCAAATACATGTATGTATACACCTCTCTCACTATCTCTATCTCTCTCTCTCTCCCTCTCTCCATCGCCGTCTTGGGGAGGAGCTTGCCCGGGGCAAAAGCAAGAACATCTATAAATACCTGCATGTAATTATATATATATATGTCATATATAAAACAACAATAAACCATTTATGGCAACCGAGTGTACAAGATATGACACTACGCAGCCGAAGTTTCCCCAATGTTGCTGAAACAAAATATGGCTTGACGACAGGTAAGCGCGAGTAAGGACTCCCAACCTGTGCAAAACTGAAATCAATGAACATCTATACCGTCAATGTGCATGATGCAATGTATCTTTCTTGTGGTTTCCTAAGAATAATACACTATACATTAAAGACGCACAAACAGAGGCAAACACACATACAGTCACACACACACACTCTTTATCCAACGACATGCAACAAGCAGAAAGGCCAACTAGAAATCTTCTCGAAGACTGGAATGCGGGGGCTTTCTCAACCAAGAATGCGCTTTAATGGTTCCTCAACATCACCTTCGAATAAAAACTGTTGGGAGAGAATCCTCCTGAAACGGTGTGGTTTATCACCTCCAGTAGGGTTGGCCATGAACAAGTTTAAACACTCCAATCTTGATGACTTAGAACCTTTCGATCAACAGTGAAAACACATCTGGCCTTCCAGGACATCATCTCATCGACGGCCTCCACATGATCCTCCTTCCTAGGCAGCGTTAACTGAAGGATCGGGCTCATTTGGATCCAATGTACCCTCTGGTAAACTAACAGTTTGCTATTGAAAATGGCCAGTTATAGTGGATTTTCCCAGCTATAAAATGGTGATTTTCCATAGTTATGTTAGTTTATCGGAGGGTATGCATATACACAGATATACACAGTAGAGGTAGGTTTTTGGTTTTTGGTGCTTCTGGAAGCTTCCCTGAAAAGCCGGGTTGCTTCCCATGCAACAAGCCGTTTTAAAGACGCGGCTCGACCCGAAGAGAAGTTGAACTTACCTGGAACTTACCGGAAGTGTTTTCTGGAAAGTTTTCCCAAACCCAGTCAGCTATTTCCAATCAATGGATTGGTTTGCAGGAATATCTGCAGGAAACCAGTGTTGTTACCATCAACGGGGCTTTGGGATTTTCCCATCCAATTTTGGGATCCAAGGCTCTTGTAGTACGTGCCATCGGTGTCGTAGTAGCCACCCCAGTCTTCCTCCCAGTATCTGCCATACTCGTCATAGTAGCCACATGAATATGATCCCAATAGCCTGCGCGAAAACGACAGGGTCTGGCACAAATTTTGATGCAATGTCAGAGGCCCCCCCGACAAAGGGCCTCCATATTCATCCCAACATCCGCCCTCGTCGCAATGTCCATGAGACCAGTCATCACCTTTGGAGGACTCCAAGGCATTTCGAATTCCATCTCACAGCTCTGAAATCTACCAGCTGAATGTTCAATTTATAGGGGGAACGAATGGGAACGAGCTAGTCAAGGCATGCATCATACTTGGGGTTTCCAGGAATCCAGTGGGACTGCATCAGCTCTGCGACAGGCAGCCATCGTGATGATGATGGTGGTGGTGGTGATGCCCTTCATTGGTGACTCCCCCGGATCCTTCCAGCCCAACAGATTGGGCCAAGGGTTCCATAGATGTTGGCGTGGCTCCTGGCTGGGGGGATAACCATCATAAAAGAAACCATGGCCCAGCGTCTATACGGGAATCAACATGGTCGGCCCATGGATGTTTGGTTGCACCAGTATGTAACTGTACACATTAATATATATATATACAATACTTAGGTATATACAGCTTCACGGTGTGTGTGTATATATATATATATGCGTGCAACTATATAATATAGATGTATCTGATGATATGCTATAATAATTATGCGATTGCAGAAATTCCAAGTGAGTTCCAAGTAGCCTCTGCAATTCGCACAACTGGGAAATTGCCTCCAAACACTCAAACTCGACACATCAACTACTGTAACGCATCCAATCTTGAGGCCGGGCAAAAAACTTCCCAGAAAGCATGCTGTCAGCAGCATCCGCCAGTCCTGCTGAACCAGCATCCTGGCCAGTCAAAACATGATGCGCATGCTGTGGCTGGCTGCCAGTGATGCAAGTTCCACAAGAACACTGCAAGAACCTAGAGAAAAAATCCCGAAGAAACAATAAGAAACATGTTTTGGGAGTTTTCACCTTTTCATGTCTGGGGTGTCGAGTTTTGACTGACCCACAGCCATGATTATCTATATCAATGGAGAAAATCTGAGAGGTTTGAAACATGATGATCAGTAAACCTCGAAACTGGAAAGGTTCCAAACAAGCCTTGGACCCGTGGGTTCTTTTGCTGGTGGTAAGTCAATGAATGTCAGTGAGCTCCGAAGGAACCACGGCTAAATTTGGCTAAACCTCAGGATGAACACTGCTGGAACGCCTTCCAAACCTCTTAAAGAACGCGCTTAAACGACACAAACAAACTCCAAAAAAAACGCCTTACGGTATTTTTGCACAACTGGACATTCCCTACTTTTTCCTATCCACCCGGCGCCGGGTTCATCCGGGTTCCCCACCTTGGGAACATCGATCTCCAAAGTGCTGGAGGCCATCCGTGCCATCTCCTTCTGGGCCTGGATCCGCGCCACATCATTTTCCCATATATTTTCCCTATCATTTGATAACACCTGGGGGACACACCATTCTGTATTACAGATATTTACAGATCCACCTATTGGGATGAGACACATCTTTGAATCATACGTCAGCATACAGCATAGAGTCATGCCATCAACAAGGAAAATTACTAGGCATTGGTGGTAAACATATATCACATGTTCAGACAAACGCAGTGATTCTTTGCAAAAGATTGGTTTTGAGGTGGCATAGCCTTAAATTGTGACGGTGCGAGGGCAATCAAAAAGGTACACCACCATCAAGCTTTCCGGAACCCCTACATAGGTAAACCCCTACATAGGTAAACTTAAATAGCCCGCACAACAATGACACTGAAACCTGGTGCGATATGATGTGGGATGTGACTTTTTTCCTGCACAGAAATATAACTTAGACTTGAACCATTCACTAAGATTTACTCAGCCTAAAAATAGTTTTTTTTAATCCCACCTGCCTAATTTTCCAAAACATCATCTGGCCATAAAAAAATCGTGAATAGATCCAATACTAAACCAGGGTTTCCAGGATGGTATTTTTCATATTAGGGGGAAGGGATTCATTAACAGTTTCATATAGATATACACACATATGAGTATATCATTATAAAACAAAATCTTTATATTCAGCGGTTTATCAGTCATGTAAAATCCCAATTTTGGATAGGTCCAGTCCCATTCAACCTCACTATTCCCACCATTGATCGATTCCCTGTTGGCTTCCCTTGGTGGCCTCCTCCATCTGTCGCTGCTGTAAGTTTGCACCCTGTTGGTTGTAGCCATTCACCGCGCGTTTCACCTCCAGTCGAATCGGAAGGTATAGCTCATCCACTTTTGAAGGTCTATTAAAGAGTCTATTATTTGCACACCTAATGTGCATACCTATAACTAACTAACTAACTAACCAACTAACTAACTACCTACCTACCTACCTACCTATATATATATAAATAAATATTAAACCTCACAAATGGGATTTTGAGCCAAACCCGTAGGTACGCAATATGAGCACACCACTCAAACTCAGCCGGCCTGACATTGAAATATGAGGCTACCCTGAACATGTGTTCGTATGTATACACAACGAATGTAGACAAACATTTTCTTTGTTTACCAAAAAAACGCTGACTGTAGACTCACGTACACACACACATACACACACACACGTACACACCCACACACAGATATATATATGCACATATGGAAACTCATACGGACACACACACAAACATCTCTGTCTCTCTCTATTTACATATACAAGTTGCCACAGTGGGAAAGTAGTGGGAAATATTTACATATAGCCATCCCCTCACAGCACCTCAGAATTCTCCACAGCATCTCTGTGATCCTGTTCCTGCATTGCCTCCAGGGTGAGTCGAACTGCGGCTGAAACTCCACAAAAAAAAACCGCATTGATTGATCTGGTGGGAGTTCCAGTCATCAGTGATCGTATCATGTTATATAAGGTATATATAATCATAGTTGTAGGGGGGCCATATCCCAAACTTATGGCGGTTGTCACTACGGTTATGCCAATCTTGCTCACCCAACTGTACCCCCCGAGTTGTGCTTTTGGTGCTCCCCAGATGGAATGAAGGGGCATCATCAAGTGCCACCCATTTAAGCAAAACAACCCAAAGCAAACAATGATTGGCATGCACGGTCGACGGTCAAGTGTAGATGGGTGTGGGTCGAAATCCCGTATACCCTACTTGGCATGTAATATATGTTTGGCAATTAGTTATATGACATGCGATTCTGACACGGGTCCCAAAAGTGGACAGTTTGGGCTCGTTCGCCCTTGATACTTCTACACTTTTGAGGCAATCTGGTATTAAAACGTATATTTTTGTTTGGGATCACTCTCTTCTCTTCGTTGTTGACCTGTGGCCCCTCCATAGCCGCAATCTCCCTGAGCCTGTTCCAGGGCCCAGCGATCTGCCTGCACGTGTGCACTCCATTTATCATGGCAGAAAATGGTCCATTGAGCTATGCAAATTGATACACATAGCAGAAAACATGAAGTAAACCAACTAAATAAATATCCACACACACACAGGCACGATATATATATACACGTATATCACACACAACATATTACCACTCAACACGCGCCCAGTTCCCATTTGAACGCTCATGGCCGTTCCCGCCTTGCCCTGCATGTGGCCTACATCTTGCATCCTGAGACCCGCAGGAAGGGCGGATTGTGGGTTTGTCTGCAAAACATGGGGGAAACCACCAAAGAATCCCATAGTTGAGCATCAAAAGTCCCAGATAATTATTTAATATTCCATTTTCATAGTTGGTCATCATTTCCCTATAGCATTCAAACATTCCAGATTTAATGGGTATACTTTATTTTCAGATGCGCCCCGATGTTGAGGACATGATTTGCGTCCAGCTTTTGTGCACCAATGATACATAATAGGGAGACAATCATAGAAGGATTCCTGATCGACTGATCGATAGCCCCAAATGGGCTGCCAAACTTTAGATCAGTATATAATGAATATGCCATTATTTGGATATATTTGGTGCATATCCTCCTCATTTCTGATGGTTAAACTATATTAAAACCCGACATCTCAAAGCCAAAACATCCCTCAGGAATGTGAGGTATGCACCAACCATTCATTCACAAGTCGGGTGCCCCAAATATCTCCTGGCTATATCCCTTATTTCATCAGTAAATATCCGATTTCATTAGGATTTGCTGGGGGAACATCCCATTCACCGTTGGCGATTCTACCATGTTACACCCCTCTATATTCATCTATACCGGTATTCCTGATATTTTCCAATCATAGCCTATTCACCAGCCACTCACTGGCAACCCCCAACTCATGACAGGGTCGACGTGTTAGTTGGGTAGTAATATCCCTTTACCCATGACATACCGGTGACACACTGACACACCAGCAGCAACTGGGTCGTTTAACCTAGCCAGGAGACACCATGCTCTCCTGCGCCTCTTCCGCCTCTTGCTCTTTCGCCTTTGCATTCTGGTGCGCTTGCTCCGTCTTGCTACGCAGTGCCTGGCAGCAAAGGGGCTGGTACGCCGGTCCACATTTGTTGGATTTGCCGTTTTCGTAGGTTTTTGCTTGGTTGCTGCAGGTCCATCTCAAGATAGGAAAACATACAAGAGCAGAACACGTGTAACTTGGCATGTCGCGAATGAGTGGCTACAGTAAAGCAGCAGCAAACAGCGAAGGGCGACAAAATCAGCATGTACTTCCAGCAAAGAAATGACGCTTCCACCACAGCAGCACATGACATTGCTAAAATAGACCCCGGAAGCCCCAAACATTTAAGGTCCACAAAAAGTACTATAGCGAACATGGCCTATGTCTATTAATGGGCTCCATGCCCTGTACCAGGTGTCATGTGGACCGGTATCGCCTGGAGATCGGTCTCCATCTGCTCGTCGTCTTGTTTGTCTTGCATACTCTTGCACTGCATCATGATCTTCCTGGCCCACACATGCCAGTTCAACGGGCAACAATGTGGAATTTACCGGCGCAAACCTTAAGTCAATCAATGCGTAGGTTCCTTTAGATGCTAATTGGCTTGGATATATAAGTTATATAAACAACACACACGCGCATTGAAGCACCATTGACAACAGGCGACCGTTTCATCCAAAAGGATGAACCTCGCTCCTTACATCCACAGGGGCCGCTGGGTCGTGCGCATGCAAGCAGAAACATATCCATGCTCCCTGAAATTGTTGTCAAAATCATATTGTGACATGTTGAGATCTCAAAGAAGCACCCATTGTATCCATAGAGGTGTTTAGCCCCTTGTACTCAAATATGGCAATGGAACATTGAATTCTACATTCTAGATGATTTATCTTGTTTTACCTGTAGTAAGAATTGGACCATTTCACATCAAATTGCCATAGATTTTGCCACAGGTATATCCCCAACATGTCCACCACGCCACCCGGTTGATTCGGAACCTCATCTTCGGCAGTTCACGGGCCAGGTCTTGACGCTTGCCTGAAAGTTGGGAAACCCTGGAAGAAATCTCCTTGACTTCATTGCGGCTAGTCCATTGATAGAGTATTTTCCAAATACGTTCCATGAATCCATTATTGATAGATTGTGTATGATTGCGTCCTTTTTTAAACCACACTTAGACATGGGCGTGGGCCACCTGTTGTTAAAACATGTCAGTCAAGTGGCTTCATGATCTCAAACAGGGATGGAAAACAACAAACATTTCACACCACCAGCCAGAAAATCTTCGCGATACTGGTGTGTAACCCCCCTCATTTATGTTTCGTTAAACTACGGGCAGGACTGAGGGTTTTCCCGGAACGGAATGATTAACTTCTTCAGGAGGCACATTTCACTGCGCAGGCGCAGTGTTTTATGACCTTGGTACATCTGCGCATTAGTATGTCCCAAGACGAATTTCTAGAAAAATCAGTCGGAAAAGTGAACTCTCTGCGGACTTCATGCTTTTCGGCCTTTTCCCCTCTTTTTTGGCCAGTCTGGAGTGTTCATATGTCATCTTGCCACAGCCATGTGCACTTCTCTGCATTGTATGCATCAATGAAAATGTTTTTTTCTTCCTATCATACCACAAGTCCTCCAACACCCCAAATGAAAGGAATCCTTTCATAAGCGATTTTTAAGTGCAAGGGATATGCTATAGAGTTCGCTATCCAGGTCTGTTGGATTTTGCTTAGATTTTAATACACTTAATTTGTTCAACTTGTCAACTCTCAATTTTTGACTGTTCAATAAGTTGATTGTTCAGTGACAAACCCTTTGACATCACATTAAAAGTTCATAAGTTCCCCCATTGTTTCTATATAAGGTTCCTATGAACAATTGTATATGTTTGAATGTACTCAGTTTTCGGATCTATAAAAACGGTGTATTTTTCCAATGGGCACCCCATTTTTGGAGGTTTCGCATCCATGGGGTGCCCTCAAATCATCCAAGTCATTGGACCATGACTTGGTATTGAAACCTATAGTGGCTTGGGGATCCCTCATGACTTAAGAAACCTCCATATTTGTTGGGATTATGTAAATATAGGGAATATAGGGATGAAACTATAGTAACATATAGTAGCTATATCATTTATGATGCATTTTAGGTCCTGGATCTATTTTGGATGCAGCAATTTTAAGAAATTCCTAGTGATAGTCCCAATAAAAAACCATTACTCCATTAATCATCAAGTATTTAGAATATATAATATATACATATATGCGGGTGTGTCAAAACCTTGTACCCCTGGTGAACATCAAAATAGCTGGTAAATGGATGTTCATCCCACTAAAAATGGTATTAATAGGTATTGATCCATACCCATATCTATCTATCTATCTATCTATATATATATATATATCTATATCTATAGAAATTCTATAGATATCCCCCAAAAAGTATGGCCAACACCCAGCGCACAAAAGGCCTAAAAACCCCTACCCTATGGCAACCCCCCATGGCAAGCCACGCACCCAGCGCTCCAAGCTCCGGCCCGCCGCATCCACCGCGGCGGACGCGGAGCGCAGCGAGGGCGCCAGGCGCCGTTCAGGGCGGGCCAGGCGCTGGAGAACGACCTCGGGACGTCGCGTTTTTTTCGAAGGTTAGTCATGGTTTGCAAACGGCAAAATAATGTTTTTGACCATCAAGATATAGTTTTTAACACTATTATGAACCATTGAATAGTCAATAAATCATGTATAGTCAACCATCATGGTCATTAACTATTAATCAATGGTGAATGATAAGATATTGATGGTTGATAATAGTTATATGTTTATTTTTGTTCTTTTCCGGTGGTTTTTCCCAGCCGAAGTGGTCAAATATAGGGATTTAACAACGGTGGATCATGGGTAAGCGACGATTAGCAAAGGGCAAAATACGGGTCAACAATGGTGAATCATGTTTGCAAATTGTTAATATATAGTGTTAATGATGTTTAGCAATGGTTTTTAAATAGTGGTTGATAATAGTTGATAATAGTTGATAGTGGTTGATGATGGTTGATAATGGTCTATAAAACCACTTCCCAGGTCAGCCGTTAACCATCGTTAACCATGACTAGCCATCACCAACCATTACCTTAATAATGGGTACAATGGGTACAATAAATAATGGTCAGTAATGGCTAGGAATGGTTAATATCTAAGTTGATTAATGCACCACCACAATGGCAACATATCCGGATTTCACCGTCTTTTTCGGGGATTTCACCGAATATAGGGCTTTAGCATATTTTACCCATCATAAATGAGGATGATATTAACCAAATATAACCTCCGGTGTCATCAAATATCCTCAAACTAGCCATACATTGCTAGCAGAGAAAATCATAGAACTAAACAGTGGGTTTCCCAGCCATGGTCGGTTGAACAAAGGGCAAGTGGGGATAGAGACAGCCAACGTGGCCAAATTGCGGGATTTAACCATGAATTTATTAGGATTTCACATGGTTTAACTTAGTTTAACCTCTAAAGAGTGTTTTTTCTAGGTGGCCAGACAATGTTAGACATTGGGTTTTCAGCCAACAATGAAGATTTAACCATGAATAAACTTGGGCTTAGCCACCATACATGGGTGCCACCTGGTGAATATATGAAAATATGAGGGGGTGAAGCAACCAAACTAGAGATGTAACCATCAAAGGCAGGGATTTGACTGATTTAACTGATTAGTACTGATTTAACTGGTTAGGCATGTGATTCTCAACCAGCAAAACTGATGATTCATTTGAGGGTGGTTTTTTTCTGCACACAAATTTTGGATTTACCTTGGACACCTGTTCATGGTACAAAACACATTAAGTACAATTCATCTTTGAATAACACACTTGCAAGACTATACAAGTGTTGGGCATGTCACACTTCTAGGTTTGTGATCCAGAAGCCCCAAGAAATCCAAGAAGGTACACGTTTTCACTAGCAACTGGTTCCACCCACCTTGATGCGCCGTTGCGGCCGGGGTGCTAAGGATGCGTGCTGCAGGTCTTCTGGTTTGGCCGCGGTCAGTGGGTCCTGAGCGGAGGGGAAAAAATACTTTCTTCGAGTGTTCCCTGCCCTGACACATTATTGGGACATAGTTTCTGACACACCATCTGGTCTTTATATTGGATATATATATATACATAGCCATTCTATCTGACCTTCTTTCTGGCAGATGCTCTCACATTCTTTCTGGCATTCTATCTGGCATACTTTCTGGCATTTATGCTGACGTTCTCTCTGGATCTCTCTGGCATCTATTTTGACATTCTTTCTGTCATCTATTCTGGCATTCTCTGGCGTGGGCACTGCCCGACCATGCCCACTGAGGTCTGGAGCTCGCGGTCGAGGTCCGGCAGTGCCCACTGAGATCTGGCACTCGCGGTTGAGGTCTGGCAGTGCCCACTGACATCTGGAGCTCGCCATTGAGCAAGGAGGGCGGAGGAAGGAAGGAGAAAGTAACTCTGATAAAATCTAGAGACCCTCACCTGGCAGGTGGGGAACAACCAATGGGTGGCTGCAACCCATCCCAAAAAAATCAAAATATGACCAAAAGACTCTGCCAATTGAGAATGGGGGATGAAAAGTATCTCTCCATCATTTTCCCACATCTTCCGAGTCAGAAAGAAAATAGGAATCGGTAACCGGTGGCATTCAAAACACCCAAGGGTTGAGAGCCACGCGGAACCCACACAACGGCTAGAAGCATGTGCCCTATGGACGCCTAAATCAATTATGAATTTTTGGCAGCTCCAAACCCAAACCTAAAATGGAACCGGAAAATGGATCACAATGGCCATTTCCACATGTTTCCACCAGGAAGATCATCTTCTGAACCGCCTTTTCACTGTGCAGGTGCCGTTTCTTCGTGGTAAACACGGCGCCTTTAACAGCTGCGGCCAGGTCTCCCAAACGGGGCACCTCGCCATGCACTGCTGCAAGTTCTCCGCATCCTGCCTGGCGATGAGTGATGGGTGACACATGGTGCCACAACTTGCGGCATTTGAACATTGAACAGAAGTAGCAAATGGTATCAAAATGGTGTTATCATGAGATATAATGGGAATATAACGGGCATATAATGGGCTTCTTTGAACAGTTTTTCACCTATGGAAATACAGTTTTCAAGTCAACCTGTGGAAATGAGCATGGTTCAGGGTGGAATGCTGGAGAAAAACGCAGCTTTCAATTTTCAAGCGTTACTTAGGCATTTCAATACATTTCATGTAGTAATCTGTTCTTGGGGGGCAAGCACACCCATTGAGAATAATGAAGATGCTTCAGCGACCCTCAAAACCAACACTGCCACAAAAAATGTATATCTTCAAGACAGCACGAAGCAGGTTTCATCTAAAGAAGAAACCCAGATCTCTCCGTTCAGTGAGCCCCCTTTAGGTACATGAGATAAAGTCAAAGTGCTGTGCCGAACAGGGCCATATGCTGGCGGATATTCTGATATTCCCTTACTTACATAAGCGTTACATATGGTAGGTACCTCCAAGTAGGCTGCCTACGATTTCCCCTTGATCCATGGGTCCGCTGATGGTTTCGCCGAGGATCTCTTCTTTGAGAGCTTCGGTATCACCTGGCTGGACGGAGTGCCTGGACTTAAGCCACTTGAATTGCGTGAGAATCACAAAACACGACACCTGTGAACAAAGAATTTTTGAAGTCACACACACACACACGCTTCAAGGGGTCCCGGGTTGTAATGGGGCAACTTGCAAGATTCATAACATCAGTTGTCTACTTATAACTAGGTATTACGGTACTACCATCCAATGTCTAGCCGATAGTGTGTTGGTTGCACCCTAGCCGTTTGTCGCTTTACCATTGCTGCAACCTCACGGAGTGAAAACAATCTCGGCCTTCTGGCATCGGCATATCCATTGGGACTGCTTCATCTGGTCCTTGACCTTGCCAATCCGCCCCAAGGGGCCCAAGGGATCCGGCAGGACTCCCCAGCACCAAAGTTGGGGTTAAGACTGGGTTTTTTCGCGAGCTTGCGGGTTCGTAGGGAATAAGGTCTGCCGAAATGCATAAGACTGAACCAGGTGGACCAGCAGAACAATAAGAATTTCCAGTTTCAATCTGGCCTTGGAAAGAATAATTCGTGACACTTTTGGTAAAGATCTTTACGCAGTCTGTAAAACTTTAAGCCCGACAAACTCCGACGAACTTAACCTTGCGCGCAAAGATGTCCAAACATTTCCTACGTGTGTTTTGACGTTTTCGCCCCTAAAACGCATGGAAAAACAGCACGCAGAAAGTAAAATCGCATTTTTATAACCAGTTTTTCCACTTTGGCAAAAACATTTTCACGTAGCAAATTCGGCCCCGACGAACCCCGACGAACTCCGACGAACTCCGGCGAACTCCGTTCCTGGGTCATCTCAGAAATTTGATTTCTATTTTTTCCTGATTAGTTTTAACCTACCACAAAGCGACACACAGCGCCTGAATGCCAAAGTTCCTTCCCAGCTGCTACCAACAAGGACGGGGTCAGGGTCATACCTTGTGTTCTAGAAATCCCTTATTCCCAACGAACCACGTTGCTCGCGAAAAAAACCAGTTAAGACCAAACACTATTTCTTTGTTTGAATCTGTCTGAAAAAGGGTGTCCAAATTTCCATGGCTTCTCATGATATTCCCCTATTCTCAATGACGATTTTGATTATTTTGGGGTGTTACGAATTGTAAAAAAACACCTGGTTGAAGTTTTCACACCCCTGAAATGATTATACATAGCTATTGGGGATCATCATCCAAGATAGGATGGACGCTAAGAACTGTTCGAAGCACCCATCAAACACCGATGGTTTATCACCATTTTCATTTTTTTAATGGCCATTGGGCCTACTGTATCACCCGTTGTAATCCATGTTCAAACACACACACACAGCCACTGCCAAGCCACCCAGTTCCCCATAGGCATCGGGTGCTCCGTAGGCATCCTCTGCATAGCCGTACTGGTCATAGCCGTCGTAGCCACCGTAGCCACCATAGTCATAGCCATCGTAGCCATGGTAGCCATGGTAGCCATCGTAGCCATAGTCATAGGGCTCATGGTAGTAGGCATTTTGGTCTGGTGCCGGGGCAAGCTGCACCCTTTCTATCAGAATTTTCTGTTTTTAGAATTTTCTGGCGTCTCCAAGTTTGTAGTGCCCGATTGGCACATAAGAATAATGAGCAGGATATAAGGTGAAGTGGGGAAAGAGAGACGGGCGGGAATCTCCGAGGCTTTCCCTTTTAAATGAAAGTGGTGCAGAGTCTGACAAGGTTCTGACTTGGTCTGATGCCGTTATTGCAGATCAAAGCAAACAAATCTCCTGCCATCTCCTGCCGTCCAAATTCACTACAGTGCCAGTTTCACAAGACCACAGGTTACAGATCCTTACAGCCTTGAGTAGTAGGGATTCCCCATCGCCCAGATCATTGGAGTGGTTTCAGGGGAAATGTACAGACAACCCTCGTTTGTAATGGGAAAACACTCTGGGAATCATCCCATTGCCCAAATGCACAATGATACTCCCCAGAAATCTAACAGTTTACACAAACATAAAAGAAATGGGTTCCATGTTATCGCACCCATGTTAAAATTCATGAGCGGGATAAGTGCCAGGTAGGTGCCGGTGAATTTGGACATGTTCGGAGACTTTTTGGCTGCTTGTCATACTAACATAGAACGCCACAAGCTGCCATTGAGTGCTCATCCAAAAGTTCCATGTTAGCCATGGCGGCTGACAGGGGGAATTCGGAACCATGATGCCCTTTATGGTGATTGATGGATGCAAGATGCTACATAAGAAGTCGCGACTTTTTCTTGGAGGTGTTTTGGTTTCAGTTCTTTCCCCACCACAGACCTGGAACCTGCATAGTTTTTCAAATGTGAGCGCAATACGAAGTAAAAAAATAGGGTCGCCCGAAAGTCACTAACATGGAATTTGCAAGAACCACGCCTTAAAAACCATTTGGGTTCCAGGTTAAACTTCAAATCACCCTTCAAGGTTTCAGATCGCTTTGTGATGACTTGTTCAAATTCCATGTTGGCTGTTTCAGGTTGCAGTTTGGGTTCAGTTTGGGCCTGCATGGGGTTCCATGTCAGTCTTGGAGTGATTTTATAAACAAAAAGTTCGTTGCATGATTTCCTGGGGAACAACATCCACTTGAGACCGTACCACAGGTTCATGTTAGGGGACCACAGGAATAGCATGCAGTTCCATGTTAGATTTGGGGAGTGTAGGCTGGCAAGGTGGCGTCGACTCGAGTCGAGAAACATGCCTTTTTTTGCCATCAAGTCTTCCACAAACTCTGAGAATCACAGAAAATCACGTTTTCATAACCATATAAATTACAGTATATTTTTTTGACACATTGAATTAGCACGCACACGCACATAAATATATACATACACATATGTCAATGTATCTTATCTATATTTAGCTATATTGATCGTATTCAAGGTGCGTACTCGTTCTTTCAGTGGGTGAGGTATATGATATACCCAGCTGCTTCCCGCCTCCACTATCCACAAGCCCAATACCTTGGCCACCGTCGAGATTGAGCTCAATGTTGTTTCTACAAACAAAGGGTTGAAACCTGTAAATGCCAAAGTCTTGAACTCTTGGGTCTCTCTTTCTTCCTTTCTTTCCTTTTCTGTTCTTTTCCTTTCTGTCTGTCTTTCTGTCTCTCTCTCTCTCTCTCTTCCCCTAAATATACACGTATACATAGGATTACATAGGTACATATGGACGCTGTCGGTGCATTCTGAATTCAATTGGGGCTTCCAATTGATGATGTACAGTTGATTTGGGGATTGTTGCTGAGTGGTGCCATATCACTGGATAGCGAAAGGATACCGAAAGGCATGTCCACACACTCTGGGATGCTGTTTCATCCGTGAGTTGTTGGCTGGCAAATGCTGGCAATGTCCGTGATGCCCAAAAATCCCCAAACAATCATGACAGCATGATAGCATAGAGAAAGCTGTACGATCTATATAATCAAACATGACATAACCGGACAATCCATGTTTTCTGCCGTAGCATAGTCGTTCAGCAAGTTGCGAACGCCTGCTAGCCGTGACATGAGGAAACAACAGTAGACACTGTTTGATAAACTGACAGCTAGGTCTTGCAACATGATGGGCCCTGATGGGCTAAGCTTCTGATCCGAGTCACCGTGGTGACTCAGGTTCTTTCTATGCATGGAGCCATATGGTCCCAAAGCACCAAAGCGCTTGGAAGTTGCTGCGATACCTGCAACGTGTGCGACATCTCCAGTAACGAATTTTGCAGCGGCATGGCTGGCACGAGGCAAACCAGTTACATACTGGTAAAGAGAGGCATCAATGCCAAATAGTATATATATATAATATTTCAGACCTGAAATCAAGCATTTTGGGATAATCCCCCCAAAGCTAAACTTCATGTATGGTGAGGTCAGTCAGTGAGTTTACTGAGTTTACTACTAGTGCTAGGAATTTGCATCATTTTGGAAACGCTTTTCGGGCCGCTTGGGTTCTCCCACCTGACTTCAGTGGGCCTTTCTTTGCTTTCAACAACTCCACCAACTTCACGGCATTTGGCCGTCTCAGCGCCTTAGCAGAAAACTGGAATGGACAAAGAGCCCAGAAATGATGTGACCACAGGACATGACCATGTTGGGGTTCCAGGCTAGATTTTTGGCAGGTGTAAGCTCACATGATCAAATGTAAGCCTTTTTACCATTGATATTTCCTTTTTGAACAGGGAGTGGAGAACAGCTGAAGAGATACACCTAGTGTCTCACTAAGAAAAGATTCAGTGAAGAAAGCACATGCACGCATTGTATATATAAATCTATTTGGGTAAATAAATGTAAATCATGTACATTTTACATATGTTTCAACATGCACCCGACCAGCCCGATCCAATCACTCTTGCCGCCCCGGCCACCAAGCTTGTTTCCGCATGGCCTGCAGCATGTCTTGGGTCGTAATCCCATCCCCCAAATATCGTATTTGGAGAGGTGTTCAATGTTGAGGGGAAGAGATCATGATTACATAATGCAAACGGCATTCGATAGTCATTGGCTTGTTTTGGACAGCTTACGTCACTTTGCTCTGATTCAGAAACTATATTGCATGTTGACTCGACAGCCCATGGTTTCTAGTCACCTGTCTGTTTTTTCACTGGACATTGGCTGCAGCCTTTTTGGTGTGTCTAACCGGGTGCCTGAGCCCCGCTTTGTCTCGAAGAAGCTTGAAGCGGTGGTGCCCACTCCTGTTTTAACAGCTGCACCGCAATGATTTTGAGGCTTGTGAGCTGGTACATAGGATATGAACAATAGTAGTTTCAGCTTGGTGAATCTTGGTGGTGCATTACTCAGCTAGTGGCAAAACATTATATATGCAATCATAATCATACCATCTGGTTATTTTACATAGCCATGGAAAATCGCCATTTTTAATAGGCAAACCCAGGTAAACCATCTATAAATGTGCCATTTTCCATGGCTATGTTAAATAACCAGAGGGTAGATCAAGTATTTACCTGACCATCCAAGGCTTCCAAGGCTTCCATGTGGAGACCCATTCTCAAGGGCCCTGGCTGTTTCCCGCGGCCATTCATGAGTTGTGTCTCTTGACCATCTTGATCATCACACACACACACACATGTTGGTGGTTCAATTGGCAAAGTGAATGGGAATGACCACCTACCAATGTGGTAGACCTTGGCAATCCAATGTCATAAACTTACCATTTGGGATGGTTTCTGCAAGCCATTTATGGTGACTTTAGGGCCTTTCCGTCTTTCCCCAAGCCTCGACATCTGTGGCTCCATGGGAAATCCTGGCAATCACTGGTTGGTGGTTGACCTACCACTCTGAAAAATGATGGTTGTTCGTCAGTTGGGATGATGACATTCCCCATATAGGAAAAAAACATGTTCCAAACCACCAACCAGATCATTTCTGGGCAAACCCTGATATGAATTGAGTGTACTGGGCATCAATGGGCATCATGGGGGGCATGAAACCATGCCAAAGTTACATTGAGGCTGACAGCTCACAGGGCACCAGTAGTGAGTAGCAGGGGAACCCAGGCCCAAACTGATCGACATTCAACATTCCCCATCCCCTGTTGATCGGATGTCTGTATTTACATTTCATCAGTGTTCAAAATCCCCAGGGTTGTTGCCCAAAATGGATCAACAACTTTTCAACTTCCAATCAAACTTTTTGTTGCTTCAAGCAGCAAAGAATCACTTCTTGTTGAACATCAAAACACATCTTTAACATTGAACATACCCTCTGGTGAACTAACATAACTATGGAAAATCACCATTCTATAGCTGGGAAAATCCACTATTTCTATAGCCATTTTCCATTGCTATGTTAGTTCACCAGAGGGTAAACAAAACACTAACACCACATTTTCTGCTGCTTCAAACAACAACAACTTCTCCAAGGCCCCCACCGTAGCCAGCAGCTGTTCATTCGCCAGCGATGGCATGGCCCACGCCCAACTTTGGAGCGTGGTCCCAAGCCACCGGGAGGTCGTTAAAGCATCACTAAGCTGGGAGACTAAGTGCAGAACATCGACACAATTTTCAGTGAGCAACTTTGTGGATATTACGTGTTGTGAAAAAATACATATAGACAGAATTAGATGCACATGTATAAAAATAGACGTGAAAGCAGGTTTAGCCAGGTTTGACTTTCACCAGGGCGGTTCGCCTTGCTGGCACAGGGTAACCGGGTATGCAAATCTTGGCAGCCATGATGTGCAATTCATGTTGATCTGTTGATATCTGTTGATCCTGAGCCCAAATCCGGCGCCCCGATTTTGGCTCTGTGGATGGTCATCCCACCGAAGGAACACGGCCTCACCTGGTGGGGCCGTCTGGCCATGTCCGGCCCCTCCCTCGCCTGGGGGGGAAGCGCCGTGGCTTCCTGATACTCGCGCCTGAGATTCGGGGAAAGTGGCCAAATCCAATGGGTTCGAATCATTTTCACAGTGCCATAAATTGGGATACCACACATGGGGATGGGTCAAAACCCTGGTGCCTAGTGAACCCCAAAATAGCTGGTAAATGGATGTTCATCCCACTAAAATATGGTATCTATAGGTATTGACCCATACCCACATTCTCACATTGTTTGGGAACCCCTCTGTGCACCACTACCCAGGCCTGAGCTCCGGGTGGCTCAGCGTCTCCAAAGTTTCCAGGCGCAGCACCAGCGCGATGCGATCCTGTTGGGAGCCTGGCCAGGGGAATGCCATGGACCGAGGTGCCCAAGACATGTTGGAAACCAAGACCTTTCAAACTACGACAACTACCCTCTGGTAAACTAACATAGCCATGGAAAGATCCACCCATTTTTAATAGGTAAACCCAGGTAAACCATCTATTTCGATTAGGGCCATCTATACCATGGCGATGTTAGTCATAACCAGAGGGTAATGTGTTTTTTTTCCTCATGTCTAAATATGTGACATACTGATGAGTGTCATGCATTGCCTTTGAAGCAAGTCTGGGAAATATTTTTGAAGTTTTTGAGCCATGGCTTGATGGCGGTTTTTGATGTTTCCGCATGCCAAGCCAAGTCCAGCGCACCCAAGCGTTGCAGTGGCACCTTGGTTCGGCACCCTTTGCCACTCCAGATTTACACCAGCTAAGATTTTAATAGATTTTACATCATTTTACTACATCAATTATTTATAACCACTATAGTCTCTACCTGGTCTGGGGGTCTCAAACCAAACTGCCTATGTCATGAGCAGAAATATCGACTTTTTCATACCAAGGCCATATACCAACCTGAACGGCCGAGGCCAGCCGAGTTGCTCCTTTGGCCTCCCAGGAGCTCACCTGATGGGACAACAGTTGATTCAGGATCTGGGGCAAACGTGCAGTTACACATATTAAGTTGTACGTGTAGAATGCAAATAGAATTGTATAGCTGTAGAGTTGCACATATAAAATACATATAAATAAAACTATTTAAATAAATAAATTAATAGATAAATTACTAAATAAATAAATAAACACACACACATATATATATAGATATAAGCCACATATATTGTACATATCATATTAAATGTACAAAGTCACATAATATGTACAGTAATTAAATATAATTAAACCACATATGAGACTAGAACGAATCTAGAAACTGGCGTTCTATGATTATCAGTGTCATCACTCATTGCATATATCCGTGATATTCCAAATAGACCTGGGTGATATGATATGGAAATGCATGGAAATGCAACTATCAGATATGCCAATATTACCTACCCTTTGTCTTGGAGATCTTTCTGCCGTACAAACTTTTCAAACATACTTTCTGGATCTTTCTGGCTGATTGGCAGCCGAAAATTCGGGGTTTGGGCTGTATAGACCCCAAAGGCATCTGTCAGGATTTTGCGCCCTTTGCCTTACGTCCCCCCAAATTCAGATTGGCAACATTATCTATCTCTATTCCTGCTTCGCACTTGTAATCCTTCCCACACTAAAAAGCCTCCAGAAACGGTTTCGTAGGGGATTTATCACCTCAGCAGGCTGCATTGAAAAACGGCCTGGTTTTGGGACAGCGACTTGGCATTCGTCAATTGCCTCAGTGCCCGCTCCACCCTTCCGGGGTTTCATGGTCGAACTCCCCGTGTTTCACGGGTTTTCATGAGGTAATTAGAGATTAGAGTGAATTGTGATTAATCATCACCTAAAAGAGGACACGACCAAGAACAAACAGGGAAACATCATGATTCCTAGCATGACTCTCTCTCTCTCTCTCTCCCTCCCTCCCTCCCTCCCTCCCCTCCCTCTCTCTAGTGTATATATTTTACTATATATATATATTGACATACACTCATCACTTAATACTCATCCAACAAGGGGGTTCGGCCATGCATGGTGACAGTGATGGCCCCGAGAAGCCATGGGCAACTGCAACTGCAATCCATGGCTTCACTATCTTCGGAGGGAATCCATATTTCTGGCAAGGGCAGAAATAAAAGCACCACATGGATTGACATAATTAGAATATGTTAGAATTAATTATATAGATGTAGTTTTGAGGCCTCAAATGGTGGGACAGGAATAAGCTTCCACAAGTTCCCTTAGTATACAGTGCCATTTGGATAAAGAATGGAACGCCCCGCAGCATGCTGCCAAACATCTGCTTCTAATTTAGCTGAATCATCCCGGACACATGTGTCCATTTGAGAGGGCCGGTTAGAGGTACCTCTTAAGTCTTAAGTCATGCAATAACCGGGAAGTCAAACTGGATCTCATCACAGCAGCATCTCTTTTCTTGGCGGCGCTTTACCGCAGCTCGAGCAACGAGTTTCTAGTAAACCATCTGCGAATGGCTCAGTGAAGAAAATTGGGTACAATCATGTACAATCCATGGCTTGTTGGATAGGAGATGTCGAAGATGTACCATTTTTCATAGCACCCCTGTGATCAACCGAATTTCAACTATCTCATGTCAGCATGGCATTACTTGTTCGCTGATGTTTGTTGACTTTTGGCCCACTCCTTCCGCCGGTCCCGGCAGGGACGCCATTGTGGCGCGCCCATCAGGGTGGGGTCTGCCAATCGTCCTCACAGATTAAAAAAAACTTAGGCAGTGGGAATTACACTAGTAATGTTGAGGGAATCAACATACATTGCTGTAAGCTTCAAAAATGAGGGGTTCAAACAATCAATGCTGGATTCAAGGGAAAATCTACGGGAAACTGCCAGGCTGTTACATGTTTTTACTCCTTAATACAGGGGTTTCCTGCAGATTTTCCCAAAAGCGCATTAGGGCCGTGTAGGAACTGTGTGCCAACCTGTTGACGACTTCGACAGCTTGAAATCTGTGGTTACTCTATCCCCATCGAGTCGGGTACTTGCGCTGTATATGTCTACGTATAATCATGTATATGTGCGTATGTGTATATATGTATCTGTGTACATGTAGGCATGTACACACACACATATTAATTAGCACATGAATAAATAGGTGCATATTCGCATTTATATGCATTTATACCGATATGCAAGTCGTTAAGTATACTTAAAGAAAAGTACGCATCATATCATATCATATCATATCATATCATATTATGGTTTTCTGAGACCCACCAATCACCAGTTCTACCAGTTCGGCAGAGCCAAGGGGCTGTGTTCACACCTTAGGTCGGTCGACCAACACCATTGTCGACTTCCGACTCAAGATCATGCAAGGTGGGATCCCCAAACAGCTAAGTTAGCTTATAACATGGTCAACAATGGTTTATTGAACATAGAAGTACAGCATGATGATGGGATTTATAAACCTACATATGGAGTGGGCCCACCCTGTAAAAATTGTACAAAACCAGTGAAGTAAACCCCCTTTCTGCACCCATTTTATGGTCATTTCAATGGGTCAACTATGGAACATCGATGTTGATCCGTTGGTGTTGCCAAGAGTCTAATGGAACCCGAAGTGTTTAGGGGAAAGTAAGTTGCCTGGAAGCATTGTGAGAACATCCCACACCTCAGCAATTTTATCCTGGTTTCAATTCAGCGTACCAAGCAGGTAACGTACATAAATTTATGATTCATTAAGACATATTGAGCAATCAACAAGCTTGAAACCAACAGCCAGTGGTGCTGTTGAACAGATCCCGAGGTCGAAACGATTCATCAAGTAATCTTGCACCTCAGATCCAGATTCGGAGAGCCCTGAGGTCCAGTGCTAACCGGGGTGCTCCCCAGGTACAAGGGGGGTAAATTGGGTAAAAAATCAGCAGGGGATTTTAGGCCCAATTTAACCCTCTGAAAGTGGCTCTGTGTCGGATGGCCCTTTGTGGAAAGATTACCCCATGCACAACTGGTTGTTGTACTTGAGCCATCACCAACTGGTAGGTCAATCCGGGGTCCTCTTCTTGATTATCTAGATTAAGGATGATTTGCCAACTTTCATCAAGTGATGACCCAAAGGGGCGCAACATGAGTGGTTGGTCGTTTCAGGCTTCTTGAACAATTTTCTATAGTCAGTCGCGGTTGAAATAAAGATAAATAAAGGGCATATTGGAAACCACCAGCTAGATAACTTATCAACCAAAAAACCTAGACCTAGAATGATCTAGAATGATTAGGATGATCCAGAGGGAAACGCACATAACTTAGCAACCATCACCAACCATCAGCAACCGCTTGACCTCAGTTTCTCCTCCGTAGCAAGGAACATCTCGGAGTTTCTCCTCCGAGAGGGGCACGATGGTGCTGCAAGTGGATGCGAAGTTGTCGTTCAAATCTCCGCAGTCCTTGGGTCGTTGGCAGGGATTCCAACAGTTGGCGAAGGTCAAGCTTGGCAAAGCTTAGAAACTCCTACAAAAATTAGTACTTTACATTAGGGAACATCATGTTCTAAAATTCCAAAGCCTGGTTTTTCTTGTATTCCATGCTAGATTTCAGTTGTGCAGAAGCTTCAAAGAGATGATCCTTCCGTGGCGCAACATTGTGCCACCCAAAATTCGTCTGGGCGTCCAGTTCTGTGAATTTTCCCCATTCAGCAACAGATCGGAATGAGAACATGAGTGAAACGCCTGTGGCTCAAAAGTATGCCAACATAATTCCCGAGAAAACATAATGGAATGTCAACAAGGAAAATGTGAACCGCATCCAAAGTTTCCGAGCCATACCCAGCTCTCAGAAATGGAGCCCCCAATTCCTCAAATTGAGCCCATAACTTCAGCTGAAAATGGACTTGTTTTATTCAGGAACTGATCTCCCTGATCTCTTCATCCTAGCTGACATTTCACCCAAGATGCGGCGGCGTAACCTGGCATGTTACCAGCGCCATAGCGGATGTTGTACCTCACACGACGGCGCTGAGTCGGAGGATCCCAAACGGGACGATTCAGTCACAAACGTTGAACAGCGCCGTTTTATTGTAATTGTTCATGGCATGAACATTGAGCATGACTAAATATTATAAATATTAATATGACGATCAATATATGTATATATATGTATATGTGTATAACTATTACACATAGAAATTGAAAACATTGAACATGTTTCATGGCCATACTAATTTTTGCTTGTCGAGGGATGAAATCTGTGGCCGTCACCGTCGCGGCCAGGGGAAGCCACAGGGCTGTACTGCTGGTCCCTTTGGTGGAATTCAAACCACCAGCCAGCAAGTGGAATCGATGGGTGTATATATATATAATTATATACATTCATTATATCATTATATATCATTTATCATACAACATATTTCTCTTCTATCGCTCAGGTTTTCTTCGTTCTTCACTTTCCTCGGGGAGTTGTTGTCCCTGGTCCCCCCTCGTCCAAGGTGCTGAATCCTCGAATCATCGATGCCTCCACGTTTGCTGAAATACCTCTGGCGCCCAACCGGTGACCGGGGACCGGGGAGGACCCCGGGACCACCCTTCCAGTGCTGTTCCGGGGAACCTTTGTCAAAGGATCTTGGCCATCAAACGTGATAAAGCTACTGCGGGTAAAACAATGCCATGTTTACCATCCCCCAGTCATCACTATAGGTGGTATATGGTGGTATAATCCAGTCCCAGATGGGTGGTTTATGAGTTTATGATGGTTTGACCCACAAAAAACTGTACTGGATATATCGCCGAGCAGCTCCTTTGTCAGCAGCTGGTCCCTGAGCGCGGGTTCACCCTGCACCCTCTGGTTGTTTCACTGTTTGCTGTGGAAAATCCACTACTTTTTTATAGGTAAATAGCAAAAAGCATCATAAATCATCTATTTCTATGGGCCACTTTCCACAACTATGTTAAATAACCAGAGGGTATATCTGGGCAAAATGATCACAATTCCATGATCTGGAAGTAAACATCAATAAGCCCACCTTTGGGATGATCCCATATCGACCCTAAAAAAAAGTGGAGTCCTTAGGAGGTCATTAGGAGGTCATTATCCTAGCTGAAGTTTCCCAAACGATCCATTTTTCATCAGCTTCACAGGCTTCACATGGCATGAACTTTTCTGTAGATCTCTCCCTGCCATTCTTCGTGGTGATCTTTTGTTCCGCCAAGGCTCTGATTTCTCTCATTCACAAAGCGCGAGAGCGGATGGCAACCGGCACAGTTGGATTCAAACGCCCGCTTGCCTCAGCTGCGGAAGGTCTGAAAAGGTGATTTTCCTCTTGGCTATGGCATCATCTTCATACCAAACATCTCCAGGATCCCCCCGAAAATTGGGTGGTGTTCCCCATCTAAGACAAACCAATGTGTGTGTGCAATTGGATTATTACAAACAGATTTTTCGTGGTCTATCATGACTTTCCCTGTCAACATGGCAATGGGACACGTTCAAAATCGTTCAAACAAGCCAAACTCTCCAGCCTTGCTTGTACCACTTCTCATCCTTCAGGATATCCCGGGCTGCTGTTCTTCTCCTGGATGCTAGGGATTCGTTCCGAAGTTCCGAAGTTCGGTTTCCACAGTTTTCCACAGCTTCAAGTTTCCCTAGTTCCTTTTCAAAGAGCCCCATCAAATGCCACTTACAGTACTTCGGGGTGCAAAAATTCAGGTTGGAGATATTTCACCATAGTACACCCCAACTGAGGTGAAATCAACATGGTTGTATCATAGTTATATAGATCCCCATTAAGCAAATCTCCATAAATTATATTTCCATATATGTCCATAATTTTCCATAATTTTCCATATATTTCCATAATTTTCCATATATTTCCATAATTTTCCATATATTTCCATAATTTTCCAAAATTTTTCCATAATTTTCCAAAATTTTTCCATAATTTCCATGTATTTTCCATATATTTCTATGATTTTCCATGTATCCCCACGAGAAAAACCCATGATTTCACAATGCTTTGCTTACCCCTTGAAGAACGGAACTCACCGTACTGCAGATCGGTCCTCTGCATCTCATCCTGTGGCAGTGGAGGCAGACGCAAATCGCTGGCCACCTTGAGAGCCACTGCAATCTGAGGTCTGGGGAGGACACGGTAGGTATGAATGAATTAATTAAATGTATGATGGTGATACATATATATATATATATATATGTATATATATATATGTAAACATATGACTTAATATTATGTAATATTATGTAATATTCTATATGATATATTATATATATATGATTAAATAGATGTGTATGTCATATGTGGCATTTTGTAATTGTACATACATGATATGTTGAACAAAACAGGAGGATAAAAGAAACAAGGGGATGCTATACCTCTGCTGGCTGTTGGCTTTCAACCAAAAATGCTACAGTGTTACAGTGGAAACACGGTTTTCATCTCATGCGCACGTGTAGGCACTGTCCTGAGTCTTTCCTAAGTATAATTCACTTCTCAGACTCACTTCAGTCGGTTGGTATGTTTATCTTCCTTCTTTACTATCTACATATGGTCAGCTGTTACTCAGAAAGTGGTTGTAACACCTGCACTTGCGGTGATGTCCCTCTGTACTGTTTTTTTCCGGTCACAATCGCGTGCCAAAACGAGGTGTTTTCCGTTTTGTTACCCCAACTACCCTCTGGCATCTCTGGAAATCAAGCGTGGCAAAGGGAAACCCATCAATGTGTAGAAGTTCGTTTTTCTAAGGTATATCAACATACATCAATCAAAACCACTCAAAAACTATACTTCTATCACTAAATCATTCCTTCCTATACTACTATGCATGCCAGTAATCCACCCCGGAGTTTTGTTCACCTTGGTTGATTTTTTTGGGTTTCCCCACAAATAGTGAGTTCACCTGCTACTAAAATGGTATCCAGCAACTGATCAGCCCACAAGATCTGTCGGGAGGCTGGATTGCCATCGGGGTATTCTGTTGAGGGCACTAAGGCTGCTCTGGCGGGCATGGCCAAACTGCCAAGAACCACTAGCAGCAACGTTGCCTCTGACGGACACAGCATGGCATGTGCATTGCCAAAGCGCCCACGACAACGATTCTTCTTAAGCAACCCATTGTGCATTAGTATCTTATCCCGCGACAGCTGGGATAGTCATCCAAGATCTATCATTATAGTAATTAGTAATTAGTTAATGATATCCCATCCTTGATGGCTATATCATCATTTCACTCCATATGCCCCCCAAAAAAATCAAAAAACATCAAAAAACTATGGTTGGTTATAAGTTATAAAATCCCAAATCCCATTCATCACCAACTTCACTTCGGCACTGTCGCGCCTGGCACAACAAGGCCGGCCGTGGCCACGTCTCCGCCGCCGACGCATCGAATCCTGCGAGAACTTCGTCGCTGCGGCGCTGCGAGCGCAACGACCTGGAGATCGAGCGATTTCTGTGACGTTTATGGGATGCAAATAGCAGCAATGAAACAATATCTCTACTCATGTAATATATATATATATGTATATATATAATTATATATATATATATGTATGCAACTATGTATCATTTACATCAAATATTGCTTGAATCCAGTTCCCAAATGAATCAGGTCGATTCTGAATTTCCTCTGCAACACAGGTCCAACAGCGCCCTGCAAACTGGATTCTTCCAGGTGTGTGACCATCCCACTTAGCGACTGTTGAGGCATTTGGGCCCCAGATTCCTGGGGTTATCCAGAGTTATCATGACAACTCTACTGGTTACTGGTGCTACTGGCAGCTACTGTAAGTACATCGTTTTGTCTCAAAATATCTCAAAATAGTATACCCCTAGATTTATTGGATTGTCATCATTTTCCCTATTAACATCGCCATTTCAATCCATTTTGGGGTCCCATTTTTTTCAACCAGATGGTCACTGGCTGAATTTCACCGATTTCACTGAGGATCCCAACAAAAAAGGCGGCGCCAAGTTCGGAAGCACCCAAGCGACCTGTGGCAGACATCACTCAATGGATTGGTTTAAGGGAACATTTACAGGAAAACCCCATATTTCATGGGAAAATGGATGGTTTCCGGTTAAGATTTTCCCAAGAAAACCAATCCATTGAATCACTGGATTTCCGGTCCTCCAAGTTTTTTTTCCAAATTCACTCGGTTCACCAGAGCGGAAACCATCAGAAACACCATGCTATGATGGTCTTCTCTTGGCAATGGAGGCTGCAACTTGATGCCGGGATACGAGCCCTAGCCCTCTGAAAAATGATGGTTGTTCGTCAGTTGGGATGATGAAATTCCTAATATATGGAAACATAAAAAATGTTCCAAAGCACCAATCAGTACCTCTTATCATCCTTCACTCATTAGCTGTGAATGGGAGTTAATAACTATCCCGTTTCCTTCATCTACCGACCAGTAGGAACAGGGCATTCATTCTTTTCACCCCAGAATTTTAGGGGAAAACCAATAGAAAACCTCCACGCTTTCCTGACCTTTCCTGTAGATTTTGCCTTATAGTCATCCACAGAAGTCACAAAGTAAACAAAGTCATATTCCAATATTGTAGCATAGGAATGCATAGGAATGCATAGGGATGCATACTAGATCTTACTTCTCTGTCGTTTTGGGGCTTGCAATTTGCACCCACATCTCCCATCCGACCATTCGATACCTGACTGCACAAAGCCAACGTCAGCAATGCAGCGGGTGCAGGCCGCAGCCAGCGCCGGCCCTTGGAATGGAATAATGTGGGTAAAACAATGTGATTTTTACCAGCCATAAGTGGGAATGGTAAACATACCGCCTATAAAAATGGTGATGACTCGGGGATGGTTTATTACTGATTTACCCACATTATATTTAGTGGGATGCTGAATGGGATATATAATGCATGTTTCTTAGAGTATCTTAGAGTTTGTCATGTTCATTGACCTCGAGATGCTTGCCTGCAAGGTGTATACAAGTGAGGGCAACACATAATGGAATATTTAATGGGATATCACAGGATGTTTTCTTGAATAACTATTGGGATTTTAATTGGATATGATAGTGAATTACATATGATATACCATCTGGTTATTTAACATAGCCATGGAAAATCACCATTTTCAATGGGTAAACCATCTATAAATGGGCCATCTATACCATGGCTATGTTAAATAACCAGAGGGTATATATGTAATGGGATGAATTAACACCAACAGATTCAGTACCCCAAACAATCACCTGGTTGGTGATTTCACTGAACAAAAAATGCGCAGGTGGGATCATACCCCAAAAGGATTGAACATTTATTAAACATGTTTGAAACTACCAGCCAGTTGTGTGTGTATATATATATACGTACTAAACTATAATTACATACATATGTCATATATATATATGTATACATACATACATTACATTACATTAACATTAACATTTACATTAACATTTACATTGCATTACGTTACATTACATATCATGTACGCACACACACACATATATATATATATATACACGCCAGTATATTATATGGCGTTTGCTATAACTATCTATTCAGTTCTCCATTCATCCATTTATCTATTAATATTATTAATTCAGACATTGTTCTCTCTAGTGTTATTTTTTATCTTACTGAAATGCATGTTGCAGCAATAAAATGGCAAACATGTCATGTCACCACCAAGAAGGATCAAACTCCTGGGCTCCACAGCTGGGAAACCTCCATCGTGTGTCTCGAATTCTGGATTCACCGTGCTATGGCCTGTATATGATATGATCCCCAGGCTGGTCCTATCAACCTATATCAACCTATTTCTAAGGCGTGCCTTGCTAAGATTTCAAGATGGAAATGTGCTAAAACATGGACCAGATCATAGCCAGCAACAAGTTTTGGGGAATGCCTGTTCGCGTGGTGATGTCATGTCAGTGGGGTTTCACCAACCCCAAAAAACAACACATTGCCTGAGATCAAACATCATCAAACCCCAGGCCTGCGGCATAATCCTCGCGCCTGACATTCGTGAGCTCCGAGAGTTCAAAGCTTCAACCAGCGATATTTTCATGAACATTTGGGTGTTTCCTAAAATAAGCCTTTCCCCAATCCAAAATGAAACCATTTTCGTATTGAAACCCCCAAGGTTTTGGGCGATTCCTCTTGAGAGGCGATAGGTCCCCACCTGGCTGAGCCATCAGGCAAGGCGCGGGCCAAAGCTGCGAACATGACGGCACCAAGCATGTTGCCCTTTTTGGGGCACACCATGTTGGTTATATATACTTGGAGGTTTCATGTTAGTAGGATTTTCATGGATTTTCCATTATAAACCAACCATTTTGGGATACCAACATTTATGGAACCCCCCATTTAAGTACTACATGTGTCACGTTTTGTTTCTATTCTCATATCATTGTGGTATGGATCAAAACTCCCCATGGCAACCTGGTTTTCACCCCAAAATCGCTGGTAAAATCTGCTCAACAATGGTTCATTTTCACCTTTATCTGCGGAAACCACAAGTTTAGATAAGTTTAGACTCTTTTCGAATTTATTTGATCCATTCCCAACTTTTCATCAACAATATCAACAGTTGATGGACCTCAGAGTTAGGCTCCGGGCGCCAACAGCTCCGATTCTGATGTGCCTTGGCGAAAACCGCTAGGAAAATGAACTTCCCATTCAGACCATCTACGGTATCATGGCGAAACACCAGGGGGTCTGGGGCAGGTCGGAGGTCATCTGCCATCATCTTCGCCAATCAAATTGGGGAAGGGCACAGTATGGTACAGTACCCGAAACATGCGAGGAGTCGCACTACAAATGATCAGACTTAACACCTACATGGGTCCAAAGGCCTTTGTTCAAGGTTTCAGTCAAACTGTTTGACTTTAAACTCATGAAACCAAGCCAGACTATCATAACCCCACCCTTGTGGGGGCCCCGGCCGATGGGAAGACCCAAGTCGCGACATTCTTCTTGAAGCAGTGCCACCTAGGTGACTTCTCCATCACCAGACTTGGAATACTTAGAGGACCCATGGTGATTTGGCACCTTGATGGACACCTCTTTTGCTGGCCCAGGGAGTCACTCAATGTCTTAAGGAGTCTTGATCATCCAGGTCGCAATATGAACATGGGGTATGCCCCCATTTCAATGCCGCTTTTATCAGAAAAATATGGGACAAACCAGTGGATCGAATATGGTCCGCTATCTTCAAACAATGTTGAAACAAATCCATCTGGGTCCCAGGCAGGCATCTCCTTCCAAAGGGCTGTTGCCTGCGTGTGGCTTTTGCCGCGATTTTATGACTAATATTCGGCCGGTTGGGGAACTAGAATAAGAGGGGGGAAACTGCCACACAACACTTGTTCTGCAGAACATGGTGCCAGAAATTGAGCATTCCACTTCACAAAGGAACAACCACCAGCAAGCTTCAGCATGTAGCACCCAGTTTCCCTCTTGACCAAAGCTAAATCAATGGTGGATACAGTAGTCGATAATGATTCACTATGATTCACCTAGCTGATTTCAGTCACCGTTTTGGGTCAACCCTCAGCATCATTCCGGTCGCATTCCGGTCGTGAGGTCGTGCCTTCAACTTTTCCCTCATGTCAGACACCTGGCGGCCAGTAACTACGCTTAGCCCGGTGGGATCACAAGTCACATTGATTAATTAACATCAACCATGGCTAACCCGTTGTTGGCTGCAGCTCATGTGGCAAATGAGGCTCCACAGCCTTTAATCCAACCCCCTCTCATACTAAAATATACTAAACAGCCCCCAGAAACTCCTTTTTTTAGTGTAGGGGATCAACATGTTCATGTACATTTGGAACCATACAATGAAGGTGCTTACTTCATATTGGGGGATGGAATTATTCCCATGAAACCACCATTGTTAATGGTTAAATTTTCCCCAACATATATCAACATATAACATGTTGTTGGTCAAAGAAGTCCCAATCAATATCCCCATGAATTCCAATTAAATCCCACCCATTACATATATACCCTCTGGTTATGACTAACAGTTCGCCATGGTTTTTCGAAATAGATGGTTTACCGAACTTAAAAATGGTGGATCTTTCCATGGCGAACTGTTAGTCATAACCAGATGGTATATCATATGTAATTCACTATCATATCCAATTAAAATCCCAATAGTTATTCAAGAAAACATCCTGTGATATCCCATTAAATATTCCATTATTTGAACCATCCAACTAGCTATGCCATAAACCAACTTTTGAACCAAGCGGGCCTGGATCTCGTCGGTAAAACCTTGTGCCTCGCTGGACGTTGTGTCTGATGGGGATGTCCCAATGGCCATTTTAATGGGTAGAATGGTAAAACGATGATAAACCATGGATTTACACGTATTTTAGAGTTTTTTTGGGGATAATTACATATATATATATATATATACAATTACCATATTCGAACAAAGCCACATGAGGACTGTAGTTGAACATGGGGACTTTAGATGATCCAAGACACTTCACATCAAATATCATGCGTACACACACGCGCACACACACACATATATATAATAAATGATATACACATAGTTTTTATTGTATATTACGGCCAAGTGAGCCAAAGATATTCCAGCCAGAGATGGAGCTGCATGACCAATAGTGTTGGCAAACCACATCCGCCTGCCATGTATCCAGCAGCTGCCGTCCATCCATCAGCTCCAATTGCTGCCAACGTAACTTCACTCGGATGGCTGCCTGCGGTGCCATTTGGGGATTCGCAGTTTTCGATGAGCATCTCTTCATCTTCGATTCATAGGATACTGTAGATCAAAACAAACAATGGAACATCAACCACCGCCAGGGTCTGTAAAACTGCCAGCAAAACTGCCCACTTGTGATTTGGCATGGGTCACTGGTTCTGAGAAATCGTTGACCTGCAGGAAACATTTGATGCCACGATGAACTTGGGTGGGATCATCATGCCAAGGGTGATCAGCTCTTCAGCTACCAGGTCAGGGGAGGAAAAAAAAGGGTAGTTTCCACTGATACCTTGTGCCTTCCTGAAATTTTTCCATAGCCCCAAGTACACCACTAGAAACAAATATGTATGGGGGTTTAATGGGATCTAATGGGGTTTAATAGGATTTACCCTCTGGTAATTTAACATAACTATGGAAAATCACCATTTTTAATGGGAAAATACGTAATGTGTTATATGCTGATATATGCTGCTGTTGGATCCACACGACCCAACAACTGGACCAGTCCACCAAGAAGATTCCACCATTTTGCTCCTACCATTCTTGTGTTTTATGTTGACTTCTGGATGTTCGCTTCTCGCTTCCCGCATGCAGGTACCCAGAAAAGGGACATAGATAGATAGACAGATATCAATGAATGAATATGATATATATGTGTTAATATATTATACACTTGTATTGTTTTCCACCAACTGGCTTCTCACACTGGTCGCATGGCATGTGTTTCAAGCTGACCCTGCTACACCCTCGACTCATTTTGCACGGCGTCACTCAGGCTCTTCTGCAACACTCTGGGACGAGCATTCGATGCACACACGGCTTGCGCGAGAGGCATCCAGCCTGATGGGCGCTGGGGAGGAAATTTGTTTCTTACATTGGCAGCCAAAACTGTCTCATGTATAAAGGCAAATGTAAGGAGCTTTTCCGTTAACGATCTGTTAGGGAAGAGGAGTTGGCAAGTTTTTGCCACATTTTCATCTGGGTCCCTGAAAAACGTAGAATTGTTGTAATGGCCTCTAAGCGAAGCACCTGATAGCCTAAGCAAAAAAACTTAACCACCAACTGTAGGTCACTACAAATAGATATCCTGAGCAATCAATTAAACATGCAATAATGAGTTAGAACGACATGTATAGATCTCATCTATACTGTCAACCCCGGAATTTTATTCAACGGTTGATTTATCCTCTCCAAACAGTGTTTTCATCTGCTACTAAAATGGTCTCCGCCAAGTGATCCAAGCGTCTCTGGCAAGATTCGCCAGCAGGCAACAGGGCTGCAGGTGTCACAAATGCAACGGCCACAATACCGACCTTACGTCGGCTTTGCAAGGATTATATTTTTCTGTTCCCAAACTGAATTTAGATTCTTCAATTTTTAGATGATGAAAATCCATGAAATCTATGTATTTCCATCAAGGGGGGAATCATTTGGAATAGGCTGCTGATAAAAACGGCAGCGCCCCAATACTGCAAGACAAGCATCAATGATGGCGCCGCCGAAACAGCGAGAAGGGCACATCGCAAATCTCGCAATCGACCTGGGCATGGGCGTCTGAGGCGAGAGGAACGGCACAGTTTGGTCATTTTAGGCGCCTGGTTTGATTTTTTGATTTTGTGACGTCTATAAATGGATATAAATGGGGGTACCCCAAAAATCCCCAAAATGCATGGTTTATAATGAGTATAATGGAACATCCTATCAAAATGGATGACTTAGGGGTACCCCCTAAGTTAAGGAAACCTCTATGTGAAGTTGGCAGCGTCGGGCCATGTTAGTTACAGTAGGCCGCATCTGAGTGCTCGGGCCGCATCTTTGTCCGGCGTCCAATTCCAGTTATGTGGCTGAGCCCTGGCACGCCTGCGGAGCCGTGGAAGCGGGGGAGTGCCAGTCGATGCCAGACCTCCTTCTGATTTTTACATTGCAATAGGGTGTAGCAGGACGACGACGATGACGACGATGATGACGATGATGATGATGATGACGATGATGATGACGATGATGATGATGATGATGACGACGACGAGGACGATTTTTTTTGCTGTCTTCATTCTTCTGCTTATTCTTCTTATAATTACTAATATGTATTAATATTTTATTAACATAAATATTCTTATTATTAATTATATCTATTATTGTTATTATTTAGATTGCACTGGGTGATGCAGAGTGTGATACTTTTGCGCTCTCTCTTCAGACTTGATGGCTACAGGATGTCCCTGAACTCCGAGGTTCAATGGTGGAGAAACCCGATGGTTGTCACAATCAACCTCCGTGGCTCATGAATTTGAGCCAATGTGGAAAACCCAATGCCACACACCACCCATATCTCGATGGTTTATACAAGTCATTTATGGTGATGACTGATGGTGATGACTGGATAGACTCTGGGGATGTTTTATGATTTTTATGGCATTGGGTTTGCCACATTAGACTCTTGAACACCAAGAGAAAGGCTGGCAGGGGAATCCCCGATTTTCGCGCTCCTTGCCCACCAAGCGCTTCGAGTGGCCTTAGAAAAAATGCCCATCGGTTGGTGGTGGGATCTAATCGGCTGGAGAATATACATTCTATTCGCCGTTGAATTTTCCACTATCTCTTGGGTGGCCTGAAGGCCCATATAGGTCATATAGAATGAATATTTGGGGTCATTTTGTAGGGAATCGCTTTCCTGAAGCCTGCCATTTTGTAGCATCATTGGTTTCTATAATCTTAATGGGACCATCATCTTTAAAGGGGGGCATTTATAAAAGCTATGTTTGATTACCTGAGGGTCATGGATTTGGGGATATAATGGATATAGTTATAATTATAATATGTTATAATGGATGCAATGGACACACACACATACATAGATAGATAGATAGATAGATAGATAGATAGATAGATAATTCACAAAATGGCTATAATAGAAATATGATAAATCGAAATTGGCGATAGCCTGAAATTGTGGGGACGTATGATGTGGGGACGTATCACCAACAAAAGTGCTACAACTTTGTGAGCACAATGTTGTAGCAACCAAAGAGGAAATGGCAGCCCAAAAGGAACTACGTAATTTGCAGTAGTCTATGCTCTCAATGGATTCAGGATTTCAGGTTTAAATTCCCCATTTGATGATCGTGCATGAACCTCAGCAAAGCTGTCAGCAGGAAACCCAGGGCTTAATGGACCTCCTCAAGTTTATTAAAAGGGGGAGGTACCAAGTTTAAGAGTCATGTAGCACCAATGTAAGAGGTAGCCCTTGAGATTCTATTAATCCAAGATTGACATTAGATATGCGTTACCCTCTGGCTATTTTAACATAGCTATGGCAGCCATGGCCCACAGAAATAGATGATTTATGATTATCTACACATCAAAAAATATGATTTATTCAACATTTGTAGATTATGGTCCCAGCTAGAAACATCCATTTACATAAAAAATGATAAAACATGGTGATCTTTTCATTTATAGATGATTTTCCCAGTGGTGATTTACCCACCATTTATAGTTTCTTGTCCCAGCTAGAAACATTTAAGTATAGTAGTTTTATAGTGTATTTCCCAGCTAATTCTGCCTTCCCTGATCACCTTCAGTCAGTGATCTTCAGCTCTACAACCAAGCTACTGGAGAAGCTGCTTCTTCCACCGAAACTGCCTCGAAAAGTCGCAAAAAACAACGCGGGGTCCCAGCCACGAGGAATGGATGTGGCCTGGGAAAAAATCTGGAAATAATGGGGCAAGCAACTAAACTTGAGACACTTTGAATGGTTTTTCATGGTAGAATTGATAAGCCAGTGGTAGAACTTGATGTTTGACACTGTACTTTGCACCCCTTAAAAAAATCAATATGGAACCACCAGAAAAGCTGGCATTTGCAATGGAACGATCAGCTCCTATTGGGGTTCGGGGTTCAAGGTTCATTTTGGGGAGGGGAGGGTGTAGCCTAGGATCCATACCTGTCACATCTGCACGTGCAGGAGCATTGGCATTGATATGCGTGTTGGGAAAACACATGCAATGGATGTATGGCATGACCGAAAATGTATCTAATCTATTCATTCAGATGCCCATCTACCCAGCTATCTGTCCAAATCCAGATCCAGCTCAGTAAATATCATGCACAGCAAGATTATTTAGCAGCATGCCGGCAGATCTATGCACATTTCACATAGATTTTCGCACATGACAGGTCTCCATCGTGCGAAAAAGATTTAGCCAGGGCACCAAGTCGTCTTCATCCACTTCATCTGAGGCGGACGTTTCTGTAGGTGGAGCCACGCGCAGGAGAAGGTCCATCCAAACCTGAGATGACCATCCCCTGCACAACCTGAGGTGAGCTGGTTAAGAACGGATTTCCCACTAATTGATTGTGAAAATCCACAAACTCCCAATATGTTGGACAGTGTAACCCCACATCATAATCAACCAACAGGGGTTTTGAACACTGCTCATGCCAACACTGGCTGTTTAATTCCATTACAGGTTGGTTGATAGGCTATACCGATAAGATTCACATGTTCCATTACTGGGTTGGAACGAAAGGGTTTCCGATCATGAAAATGCACAGAGTATAGCCCTCTACAGTCATCACCCATTCAACAGGGGTTTTGGGATGTTTTGGGCACTGCTGAGATGTTCGAAGATCTTTTGCTGCCGGGGGACAGGCTTGTGATCACCTTGGTGGACATGATTCAAGCTGCCAGGGCCCTTCCGCGTAACTAACAGGAGAGAAGATTAACCCATCGCATACATCGCATACATCGCAACAAGTCTCTCCAAGTTTGAACCTTGTGCTAGAAAAACGTCAAGCAATTCTACACGTTTTGTGGGTCTGTCTGAAAGTGTGGGACACCTCCATTATCCATCCTTTATGGCCATTTTTAATGGGGAAAATATACATGAACATAGTGATTAAGCATCAAATAATTTTCTGCTTGGTCGGTTTCACAGTTTCAACCTGTAAAAAAAAAATTGGATCATCCCAATTAGCGTAGAAAATAACACATGTTTGACACCACCAAGCAGTTCTCAATAGTGACTCATGTGGTGTGCACCCAACGCCATTTGCACGCGAAAAAAATCACAAATTGGATCCATTTGGTGCTTTAAAGTTTAAATCATCCTCAAATTTGCTAATGTTGGTAAAACAATAGGAAACCATCCCCGATTTCACAATGAATAGGTGCTACAAACCATACCCAGTCATGAGTGGTTTATCATTGTTTTAACCACATTAACTATATACTAGTATATACATTAACCATATATATAGATTATTACTATCGACCATATATTAACCATGTATTAACCATATATTAGCCAACATTAAGCCCATTAAAATCCCAGTAAAATCCCATTAAAATCCCATTTAAATCCCATTAAAATCCCTAATATTAGATGGTTGTTATACCACATCCCCAACGTTCCCAACCATGGCACTTCCCTGCTGCTCGTAGTTCACCTTGTAGCCACCATCTGTTTCCCAGGAAAGACGCGCTCCCAAGACATCGGGGGCCCAGAAGATCATGCGGTCAGCACCTGGGTCCGAAGGAAACCCATGAAAATCCATGTTCAATCCATGAGAATCAATGTGAAACCCATGAGAATCCATGAAAGCCTAATGAGATCCCATGAAATTCCATGTTTTTTGATTCAAGATGGAACCATGATGCAAACTTGCAAGATGGAAATCTTTTTCGCGCAACAAAACAAGATACAGTCAACGCATCCAATGGCTCACCAAAAACCGTCACAAAGAGTTTGGTGCACACAGCCGTGATCCACTACCTTTATCTACCTCCCCTAGGCCCTATTTGCATCTATCTGGTGGGTCTCTGAGCATCCCGGACATGCAGGAAAGCGAAAAGGTCTGAAGGAAGACTTTCGAAATGCCAGGCCCCAGCCTAGGCCAGCTGGGTTTGTCGGATGGGAGATTTTCTTGCACCCAAAACAACAAGTCAAATGAGGAATGGAACTTTGAAGCATCGTATTTTTCATTTCACTTGGGATCCTCAAGAAGGCCCCTTGCCACTGTCGCTGGAAGCCAGCCACAGGCTTCAGCTTATTGTTGGGATGAACCCCACCGGACCATTCATTTTACTTGGTGCAACTGAGTCAGCATAAAAGAGGCCCAACTGTTTTGTCCTATTTGGAGCGACATGTCCGAATCAAAATCATCAAACATCCCCACAGTCATCCAACCAGTATATGATCTCCACCAAATATCCATAAGTATCCATTTGGATCGTGCTTGGCTTCCCCTAAATTATCGAGTCCACTCACCAACTCCTGTCATATTCCCTTCGGGAGATGACAAGCCCAAGCTTCGGCCGCAGGCATCTTGAGCATCCACCAGCATTTCGCGATACTTCCTGGGCGCCAGCGTTCCGTTTCGCGACTGCGGTTGAAACCATGACAATTGAATTTATATACTGTGAAGTAAGCTTCAAAGAACATGCAAAAATCACAAGGCCAAAGGATATCCACACACACACACATATATATAGATGCATATATATATAGATGCATATATATAATACATATATATATATATATGCACATATTTATATACACATATATATATATACATATATTTATTTATTCTATATATATATATATTATAAATACATAATTCAGTTACATGTTAATAATTCTACACATGTATATGCATATGTGGGGCCTGTAGGTCTATTCCATAGGACCGAGGCTCCGCGGAGAATGCGTTTCACTGCCCACCGAATTGGGGAAAAGCCTGGTGTTGGGAGCTGCAAATTTGGCGGAAAAAAATGGGAAACTCCAACTCTTCACTGGTTCAATGAAGCATTTTGCATGTTGAAATGGATGTAAATTGGGGGTATATTCAATGTAATTTCCATTAATTTCCCTATTTTCAGACAATTCCAAAGATCAAACAGGGATGACCCTCGCAAAATGATGCAACCCTCAGTGGAGCAACGCTCCGACCCAAGCCGAATCGGTCCATGTGAAATATCCAAAACCTGAGATTTGAATGTTTAAACATTAAGGTTTCTATTCTATTTCAATATTGGGATAGACTATAAAGGACCATACAGAACAAGGTCCACACCAAAACTTCAGGATTCTCCAGGTATTTAATGGTATTTACCATAAAGGTTTCTAAGATATTCCCAATATGGGTCAAGGCCATGAAATTGGAAGCTTCAAATCGATGGCCTGGCTTTGCCAGCTTCCTCCATTACATCACCAATCCTCTCGGCAGAGCCAGGGATTGCAGAGTCATGACATGAAAATAGGGTACCTCGTGGTACCTCGTGGTACCTCATGGTACCTCTTAAGATCCCATGGTTGATCCTCATATTCCGAAAACTGGGCAAACATCTGCATAAATTGAGATGTATTCCCCATGGATTTTCAGAGACAGCCACATATCATATTGTTACGATCTCATTAACATTATATAACCATATTTGCTGGTTGAATCCTGGTTTTGCCTGGTTAAAACCCATGAAGTTCATCAGCTAAAAGTGATAGACAGCGCACCACACAGCTCGCCATGAAATGTAGGACCTCAATGGCGAAGTTTGGGAGTTCGTCTTGAACCTTGGGCAACAAGCGCTGGAACAAACGAGGGCCTTTGTGGCATAGTTTACGTGGTGCTTCACCCGAGTTAGTAACTGGGCTACAACCCCATCTATAAGTATGGCAAATTGATAAATTGGACTGATTAATACGAATTATATAGTCCATGAAAGTCCACTTATACCCGGGGCTAAGATTTACTGAGTGAGGTGGACCACCAAGTATCTGATCTGTGGTTTCAACTCAGAAAATTGCCATTTCAGATCATCCCAAAAAATGCTTAAAGATTGTGAAAGCATGTCGAAACAGAACAATTCTTAAAAACCCCAAAACCACCAAACTCAATCTCAAAGGTTTTGACCTGGCATCTGGCAGCTTACTACACTTATTTTCTGCAAACATATCCCTGTGATTCCCTGTGCACAGTCTGGACGGAAAGCAGGTGATTGAAAGGTTGGATTCTCTTCAAAAGTGTCAAGCAACCAACGTCCAGCATAGCTCTGAGTGGATGATGCCATCATGCCACCCATTCGTTTCAGCTGTGCTGGCTACACCCCTTTAAGAACCAAACGAACTCCGGGGAACATTCTTCCAGTGTGCAATCTCCCAGTATTTTCGGAGGCAGACGGTGCTTCCTTCAAAGGTTTGCTTGGCTCTACTCGCTGGTTCATCCCAGTTCGCAAGCAAACCATATACCTGCCTTTGTGTGGTAACGACGATGACCCCTCTTACCATGAAACTATAGCACCGAGCAGGACTATGGTATACTATGGTTAGACTCACTAACATGGTAAACGTTACCTCCAATGACTCCAATTCATTATTCTGCTTTGTAGAAGTGCCCGAGAATAGTCCTTTCCTAGGTTCGGGCTCAACGGGCCCGACGGGCCCAACGGGCCCAACGGGCCCGACGGGCCCAACGGGCTCCAACGGGCCCCAACGGGCCTGCTTCACGGGCTCAACGGGCCCGACGGGCCCAACGGGCCCAACGGGCTCGACGGGCTCGACGGGCTCGAGAGGCCGTGGCGCTGACTGAACCCATCATCCCTTCTGGTGCTGGCGTTACACTTTACATTCAATTGGGAAGATCAACAACGGTACTGGGAATATAGATTCCCACCCCCGGCTAACTTAATATTCAATGCGGAAAATCAACAAAGGTATTAGGAATTTAGAATCACATCTCTGTTCAACTTTACATTCAAGCAGGCAAATCAACAACATCAATTATTTGGCATATAAGTTCCCCGCCTGTGAATTTTACATTCAATTGGGAAGATCACTGATAGGTATTTGGAATAAAAGCTCCCTTAGAAACACAATTGCCCACCCTGCTTGAACTTTTAGATTCAAGTGGGAAGATCACCACAGGTATTAGGAATATAAAAAATCCCACTCTCGTTTGCTTTTGCTTTCGACTGGAAAGATCAACAAGGGATGATGATGATGATGATGGTGATGATGATGATGGTGATGATGACGCTTCGTTGCCCATCGTCGTTGCCCTGCCAGGCTAAACCCAGGCATTAGCCGTATTTCAACATATGTATATATACATAAATGTATGCATCTTGTATTTTTCTCATACGTATACACACACAAACATTTATTTATTGAGTGATTGTTCTTTATGTTTATCTTATACCTGATTACATCTGGTTGTATTAGGAATTTAGAATCACATCTCTGTTCAACTTTACATTCAAGCAGGCAAATCAACAAGGGTAATTATTTGGCATATAGGTTTCCCGACTGTGAATTTTACATTCAATTGGGAAGATCACCGATAGGTATTTGGAATAAAAGCTCCCTTAGAAACATAATTGCCCACCCTGCTTGAACTTTTTAGATTCAAGTGGGAAGATCACCACAGGTATTAGGAATATAAAAAATCCCACTCTCGTTTGCTTTTGCTTTCGACTGGAAAGATCAACAAGGGATGATGATGATGATGATGATGACGACGACGACGCTTCGTTGCCCATCGTCGTTGCCCTGCCAGGCTAAACCCAGGCATTAGCCGTATTTCAACATATGTATATATACATACATGTATGCATCTTGTATCTTTCTAATACGTATACACACATAAACATTTATTTATTGAGTGATTGTTCTTTATATATATCTTATACCTAATTACGCTGCACGGCTCTACCTTTTCAAACAAAAAATAGAGACAATCATCCCCGGCAAAAAGGCCCTAACAGCGTTGAGGAAAACATCTTTGAACAAAAACTCCAGGACCTCAAGCCAGGACCTCAATGAGAATTTCACACAGTCGTCAAAGAAGGACCTGATAGAGGGGATCTGACAAGATCTTTGTACAAGAACCTCTTGAAGGCTTCCCTTGCAAACTTTCATACAAGCACCTTCTAGAATCTTCGCGCAAATATCTTTTAGAGGATTCCAGCAGGATGTACGCAAGATCTCCTCACAAACACCTCTACAACAAAGGATTTCACTAGGATATCCACAAGATCTCCTCGCAAGGACTTCTACAAAATCAGGAATCTGCGAGGATCTCGACAGGATCCCTACAAGATCCCCTTCCAAGAACCTCATACAGCAGGACTGCCCGACTGCCCCAAATTCTCGTCGGGCCTAACGGGCCCAACGGGCCCAACCCAGCAGAAGACCATGGCCGAGTGCCATGAAGTGCCATCCATTCCTGTTGAACGTTGGGGGTGATCATTCCACCAACCAAGGGCGAGTCCCCGGTGCGTTCAGGCCGCTTGTAGGTCACAGGAAGTTGCAGCGCACCTCTCTCGGCATCCGGGAAGGCAGCCTAGACAAAACCACAGGTTTTGAACATGTGGAAAGTCCCGCCAAGTCTTCCTGTATATTTATTATGATGTCATTGTTCCCATCTTTCTCTAATATTAAAAGTTTGTCTGGCGATGCTTGGATAGATTGTACTTGCTACTGATTGCGCGTTCACAGTCTGGACACTTGAAAGACGTTCAGAGTTTTTCTGGACAATGTTACTAAAAGTTTATGGGCCAATGGTTCGCCATTTCCTGCAAGCCACTCAATGTCAATGAAGCTCGCATCCACCAGATTCAGTTGAGCATGGCGCTTCCAGGGAAACTTGTGTAATTACATATGCCTTTGTTCTGATTATATATACATGTAACAGTATATATATATCATTATTGTTATTATTATCATTATTACTATTATTTTGATTTTTATTCATGTATTTATTATTATTATTAATTATTATTATTATTACTACTATTATTATTATTATATATGATATACAGTATATGACAGTATATGTTATGTCCACCCGCAGAACGGGCGTCCACACTTTCTCACAGAATCGACAGAATCATCGTTTCAAGGTCATCAACGCACTACATCCCTGGGCGGCAAAGACTCCGGAGTCCCCAAGCTAACCATCGAACTGCGTCCAGGCACCATTTCCAATCGCAGGGAAACAGGAATCCTTCGGCTTGTCAACAAACTGCATCCATCAAAGGCAAACTCTCTAATCTCTGTCACAGAACTGGAAATCGTCAAATTTGTCAACGAACTACATCCCTGGAAGGCCGAAACTCCAATGTAGGTCACAGAATCAGGAATCATCAAGCTGGTCATCGAATTGCAACCCGCGAAGGCACGGTCTCCAATCTTTGTGACAGAAACAGGAATCTTCAGGTTTGTCAACGAATTGCATCCCTGGAACGTTTGTCAATGAACTGCATTTTTCACAGAAACAGGAATGTCCAAGGTGGTCAATGAACTGCATTTTTCGAAGGCGGACTCTCCAATGAAAGTGACAGAATCAGGAATGGTCAAGCTGGTCAACGAACTGCATCCAGCAAATGCACAGAATCCCATCAGTGCCACAGAATCTGGAAATATCAAGCTTGTCAGCGTTTTGCATTCATCGAAGAGGAATTCGCTCAAGCGTGTCCACAAAGTGCATCTGGCAAAGGCAAACGGTGCAATCCGGGTGATAGAATCGGGGATCGTCAGGCCTGTCAACGAACTGCATCCCTCGAAGGCAAACTCTCCAATCTCTGTCAGGGAATTGGGACGTATCAAAGTCGTCAACGAACTACATCCTTGGATGGCAGAGACTCCAATGCAGGTGACAGAATCAGGAAGTTTCAAGCTCTTCAACGAACTGCATCCTGCGAATGCACAGTGTCCGATCTCTGTCAGGGAATCAGAAATCGTTAAAGTCGTCAACGGACTGCACCCCTTGAAGGCCTTGTCGCCGATGCCAGGCATGATGTGATCCCAAGATGAGGGATTGCGCTCAATTAAGCTGGTCAACGAACTGCATTCAGCAAATGCACGGCTCTGAATCAGTGTCACAGAATTGGGAATCGTCAAGGTCTGCATCCGGCGAAGGCACCATCTCTAAATATCTCTAATCCTCGTCAGGGAAACAGATATCTTATGATAGGCTTGTCAAGGAACTGCATCCTTTGAAGGCAGACTGCTCGATCCGTGCCACAAAACGAGGAATCGTCAAGTCTGTGAACAAACTGCATCCCTCAAAGGCAGCCTGCCCAATCTCTGTCACAGAAACAGGAATTCTCAAGCTCTTCAACGAACTACATCCTGCGAATGCAGTATGTTCAACCTGTGTCTCGGAACCAGGAATCATCAAGCTGAGTCAAGGACGTGCATCCTTTGAAGGCACGTCTCCAATCTTTGTCACAGAAACAGGAATCTTTAGGTTTGTCAATGAACTGCATCCCTGGAAGGTTTGTCAAGAACTGCATCCCTGGAACACAAACAGCCCAATCTCTGTTACAGAATCGGGAATCGTCACGTCCTTCAACGAACTGCATCCCTTGAAGCCAGACTCCCCAATTGAGATGACGGAATCCGGAATCCACAGCCTTGCTACAGTGCATTGATGGAACGTGTGGGAGCAAATCAGGCTGACATCCTCTGGGATTTGAACTGCATATAAGGAATCGGCGCTTCTCAAAGAACACTCCGCACTACTGGAGCCGGAGCATTTCACTGAAGGTTCAGCAAAGACAACCTGCATGTGTGCGTCTGGTGATAGTGCACCGATCACCATTCTCATCATCTTGCAGGAGCTCGTGATTGTCAACGAAAACTTTCACCAATAGACGTTTCTCATCACATCTTTAAATCGTAGTCGCTTCACATCATCTTTAAACATGCCAATGGTCGTGTCTCAACTTCAACTTCCAGAGGTTCTCCACCTGAAAATTGCCAAGTGCCACCAACAAAACACGTGGAAAGTGCTGCCAGTCCTAATAATTAGGAGAGATCATGCACAAAAGCACATGCTACGGAAACAAAAAAACATCGGACTTTTCCAAAGTCCAGGCACTTGCCTTTTGCACTGGAGTTCGAACAGCCATTGGGAAGAACCAAGGCTCGGAACATGGAACGAGTTTGCGGGCTGCACAAATCAGCACAAATCATCGGCCCTCGGGCCGTTATTCTGAAAAAACATGAGCAACAAGGAACAACCACTGACCATATATTGGCATTTACTGGGTTGAATATGGTCGACTAGCAATTTAGTAGGAATTTCCATACACAGTTCTATATATATATATATATAGATAGCACACACTATATATGTTTGATGATATTCTGAAGTTTCCCGTCTGGGTGTCAAACATTGCTTGCTGGATGACTTTCCCATCTAATTACCCACTAAGTTCGGGGAGTTTCCCGAAAAGCAATGTTTGCTTGGCGGAGGGTAAACATGAAAATAATAGCAGGCACATGCAGGCAACATGTAAACATCACTTGTGCTGGCATCATCTGGCATCGCATGAAAAAAAACACACATTTGCCCCTGGAATCCCAGGCGCTTGCAATAAATCAGTCGGTTCTTCATGATTCTTCGCTGAATGTCGATTGGTTCAAAATCCAGCACAACAAATCAATGGCTTCTTCCCTCAGAGCTGGTAGTTCTTGGTTATTTAACATAGCCATGGTATAGATGGCCCATAGAAATAGATGGTTTACCTATGAAAAATAGTGGATCTTTCCATGGCTATGTTAGTCATAACCAAATGGTAGTTCTTGGTGGGTCACACGCCCTGATCCTAACAATCCACTGGAAGCCCCAGACTCCCAGACCTCGTACCACCTTCCACTGGGCAAGTCCAAGCCGCCTCAGTTCAAACGTCCCAGAAGTCCGGAGCAAATCCGAACCCGCAAAAGGCCTGGGAACTCAAGGGGGATTCCATATATTCCATACACACACATATGTATGTGTATATATATATATATGTTCATTGTCATGTATATTGATAGATGGCACTACTAATTCAATTACAATACACCATTACTGTATACAATATATCATACAGTTACATATATTCACCGATCCGAGGCTCGTTGGATGGCACGTTGCAGCGGAAAGTCCTTCAAGACCTAGCGCGGACTCGGCGTGCTGGGCATCTGCCTTGGAAAAATGTGTTTTTGGTGGTTAAAACATACTAAAACAATAATGAACCACCCATATTTTCATGGTTCTTACATGTTTATACCACCTATTTACGGTGAATTTGGGGATGGTTTACTATTTGCCACACTTTTTTGCCATCGTTTTATCTCGTCTTCCCACCAGAGCATGGAGCATGGTTGCGCCGCCAGATGAGGGCCTCCGAAAGCAGATCCTTGCCGCGGCCTTCCAGCAAGGTCCGGCTATTCAAATCCCCCTGAAGGAAGAGCACCGTCTCACCTCGGAGCCGTTCGTGAAAACAGCGCTGATTTTTCGGATTTGATGAGTCAAAACCAACCTTTGGCACCCTGGGTACTCCAAAATTCAACAGCGCGTTAAAGGTCTAGTAGGTTTTGACCCATCCCCACATGGTTAGGTTGCATGGTTATTATTAACGTTATTATCAGGGGTTCCTAAAATTGGAGGAACCCAAAATCATCAAACATGGGTCATTTTGCTGGGAAACCATGAGAAACCTATATATGGTTTGGGGAGTTCCAATTTGGGAAATAGCCATTGTGCGCTGGTCAATGTGCCTTCAAAAGCCTGGTAGTGTTTTCAGTATACATCTTGCACCAAACCCACGTAGACCCCGCCAGCTTATGCTGGTCATATTAGACGAGCTGCCCATTCCCCAAACTAATTGCGTAGTCAATGTGCTATCAGTGGAGGTAGGATGGACAGGAAAACATATATGACATGGATGACTCACCCACTTGAAACAAGGTGGTTTGAGGGTTGTTCCCATCACAAACCACAATGATGTTTAGGTTTGTCAATAGGGGTTCCGACATGTTCCTACCATCGACTATTTTGATCCCCATCAAGCATGAAGTCTACAGAACCCAAGGCACCATAATATTCCATCATCATTTCTGGGCTGTGCCGTGCATTTTTGCACCTTGAACCCCCGAATCATTCTCCATTTGATTTCAATATCTTACTTTTCCCATGGTTGTGCTCCTTTAAGCATCAACCATCTAGACCATTTCATGTTGATGTTTGTTGATTGACAGGCCCGTTTTTGCTCTTGATGGCCAGCAAGGCCAGACGGGCCCAGCCACGGTCCACACGCAACTGCTTGGCAGCACTGCGGAGGACGGAACGGAGCAAGCCGGCCCAGACACGTTTGGCTGCCTCTGACGTTGAAGGAAGACCGTGATGGCTTTCAAAAATGGGGCGTTTAACCATATTTTGACCATAGTAAAGCATGAAAAATGCGGACTTGACATCACTTAAATATCAAACATTGGGATTTAATGTGGCTTAATGATCAACAATGGGACTTAACATGACTTAACCGGCTTGCTCCCAACACACCAGATATGGGACCAACCTATAGTTTGGAGGAATCCTGCAAGCGGTGATTCACAATGGGGACTTGGCTCCCAGAAACATTGGGGATGTAGCCATCAAACATGGGACTGGTTGGTGGTTTCAACCCCTTCTGAAAAATATGAACGTCAGTTGGGGTTACTATTCTCAATATATGGAAAAATAAAAAATGCTTAATTGAACAATAGGATTTCATTTGATTTCATCATCAACAACGGGGACTCAAAACCATCAATCATGGGGGATTTGACCAATGAGTGGATTTTTCATGGATCAATGGGCCAAATGGGGCGCGGCTGGAATTGGTGATGAGACCCAAAAGCCATGCAAGCCATAGCAAACTGTTATATTACCGGAGGATAAGCCACATCATGATACATCCATTTTGTTCATTTTTAGGCCCCAAACTGACCTCTTTTTTTCATCCAGCTAATATATACCTTCCTGGATCGCCAACAGCAATGGTGATGTTCAAATCCCCGCCAAGATCTACCCAGATACTTCTAGGGTGAGCAGCCACCTTTCCTTAGTCGCGTAGTCGGCATGTCGGCGACTAGTCGCTGAAAGCACATTCCACATGTCCAAACCTTTGGTGAAAGATTTGCATAAATTATAACCATTCACTTATCTGAGAAAAGGCCATTTGTGGATGACTCCCCTGATTTTCATTCTATTTTCCACCTTTCCCATCCTTGGTGAGAAATGCGCACCCGATGCAAACATCGCTGGTTTTCCTCCACTTCCTCCAATGCCTTTCTGCCAATGCTGGAGCCGTAGAAGCGTTAAGAAATCTTCGATCACCTTCAGTGGTTATTCCATTTTTCTGCCATCAAACGATCCTGCAACCCCACTAAGTACATTCACAAAAAGGATGTTTCAAAACCATTCAACACTTGCAAAGGAAACATCACAAGGCAACCACTGATCCACACAACATTCATCAACATTCCACGACTGTGGTCGAACCGGGTTCTTTGACCCGCAACTGGAATATTTCGAAGCGCAAGCGCACTAAGCTGTACAAACTGGAACCACCAAAGGCTCATAGGTCCTGGGTTCAGCTAAATCACCTGTGGATACCTGTGGCAACTCATGGCGGCGCACGACGACCTCCAAGTCAAACATTGTTATCTTTATCATCCTCGGCTGTCCCACCATGGCCCGCTGAAGCGATGTTGAGAGGTCAAAAACACATGGAAGCTCCCTGAGCTGGCCAAGAAAAAACTGTTTTTGTATGGCTATTCACTGCGAAACCATGTCCAAATTTGCTCTAATATGATGTTTTGCATTAGTTTACCTTGCTATTTCCATCAAATACACCCGCCATGTTCCTGGAAACGATGGGATGCAATATGATTCAACGGTATCTAAGGCATCATATCTTAATATATATATATATATGTATAATATTATATATTATATATTATATACAAAATATAATATAAATATAATATATAATATAAAATATAAAATACAATATATATATATACAATATATACTATATAATATATATAACATATATAATATAATATAATATAATAAGGTATAATATAATATACTATAATATATTATAATATACAACAATATACTATACTATAATACAATATAATATAGTATAATTTAATATAATATAACATAACATAACATTATATAATATAATGCTATATAATACAATATAATATAATAATATAATATAATACAATATAATACAATATAATATAATGCAATATAATACAATATAATATAATATATTATATATAGATAGATACAATTATATTGACATATCTTAAAATCATTATGAACCATTCACATCATTTCGATTCGTCCCTATCTTCAGCTTCGCCTCCTGGAAGTCAAAAATCCAGCCGTTGATGGTTTATCCCACTATAGTTCCATGATACTGTAGATTTACCAACTGGTGGGATAGTTCTGGATAGTTACCGTCAATAGTATTCAATAGTTCCAGGGGCATTATTAAATATTGTATACTACTGTTTCATAGCTACCCAATAGTTACCCAATCTGGTTGGTGGTTTTAACCATCTTGAAATATATTAGTCAGTTGGGATGATTATCCCATGGTCCCATATATGAAATGGAAAATAAAAGTCATGTTCCAAACCACCAATCAGCAATAGTACCCTCTGGTAAACTAACATAGCTACGGAAAATCACCATTTTATAGCTGGGTAAATCAACTATTTCTATGGCCATTTTCAATAGCAAACTGTAAACGTTTACCAGAGGGTATCCCAATAGTCAACTGGTGCAGGTCGCCAAGTCGCGCTGCCAAAGTTCTCGAACCAATACGTCAAGGAACTCACCACCAAGCCCGTGCCGATGCCCGTGACGATGCCACCATAGGTCACCTGGGGCGCGCGTGTCATCGTTATGTTGTAGGATTAAGGGTAGATAACGAGAAGGTATAGAAGATGCTCATTAACAGCCCTTCCCAACCCTACTTCATTTAACAATACTTATCAATACTTCAATTTTGGCTTGATCATCCTTAGTACATGGAACACCACAAAGAAACACACGAGATCTTCGGCCAGTCACCATTCCACCACCGAAGCCGGAGCCAAAGACTTTCTTGAGAGCTACACTCGTGCCCATCATCAGTATGATGAGAGGATAGAAGCCTGCAACAAATCCCAGTTTCAGCCTCATGCAGGGATAATCTTATTCTGACCCCATCATAAAATCCGTATGTTCCAACCCCGGAGGTTTCCCGAAATTGGGGCACCCTCAAAAATCATCCATTTTAAATCATTCTAACAGGATTTTCCATGATTGTCGATTATAACCCATCCATTTTGGGCTCTCCCCATGGAACCCCATGGAACCCACCTGGCGCAAACACCTGCCAGGGCCGTGCGTTCTCCAAGCGCTGCAGCCGGCGCTTGTTGCGCAGCGCCGTCTTGGAAAGGACGAAACGGCCCTTGGCCAAGCCGCCA